GAAGAAGGCAACAATTGCAATTGCCACAGTAATCGCGCCCTCAATGATGAACAGCCACCGCCACGCTCGAAGACCGCGAGTTCCGTCCATGTTGCCCGTGATGCCAGCGGCAATGAGCCCAGAAAAGGCGCCAGAAATGAGTGATCCCGCATAGAGATATGTCGTCCGCACACCCAACTCTATGCGCGTATACCAACAGCTGAGATAGTACAGACAACCTGGCTGATCCATAAAGGTCAGCACTGGATGCCAAATTGTGCGGATGATGACTTACAAAATATGCTGCTTCAACGAATCCAAGGAAGAACCTGGCAGCTAGGAGTCCCCCAAAGGAGTGGCAGCCTGCGGTAGCAGCCGAGATGACTCCCCAAATGGCCATCTGCATTCGTCTCAGTAGAGGTTCATGCCATTTTTGAGCTTATTTACTTACACAGATGGGCAGGTATTTTCCTGGCTTCCCAGTCTTGTTAAGAAGCAAGTTGGACGGCACTTGCATTAATAGATATCTATGACGCATAAGCAAAAGTCCAGATGACGCCATCAAGTTGGGTTATCATACCCCACGAAGAGAATACTGACAGCGGTCTGAGTTCCAAGTCGTTAGCAAGAAGCTTCTTTGTGCGTCTTGCAAGGAGCTTACAGAGAACTGAGTCCCGCTTGAATTAAGCTTCAGATCATCTTCCAAACCGGCAAACCTGGCCGATGCAATATTGTTCCTAGCCTACCGTTTAGTCGTGGTCCGGTAAAATGTTTAGAAAGACCCTTACCTATCAATGTAGTTCAGAATGTACATGACGACTATCATTGGGAGGATGCGAATGTCAATCTTCCGGATGAGCTTCTTCTCCAGCTGATCGCGCTCCTCGGGCGACATGAGACGAATTATCTCGGGAGGCTGAAACCCTCGGGGCGCACCCTTTGAGGAACCATCTGCTGAACGAAGCGCGTGGGTAACCCCGGCCGAGAAGTCGTCGTCTGGTGCTGGCGTGCCAAGTTTGTCTTCTGTGCCGCTCATGATGAAGTGCTCTTGGAACTAACAAGTCGAACGACAACTATGGATAGGAATAACGGCATGCAATACTGCACGTACGAATAGGTTTTGCAATGCAACAGTAGAATCAAAACGAGAAACGAATGTCAATTATTTAGATGTCTGCGGCAAACAAGAATGCATCGGCTCTTCCCCCGCCTACGCATTTCCCGTCCCGCCACCTGGTAATGCACAACTGCCTTCGCATCAAAATGGCCCCGAGGTAGCGCCAGCTCGGGGCTTCTACGTCGCGAATAGGGAAACTCGACATGTTACACAAGGGCGAAATACTGGATGATCGCTCTGATGATTCAATTTGCGGGGGAGGCGGCGCTAAAACGTGGGGGATCTGCAAGCCTGGCTTGACGATGCCAGGATTCAAGACAACTTTGACAACGTGGTGGGGGCAGGTCTTGGAGATGAGACGGCGGAAAGACCGACAAACTGATCAATTGATGGCTGGTAGTACCTCGTCCTGGGGTAAAAGCCTTCTGGAAGGAATGTTCGTTTGCCCAACAGTTGAAGGCTCTCGCCGTGCCGTCGCCACCGTGGGTGACCGAATTGGCGTGCAAGTGGCGCTGCCTCATAGCTGGGTAGATACAACCACGAGCAATTGGCTTCATCATGCATGTCGTTGTCGAGCACTGCAGATTCGCATGCCTCAGGCTCTAGATGTAGTATTGATATGTTTCACGTGTGGTGTACGTGGAACGAAGCAAGTTGACCTTGCTCTTGATGTCATTGCATTTGAGTCTAATACAGTCTGGTCAACTTGGTAGACTCAGTGGGCAAATATAAGTACCTCGACCTACTATGTACTTAAGTACCTAAGGCAGTAGTTGTACAAGATGTAACTGGGTGCGCATCACAAGGGCGTGGAGAATCGTGATTCGTGGGGCTGCCCCCTCTTGAACACTTGAGCGCCGAGCTTCTCCTAATATGGAAACCTAGGATATTTCTTCATGTTATGTTGAAGCTAGGAGGCATGCACGCGGTTAGTGAGGCCCCCGTTGGTGTCGGCATCGATAACCGTAAACGTTCAAGGGTCATGAGGCTCAAGCGTATGCTGTGATACCAGTAATGACTCACGGTCGGTCTGCTGCCAACAGTAATACAGAAGTGCCCGGTCAAACAGAAGTGGCGTTATCGTGCGCAGGCGCAAATAGCTTCACTAGCTCATTGCCTTGGTCACCGGGAAAGTCGACGAGTCAAATGTAGGCAGGTTTTATTTTCAAAAGAGGCATTCTAATCATCTCGAGGATATCCGGGGTTTCTTGTGCGGGCGCAAGGAAGGCGCCGCTTCGGTTCCTTCCATATCCGGACGGGAAGGTTGAAGTCGTGCACGCCATAGCCTGGCCCAAAACCATGATCCAAATTTCAAGAAAACAACATCATAAACACGCCCCCAATGTGTTTCCTCGTGGCCGTTGATAATTTTTGTGCTGCGATAAAGCGATTTGAGCCACATTGCTTCCGGGAGAATGTCCGCCTTTTACAGATATCGCCAACTTACTTTGAGCCTATCGTACCAAGCAAGCTCTCAGCCGATGGGAGCCCTTCTCCCAGTTACGAGTTATTTCGAAGCATTCCCTGGACAAGTACACGCATATGTTTTGCGATTTCAGGTTGTCCAATCCTCGTTACCTCGCCAACTTACCTCAATTCGATGATTATCGGACAGTCGAGTGGTACAAAGCCCTACATTGGATCGTCCACAATCCGAGCACCAAAGTGTATCTCATCTACAGCAGGTGGCCCAACTCGAAGCTCCGAGTCCTGCAGAGTTGAAACCTGAGCGCATGTAGTATCGACCGTACCTTGTGCTTTAATCGCCTTCCAGACTCCAGTAAGTCCTCATTGTTAGTCGAAAAATGATACATATAACGCGATTGCAACCAAAATTGAACATGTGCTTTGTTTCATCGCGGAATCGCGTTATTCAGAATGCCCAACAGCACCTGATATGGACCGACCTGCCTGGTTGGCAATGGCTGGCGTATATCAATTATAGGCAAGAAGGCAGTTGCACCAGGCAGGTTGTATTCCATTGACTAGCCATCCGATCGTGTGTCGAAGCATTGGCTAACATTTGGGGACATTCGGGATAGAAACTGTCGAGATTCGCATCAACAAGTCAAAGAGGTACGGGTCGTTTTTTTCGTCTTTTTTTGGCAAGATCGGGGGATTTGCAGTGATAACGACAGAACAGTTTTGCCATTCATGAGGCTTGGTCTCGAGCACAGCCATTGACAGGGCGTTTTAGCCGGTTGGTTGAACAGAACAATATAATGAATGTGCAAAGTATAGGAGCAAAAAGACATTGTAAAAGAACAGGCTAATCAGTTAAGCATTTCAGGGAGAAGACATTTATCAGGGGGACCAGCCCTTGTTGTTAGGGGCTACTAGCAGAGAGTTCGAGGACCTGGTATTTCGAGAGAGAGATCCGAGCTGCAGAGCACTTTGCAAGTGTTCTAGAATAAAGTTACAGAGACATCAACGCCGTGTTCATCTGCCGTTCGTCTGCCATACTGAAAAGGGCATTGTTTCAGCCAAGCTTCCTGTTGGAATGACGAGGACCGCATCTGAAGGCGCAGACCTCCTGCGGCATCAGCTCAAAATGATGGTTCGATCTTCGGAAGGAGTAGGATCCGCCGGATAGGCAAAAACTGACATGAGTCGATAGACTTGTAATCAGCCACAGACACCTTCACCGGCGTACAATACGTGTTCCTGCACCCCCCGCGGCCGGACCCGAGGATGGAAAAGGTGGCACCACCTCTCCGGGCGTGGGCATCTCAGGCGCCGCTTTTTCCAGGCCCATCCGTCAGCCAATTCCCTCAACGGACATTGGTCTGCCTCGAAAAAAAGGTGCTGTTGTAGTTGTTCGCTGTCCATACCACCGGGTACAACCCCGTAAGCCAGTACCATTCCGGACAGCTGCCCCCCCGCCATTGGCCAGCAGGCAAAGGCGCTCATGGCCGGTGGTGTGATAATTGCGACCAACACCGTCGATATCTGCCCACCACGAGCTTCACCACACAACGCCTCTCCCTAGCAAGGCAAAGCTGAACACTCCATGGGCTGAGGGACCCGAGACGCCGGAAAATATTTCTGTCCCAAACGGGAAAATAAACGTCATGTGCGAGAGGCGTCATGACGTGCCACCAGGTACAAAAAGGCATGCCATGCATCCTCAAACAGACGTCACAGCCATCTATACCACGTCAAGTGCATCGAATACAACATCAGTCGCCAAAAAAGGCAATCTCTACTCCATATTCTCTGCGAGATCAAACTCCACTCTACAACAGGCATTTACTTGTCCAGAAACTCTACTTACACAATGAACTCGGCCGTCTCCCGCATCGCATCACGGAGGTCCTTCTCCCTCCTCACGGCCGCCCGCTCCGCCGCGCGGTCTATGGAATCCCATCCCTTCCAGCGCCCTTCCGCTGCACAAAAATCCGCCAAGGCCGATTGGGCCGGCGAGGGAAAACGTCTGGGCAAACAGCTGGCCATGTAAGTTCTACACCGTGCGCGAGAGGCAGACGTGAGAGCGTCCCAAGACCAGACGGGTGCTAATGCGGTACAGATTCGTCCCCGGCATCTCCATGCTACTGGGCTGGCCGTACCTTGCAAAGGTCATTGCCGACGGCCACGTCTGACTCGGTGGTTTCGGGCGCGCCTTCTATTGTGAAATGCACGAGGAGGGGGCGAAGCGCCCGATTCCAAGGATGTTGGATTTTGTTTCGGAGGTTCTTTGACGTATATATTTAGCGGCATCGTATATATGGTGTTTTGGGACGCATTTGCATTGAATTTATTAGAATATTCATCGTTCACTACCTCTGACCCTGTGATAATTCCCGTACATGACGACAATACTACGAGGGACCGGAACATGAAGCCTCAAGCTCGCCCTTCAATGTACAAGCCCAGAAGACCCGGTGCCACTCACTGTGATCCCACTCTAATCAGACTGCGACGGGCTCTTCGATTGCAGCTGAAGCTCTTCTTTAGCAATATAGTCATGGCTCCCGCTGCGAATCGTCGTCCAGCCCAAGCCCCTCCGGATCCTATTCTCCTTGGCCCGTCTCTCCAGTCGAGATAATCTGTGTCCGCCGGGGGGATCTGATAAAACCCCTGCATCACTTGTCTTGGAGCCACCACCAGAATGAATACCGCGCAGATTGTGGACGGCGCGAGCGATCCAGGGTCCTAGGATCGGGATGTTGGTGGCAATGATGCCGACAAACTAAGCCATATCAGAATGAACCGGCATTCAAAGTCTAGGAGTTCCGGCTTACCGTTTCTCGAAGGGACCAGATTAAAGCGATGTCGGCTTTCTTATCGTTTAGGAGGCAGATGATGCAGCGGAAAACAGCAGCGACGACGACAAAACCCCCCGTGCAAAGCCAGATCCCGCAAAGTAGCTTCCTACACGCGACAGGTTAATATGCCATTCGAGCTGGAGTCGTGATAAACCTGCCTGTGCCACGGCATTTGGACCTTCCAAAGCAGCGATAACGGAACAGCTAAAATCATCAAGTCGGTGCTACATCAAGTTAGTTTCTCCCCCTCGTCATGGTCTTTTTTATTCTAGTGAGTTTGTGAGAAGCAGGAGCCCCAACCTGACGTTTGTGACGAATAACGCGTAATGCATGGGCGTGCCCAGAGCACAGGCATCTGCAATTCTCTTGTCAATAGGGTGTGCCGGCACGTCGACTTGCCACGCGGGGGTTGACGCACCGCCGGGATACGGGTGAATCTGCCACTTTCTTTGGATGGGCGTGCAATGCGATCCGATGACGGCAATGAGGGAGATGTATGCTGCGACGCAGGCTACGGCCGTGATCTTGACCATGTGCCGCTGCTTGAGGTCCAGGCTTGGGAGTGTCAGAGCAAATCAATATGTCCCAGTCTTCTCTACAGGAACGGGGGCTTGGCTCACGTTAACCTTCCGTAGAGGAAGAGCATGCAGGCCTTTAGTGCCCAAATCAGAGAGACGTAGATGCACCAGCTTGCCAACATGCACTTGGCCCCAATCGCAAGATTGTGCTTCTCTTCGTCGGTGAGTGTGAGGCCTTTGTGTTCGTGGAGGCCTTTGAGGGAGCCCTGTGTTCCTATGGGACGGTCAGTTCGCTCACCACGCTTTTGTCAAAACATCATGGATATCCGGCTGGGAATGTGTACCTATCATGTGAAACATACACAGCTCTGCCTGTCGTCTCCGCGTTAGACACTGTTTTGGGATCTCACATGGAGCAAGGTTGGCACCCACTGTCCAGAGAATGATGGCCAAAAAGGCAAAGTAGTCATCTCCATCCCAATTCATTCCCACCACGCTGGTGCGGCAAAGAATTCGGGCAACGAGGACACAGATTCCCAGTACGTACTCGGTCCATGCTTCAGTTGCATATGGGGATACGGGCATGGTAGGTCAGGGTCCGCTGTCGTCATTGAAGTAGCTAGGCTAACTCGAAGCTATCGTCCAATTGTGAGCGGCTCGTCGATAGAAAGAAATCACTCCAAGTAAACAGTCGTACGATGTTGTTGGTGTTTTGTTGGCAGGATCATCACTAGGGAGGCGGGATTTCTATACCGAGCTGCTCTCCCTTGTCTATTTTGCCTGGCAGCCGCAAAGTCGAGGCTAGTGGACACCACTTCATGATACTGACTCTCTTTTCTTCTTAATCGATTCGTATGCCAAAGTACATCATGATTTGGTGGCAGCGGCCAGGAACACAGGCCAGCAACTGCCCCGACGGTGGATGCGACGGATCGGGAATTCATACGCGGTAGAGCTAAACCGCCAGGCCTGGTAGTACTGAGGCATCCTTTGGCTTATCATGGGCAACGGTGGAAAGGAGGACCAAAATTGTAGTTCCGCAGCCCTGGTCCTGACACCTATGGAAATTGCGCTTGAATCCCCGTATCCATCCCTAATAATCAGTAGTCGTTGACGCGCCACCATGTTGGGCCGACTATGACAAACAGTATTGCTCTTGTGTTGTGGCGGCGCTCCAATACACCTGTGTACCTTCATTTTGCTTTTGTTCCGTCGGAACGTCCTCTTTCAGATCCGCAGCGTAATTTCTGTCCGTGTTGGTGTCATTGTCCATGGTACGAAACCACGGGCCATACGACGAGTCAAATGTCATAGCTTTCACTGTAAGCCATGTTTCTCACAAGAGCAAACTTGTACCGCCCATGACCAACAGGCAGTGATTGCGTTGGGCTGATAGCGCTCTGTTCTCCAGTCTTTACTGATCGCTGTAAACCGCGTTCGGACTCCGGATCGCCTCGTCTTCCTTCCAAGAGTATGATCACAGAAGTATCTGTGCCTGAGACAAGTCTGCCGGATTAACTAGGAAAGTACGGAGTAGTACGGAGTAGCAAGTCTTGTTTCCCCCCCTCCCGAGGACAAAGTAGTATCCATGAACTATGGTGTGCCATTCGGGATGTGTGGCCTTTAGCCTGCGCACAGCGCAATGCACTTGCAGCATGACGGGCAGAGTAGAAGAAAGGAGCCTAATTTCGGTTGGTTTGGCGCTGCCGAGTGCATGTGACCCCAGGGCGACGCGGATAAGCAAGATATAATATAAATCTAGGCAGCCGGTCTAGCTATTCGATTGGTTGAGCCAAGCCTGAACAATCTTTACTCGATGCAAATTGTCCATGAGCCAACAGCCGATTCCCGTCCCTAAACTTGATCCGTGCAGGACGTTCCCAATTTAAGAGTACAACGTCCTTCTTCCGCTTGTCACGGCGCTGAGCATTTAGGACGACCATTGTTAGGACCGTGGGGTTCCCCTTTTCATCATCACAAAGTACGACGTCCTTTGGGGGCGGCTTAAGGAACATCCTGGGAATGCGTGTATTGGTGATGATTTCATATAGGGTGGATATGGCACCCTTGATATCGTTTCAGTCTTCTTCATATCCAATACCGCCAATGTGGCCGCTATAATTGAAGTTGAACGATATAAGGACATCTGTCTTGGGGTCGACCAGCATAGTTCGCGCCTCAATATCCTGGTGGGCGATGCCATGTTTGAGATTTAAGCCGTCGATGACGCAAGTTGACTGCCAAAGCCACTTCAGCTTAAATGTACGTGCTGTGATAGATAGATAGCGTATACGTCAAGTCCTAAAGAATCAATGTGCTTCTCGAGGTATCTGATGGCGACATCTTCGCTCTCTTGTGCGTTAACGGCGCTGATATGTCGTTGATCCCAGTCGAGGATGAACCATGTGCTTGGCCCCTTAGGTGTGCATAAGAGGGCCACCAGGGGCGCCACTCGTCGTCAATCATTTCAATGTTGTCTTTTGCGCTTTGGGCAGAGTGATGAGGAGAATACAAGATGTGGGGGAGACGGAAGGGAAATGGTGCAGCGAGGAAGAGGCTCGAAGCAGCGGTTTACTTGCTTGTAGCATGTAATTACTAGCCCCAAGGGCCAATCAGCTTCATGTGGTGAAGGCCAAGACTCGGTGTATCCCTTCAATGTTGTCAATTGGTTCTTTTGCGGGGGAGGGTCCTTTGGGCCTTCGCTGCGAGGTGCCTACACATGTGTCTTGCTATTACGGAGCTGTACCGGACTTAAGATCGTGTGGATAGCGTCACCGATTCCCCCGAAGACCCCGCACTCAAAATTCAATTATAAAGCAGACAGTCTGGTCCATAGCTCTGCATTAAATCTGATCTGACGACTTATTGCAAAATTGGACAGGAGAGCCTCATCCGACAGCACTTCTGCCAGCATTCACACCTACTGCCAAGATGCCGCTCATCGTTCAGAATGTAAACCCGCGTATCATCCTGGGTCTGATGACGTTTGGACCGAGTTCGGAGGACGGCGCCCGCATCACTGACCTGGATACTTTCAACAAGGCTCTGGACCTGTTTCAGACAAGAGGATATAGCGAGGTAGACACAGCTCGCATTTATGTCGGCGGAAAACAAGAGGCATTTACGAAGGAGGCCGGGTGGAAGGAGAGGGGATTGACCCTGGCCACCAAAGTCCAATATCCATTTGCACCTGGGGATAACACGGCCGACAAGGTGATTGCTTCGGTGGAGACTAGTCTCAAGGACCTGGGCACTGACTGTGTAGATGTAAGTGTTTTCTGGTACCTGATGCTTCAAATGGTAAACTTTTTAAAGCTAGGAAAAAACTGACAATCATGGGGGCTGTACCAGATCCTATATCTACACAAGCCCGATCGTGGCACGCCGTTCCAAGAGACGCTCGAAGCTATGGATAAGCTGCACAAGGCTGGCAAATTTGTTCGCCTTGGTATAAGCAATTTCACTGCATACGAGGTGGCCGAAGTTATGATGATTTGCAAGTACAACAACTGGGTTCGGCCGAGCATTTTCCAGGGCATGTATAACTGCATCACGCGTAATATTGAAGCCGAGCTGTTCACAGCTTGTCGTCGTTACGGCCTCGATATTGTTGTATACAATCCCCTGGCCGGTGGTCTCTTCTCGGGCAAGATCAAGTCGCACGACATGATCCCCGAGAGCGGCCGGTTCTCGGATGTCAGTTCCGTCCAGGGTGCCAATTACCGGAAGCGATATTTCCACGAGAGCACATTCAAGGCCATCCAGCTGGTGGAAGGGGTCGTCGAGAAACACAATCTGACCATGATCGAGACGGCGCTGCGATGGGTAGTGCATCATTCCAAGCTCAAGATCAAGGATGGTAACGATGGAATACTCATTGGTGTATCGAGTGTCGAACAGCTAGAGGACAACTTGAACAACCTGGAGAAGGGGCCGCTTCCTGACGAGGTTGTCAAGGCTCTCGATGATGCGTGGCAAATCTCCAAGGCTGACTCGGCTAATTACTGGCACGGCGATTTGGACTATGGCTACGATCCTAGGGGGCTGTTGTTTGGGCCCGGGGCCAAGTAGATGGATGTGTAAAAATTGCGTCAAGACTAGGGACGAAATATTGATACTGATGAATGCGTTTTGGAAAGGAAAAAAAAGTATAGATTGATTTGGTGTGATCCAATGCGGCCCTGACGGGCTGTGGCGCCCAGTGCGTGTATCTTGTTGTTGTACCTGACGTCAATGGTATTACGGACCAAGACTCGGAGAGGCAGGTAGGGTTGCAGCGCCGCTGCGCGGGCTCAGGTGACGGTTGCATGCGGATCGCTGTACCACGGCATGTAGCATCCAGATTGATCGAGATGCTGCGTCCTAGGTAATTAAGAGGTGGCTGACCGAAAGCGCATGCGGTCTTATGACAAGGGCCGCAAGTCGTAGAAGCGACAAGTCAACGGCCACGAGCCTCACTGACGTCACCGACAGTCGCGACAACAAGCATTTGGCCTCATATGGAGTAAAGGCCGCACATTCTGATGCGTGGGTAGATTCCATGGCGTGAAGTAGGCATAGCCATCGTCTCCAAGGCACGGATTGGCGTTGGCCGATTTTAAGGAGCCAAACCCAAATCCACACCTAAAGCATCAAACGAACTCGGACGGCTTGGCACCTAGATCTTCCCCTCGACCTGTCACGCGCACGGAGTACTCCGTAGTTCAGTTCAGTCAATTCGACCAGAACCAAGGTTTTGAACACGAAGCCTGGCCCAGCTGCCCCGAGCAAATGCCCCCTCCCCTCCCATTCGCCCTCTGCACGCAAGTGACTCGCCGCGTGGCCCCCCCTGTCGTGACCCCATTTTACGGGGATACATGTAGGCTGGTACGTACCTCAGATGCTGGATTGGCTACATGTAGGGACCCTCAAATGTCAGCGAAAACAGCGACCTGCAGCCCAGTGGGTTCTTCGGACATTCATCAATCTCACTTTTTGAATCCCCGGATCTGCGCCCTTGAAGCGAATTCGACAGCCTGGCTTCTTCCTGTCCTTCATCGCCGCGGCGGAATCATATCATGCTTCCACTCACTCTACCCTGAATTGATGGTCTCTCCTTTTTACCCTTTGTCCTCTCTCGGATTGGGCACTCTGCCATCTCATTCAATGGGCTTTGCTCTCCCTGCCTCGGATTCGTTCCCTTGACTCCTTTGTTTATGGAGATTTGCCCATTCCTGTGCGGAATACAATCTCGGTAAAATCTTGGAGAGAGAAAAAAGGACAAAACTTTTGCCCGCAAACATCATCTGTGCTGTTTCATAGCTTGGAGCGCCGTATGCCTCTCCCCTCGTCATAACGCAATTGCCGGCGAACCACCGGCCCCCGTTTTCAAACACCATGGACAGCGATCGTCGACCGAACCGCGGAAGTCGCTCCGGCACGCCTCTGCTCTTCAAGGCAGAAGACCACATGGACGAGGTGGAATCTAAGCGCCCCTCTCGCTCGGGCACGTCCTCTCCGTCCTCTCCGTCCTCACAACTGACTCCCAACACCAACGACACCGAAGCCGGTCGCCGTCCGCCTATGACGACGACGACCTCGCAACGCAGCACCTTCAGCCGCCAATCGACCATGCACTCGCGCAATCCCGCCAGCACGCTCCAAGCCGCCAAGGCCTCTGCCCGCAAGAAATACCTCTTTGCCGCCTTTTTCCTTTCCATATCCCTCGTCGCCTTCTGCATACAGACCGAGCTGTCCGCGTACATTCAGCACGATCTGGCCTGGGGCAAGGCGTATTGCATGATGTACCTGACGCACAGCTCGTGGATAGTTCTGTGGCCAATGACGTTTCTAGCGGTAAGACTGCAGAAGCGCCATGAGCCGTGGGACCAGTTCTGGCGGAAGCACCTACAGGTTGTCCTGTCGACCGTCACCATGATTGAGCTGCAGACCATCAACGTCACGACGCCCTCGGTTGCCCGGCGCGGGCGGCCGGTCATGTATCTTGCGCGAATGACGATATACATCACCTCTGCGCTGACCATTGCCGGGCTGAGCTGGTACATTGCCGTGAGCCTGACGACCCCGTCCGACCTGACCGCCATATACAACTGCAGCGCCTTCTTTGCGTACGCATTCTCCGTGCCGATCCTCAAAGAACCCCTCCGCGTGGACAAGTCCATCGCCGTCATGATCGCCATCCTGGGCGTCCTAGTCGTAGCCTACGGCGACACCGGCTCCGACGAGGCGACGTCGTCCGCGGCCGGCCCCTCCAACCCCGGTGCAGGCTCCCGCTTCGCAGGCAACCTCATCATCGGCGTGGGTTCCGTGCTGTACGGCCTCTACGAGGTCCTGTACAAGCGCTACGCCTGCCCGCCCGAGGGTGTGTCCCCCGTCCGCGGCACCATCTTCGCCAACGTGTTCGGCAGCTGCATCGGCTTCTTCACCCTCACCGTGCTCTGGATCCCCCTCCCCTTCCTGCACTGGCTCCACATTGAGCGTTTCGAAATCCCCAACGCCTCGACGTGCTGGCTGATTCTCTTGGCCGTCTTGTCCAACGCCACGTTTAGCGGCTGCTTCCTGGTGCTGATTTCGCTGACGTCGCCGGTGCTGTCCAGCGTCGCCGCCCTGTTGACCATCTTCATCGTCGCCCTTGCCGATTGGTTCCTGACCGGCCAGCCGCTCAGTTGGGCCGCCATCATGGGCGGGAGCATGATCATTGTGGCCTTTGCGGCTTTGAGCTGGAGCACCTACCGCGAGATGATGGAGCACGAGGCGCACAAGTTGGCCGTCGACCTCACCGACGACGATGAGGGGGACATGGATAGCGATAGAGACTAGGTGCATTGTATGCCTACTCTGGAGTTTTTTGTTGGGATTTTTTGCTTTTTTCTCTTTTCATCTTTTTATTGTGGCATTTTGGCGGCAATTGGGATTCCAATGGCTCGCTGTCTGACTGGTGATGGCCTTGGGCATACTTATAGAGACGGTATGGATTGGTTCTTTTGGACATGTGCATGAGGATAAAAGGTGGCCGTTTTGGAAAAGGTCCATTCCAATATATAAATTCATGTCGAGCTGTACTATTTTCGCTACCACTGGCGCGAGCTATTACGTGGTATACAAGGACAATGTTTGCTTCTTCCTATGAGCTGCATATGAAACCGCCCAAGTGTATCATCCCCAGCTTCTTGTGTACAGCTAGCTCTACTGAATGTACTATACTCCGTCGCAGTGCCGTGAATCACACATGTGAGACACTCGACTTGTCATTGTCATTCGACATGCCCTTCGACCCATCCGCCCCATCATCCCGCGGGACGAAACTTGCCCTCCGGCCAGGCACCAGGCTTGCCTTTCGGGATTCGGCGCCCTTCTCGGGATCAACCACACCGTGGCCCGACTTGGCGGCCTGCACGAGCTGTGGATTCTCCGCCTTGAGTCTGGCAAAGTTCTTCTCGGCCTCCCATGTCCAGATACTGTCGCTCGCAAAGACGAGGTCCATCTCTTCGAGCGTGCGCTGGTTCGATTCAGGATACAGCGCCCACACGACGAAGATGGTGAGCACGTTGACGCCGCCAAAGATGTAGAGCGTCTTCTCGTTGAGTTTGTCGAAAATGGTGGGGAGGAGAAGCACCTGCATACATTTAGATATTAACGTGGTGCGCCTTGGACTCGCCCGGATGTAAAACATGTGCATAGGGGCAGGCAGTGAAGGGGGTTCACACTTACACACCAGCCGTTGCCAATGGACCATCCGACGACACCCCATGCATTTCCCTTGGCACGGACTTGCAAAGGGAAGATCTCGGCGGGATACAGCCACGGAACTGTGAGCCAGGTGGCTCCGAAGATGGCCGTGTACAAGAACACGAAGAAGGTGGCTGCACCACCAATCTGCGCGCGGTTACTGTCGTCGGCGTTGATGGTTGCGCGTGCGAGACCTCCCGCGACGAACATGCATATGCCTTGGCCTACGGAGCCCCAGTACAGTGTCCATCGACGACCGATTCGGTCGAGCGTGAAGACGCAGATCAAGGTGGCAAACTTTTGCGGAACATTGTTGTGTTAGCTACGGATTGGGGGGGGGTTTTCGGTCAGACAGGGGATAGAAGTTACCATGTATGTAATATTGTTGACACCGCTGACCCAGAGACGGTCTGAAGCGCTGATGCCAGCAATTGTGAAAATCTGAGGCCCGTAGATGGTGATGCCAGCAATGCCAATCCACTCTTGCAGAATCTGGAGCCAAATGACGAGCTGTACGCGACGGCCAGTGTGCAGCTTGCCGGATCCGATGCCGAAGAGCATGTGCAGATAGCCCTGCTGGTTGGATGTCTCTTCCTCCAGATTACGGATGTTGATGATGTCCTGCAGCTCTGCCTCGGCCTGTTCGCCTTCCTCGCCCTCGCTGCCTCTCAGACGCTGCAGGATGAAACGGGCCTCGTCCTCGCGACCAACCTTGACGAGCCAGCGGGGCGATTCGGGCATGAACCAAATGATGATGAAGAGCAGAATAAGGGGTACGATCTGGAACGCCACAGGAAACCTCCAGATGAATGAAGAGTTGGGGTCCTTGTACTTGGAGGTGCCGCTATTGTTTGGTTTCGTGTCTTAGTTCTAGATGCCCTGAGGACCGTGGCACAGTTGGTGAGGAGGACTTACAATTCAAGCCAGTACGCCACGACAACGCCGAAAATGTTGAGTGTAAACTCAAAGGCAACAAATTGTCCGCGAGAGGTGTGAGCAGCCGTCTCGGTAGCCCAAACTGGTGTAATGGCGTTTAGGATACCGGTTCCGATGCCGTTCAAGACTCGGGCTGTGCATCGTGGTTGTCAGTAAAAGTACTTAAGTCGTCGCGAAATCCTTCCCCTAATCCCCCGAAGTACACTCACCGCAAAACATCCAGTTTGCATTCTGCGCCGCTGATTGTAGAGCCGCTGCAAAGACACACCACAGGCAGGCAAGGCCAATGGTTGTAATACGGCCATATTTATCACCTAACCAACCGCCCAGAAGGCAGCCTGCCAAAGTACCAGGAAGATAATAGACAGCAACCTTTTCGACGGTGGTCAATACTTCTTCCTTGGCACAATCGTGGACTGTGGGTTGGACTTACAATGCCGCCTTGCAACAGGGGTTTATCAACAACGACCAATTGTTGTTGTTCGTCCCAATGACCGAATCCCATCAATTCTGCGTAGTTTCGTGTCGTGTTCACACCACCCATGAGACCTTGATCATAGCCGAAAAAGAAGATAGAGATACCCGCCACTACGCAGACGGTGTTAAGAAGCGTCTGCTTATACAATTTATGAGCAACATTGTGCTCTGCCACAAACTGGCCAAGCTTCCCCATGCTGGGCAATATGCGATGCAGCCCTCCGAGTAAACTCGAAATGGATTAAAAAAAAGTCTGGGGTAAGCCTTGGGCAGTGAGGATAAGGCTTTGAAGCATGCAACCATCAATTCCCATCCTCGGGAAGGGCACGATGACGCCTTTATAACTGACCTCTGCAATAGGACGTCAACATTAGGCTCCTCGGTACCAAAGACAAGGAAGGGGCCGCTTGCATGGAGAAGCTCGCTCACGAGACGAAGAAAGCCAATAGTTCAAACGTCGGGGGCCCCGTCGCATGGGCCTGGTGTGATGAGTATGGGGAATATTACACCAAAAGCCGGGGGAAACACCGCCAGTTCGGGGAGACAGCACCCAGTCCCCGAGTAAGAACCGGAGTCGATGCTCCCACGCATTTCCCCTTTCTTCGACGCCACTGTGGGCATGCCGGTTTGGCGCCGTCGGCAAATGCTAACGCCAACGCCCCACCATCGGCGAGTCGCCGAGTTTTCCGCATGCGCGCCAATGGGACACGACTCAGGTTCACTTCAGCCGTAACAACCTCTGAATTTGCTTAAAGCTTCTGGATGCTCGCGTGTTCCATCAAGCGATGATCCATGCCTTCATTTCCCCGCGGCAATGGCCCCGTCTTCCCCAGAATCTACCACGAGGCGGGGAGCAGAGAATGCTCCAACCAAGGACGGTCTCGGGGAGCCATCGGCGAAGCGTCGGAGGCGCGACGCGGATGAAAATCCAACGTCTGGTGTAAGTCGTGGTTTTGCTCGGTTCATTTAGCCGCCCGTCAACAATTTCATGCTTGTTGCTTCGACTCTCTCGCCACGTTCTTGCTTTCACTTTGTTGAATTGCAAGGCAACGACGGGACAAATCTGGTAAAAATGTCAGCTTCGGCTAACGACATTGACGACAGGGGCCGAGCCGGCGGCAAGCAGCTTGTCAACCGTGCCGCCTACGCAAAGTCAAGTGTGACAAGAAACGGCCGTTGTGCGGCCTGTGCAAACTCAGCGGTCACCCCTGCGAGTACGTAGGCGAGGGAAATGACAAGCTCAGGTCAGTATCATGGTGCCGAAGACCAGCCTCACACTTGTGGAGGCGTACGGCTTTTGTTCCAATACCTTCCCTCATTCTCGGTGCTGCAATGCACCACCGTATACTCAACGATAGGAAGAATTATTCCACCAAAGACTACACGAGCCTAGAGCTAACAGACGCTCCACCATAGTCTTGAAACAGCCACGGCGACATTGCTAGAACGATTTGATCAGCTACGTCAAGAGTTTGAAAGCGTGAAAAATGCGTTGCAAAACCAAGGCATGTCCCGTGGTAGATTCAGTCACAGCTTTAATAAATGACTAACCTTTGTTTGCATTAGAACCCCCAGCGAGGAATCGCGATGCGGCTGATGTGGTTATGACTGACAATTCCCGAGATATCAACCACACACTTCCCCGTGCCGCCTCTGTCGAGGCATCCAGAGATTTCCTTCAGATACCTCCTCATAGAGCAAGTGCCGACACAGTTTTGCAATGGGGGATTTTTGAAGGAAAGTATGCAGCAAACTTCCTCATCGGCACGTTGTTCAGTCCAGATGACAACAGTGTCTCTCTTTGCACAGGAGCTACCTCAGGCTCATCCGGGGATGTCATCACGAACACTTCAGGGCTCACCCATCTCGAAGAGGAACAAATACCTGGCCTCATTGACAGGTTCCTGCAAAATGTGCACACCAAGAACCCGATCCTCGACGTCGAAGCTTTGGTAAAGCATGGAAGAAAATGCGCAGAGCAAGGCATCGGATGGGATGGCCGATCTTGTCTAGTCCTCATGACGTGTGCTCTAGGTGCCGTGGCAAAGCCTTTCGACAGATCATCTCTGCCCATGTCGATGGCCATTTCTCCCGCGAGTGAGACGGGGCCAACTAGTGCCTCAGCAACGTCTTCTAAACTGTACGCCAAGGAGTTGCAGCAGGGTGATTGTTGCTTTACCATGGCATGTCGGCGTCTTGGGTCGTTGAAGTATTCCATGCTCGGTGCGCAATGCCATTTTTTTGCTGGCGGTGAGTAAAAGCTCGTCATTTGGCGCCGGTTTGTTGCCCATGGCAGAATGACTAACTCGGAGATTGCTGCCAGTATATCTCATGTACACCTTGCGGCCAATGCTATCCTGGCATTATTTCCTACATGCTTCAATATTCTGTCAAATGTATCTGAAAATGACTCACGGACTGTCTGGGAACTTCACAGAGGTTTTGGGGGATTCATATCAACGCTCCACATCAAATGACCGTAAGTCTCGACGCTTGGAGCAGAGCCTGTATTGGTCTTGTTTCAAATCAGAGTGCGAGTTTCGAGTAGAACTGCCCCTTCAGCAGTCTGAAATCAGTCTCGGTGAATATCCAGATCTGTTTCCTTCACCGCCCTCACCTATGACCACGGATCAACAAGGGGCGGCTTCGTCGGCATCTGCATACGGTGAGTCTGGATTAATCGTTGACGAAGCCACGGAATTGCGACAGCATGCTGTTCGACTATGCAACGAAGAGGAAAGCTGGTACTACTATCTCACCGAGATAGCCCTCCGTCGTATCGGCAACCGAATCGTCAACACATTCTTCCGGCAAGATAAATTGTCGTGGCTGAATATCAAGCCCCTCTTGCGCATGGCACAGGAGTTTGAAGCGCAGGTATTGACTTGGTCGGCGCATCTTCCTCCAGCAATGCAGCATTATGAGACCACATTCATCATCCGCGCTCCAGACTCAACCATGAGAGGAGCAGGCAGTCATGTGTCAAGAGAACTCAGCTGGGCCATAGACAATCGGCTCCTCGAGATGCAGACATGGCTATACCAGCCTTTCTTGTATTACTTGGTTCATACTGGCTCTGACAGTATAATCGAACCTGCTGGAGTTGCAGCAGGGACTGACCAACAACCTCGAATCAGCAGCCTGTTAAACCCGTTTTCACCACCAAAAATTGGAGCTAGCCCTGGGTCAGCGGCCAGTATTCCTGGTACCTCGCCTCTGAATGCCGACGATGTTGCAGTTCTTCACTCCCTTATATCAATGGGGATTGAATGCCTCCTCAAAACCATCGACGTCCGTGCCCGTGGCCACCGCCACCATGGCTTATGGTATGACCTTCGCAGTATTATGTGTGCGTCCTTGATATTGCTGGCTGTGGTGAAGAGCGGCAACGCGGATTGGATTCCAGGAGGAGCTGCGACTCTTTGGGGCGAGCCACCTTTGCCGTCGGGCTACTGGACGGGAACTGTTGCGCCCATAGGCGGCAAAATTGCAAAGGTCCTTTCCCAGTTTGACTTCTGGGCGGGAGAGTCGCCAGATCTATTGCGATATAAAGAAGTGCTTGAGGCTGTGGTGAGGGACGTTAGAGGCTCCTAGGTACTCAGCCCAAGTCAAAGGATGGTCATTGATATCGGGGTCTAGCCAGGTTCCCCAACCAAGGGCAAAGGCAAACGGGACGCATGGAGCCACGCAATGTACCGACGTCCAGGAAGTGCATTTTGTGCAGCGTCATATCACGCAAGATATTCTTCACGCCCAACTGCGATCATAGGTTCTGGGTGAAAGATGTTGGAGGATATTTCAGAACAAGAATAAAGTGAAGTGGATGGAACATCCCGACGTGCTTGCCCAAGAAAATCTGCTGGCCATGGCGGCTGCCAGGCTTTTATGCAGCCAGCTGCAACCAGCTGGCAATTACAAGATTTGCGCCATTCGCATTGACATCAGGGAAATGAGTGCCTGAAAAGAAACATATTGAATTCATATTCATCCCGCTCATGAAAAGAAGTCCACAGGTCTCCGTCCAAAAATTGCCTTGCACTTCCTTTCAGGATTCTGTTTCTTCAATTCTCACCTTGGCAACGCTTGGAAGCTGAACTGACAAGCAGCTTGCCGGAGCTCTGTTACACCAGTCATCATGACGGAGAACGTGGACGAGAGTTTGCAAAAACTCGGCATACGAAGGATCACCCATCCGACCAAAGACGAGATCCGCGACGCCTACTACCGTGTTGATACAACAGAACTCAACGACGTGTGGGAGTCATATATCACTGGCAAGCAATCCTGGCACCCATGGGAAACGTATAGTCCTCCGAATCTCAAGGTTCTCCGTTACTCAGATATCCGTGTATACCACAGAAATAGTGTACCCTGTCAGTGCGGTCACGACTTGGCCGTGGAGAGACTGTCCGTGGACTACTCCATTTTCGAAGCCGGCAACTATGCAGGTTACGACTCTACGGAGCATTGCTATGCGTTTCGAGGGCAACGAAGACTTCTGGACGACTTTTTAGACCGAGCAGAAGTGCTATTTGAGAAGGAAGAAGTCAAGTCAGCGCTTGTGGGACCTGTTGGTATCTCAATTCCGTTTTCAGGGTTTCCCTCAGGATGGAAATTTGAAGAGTTTGCCATGCACGCTGAGACCATCATGTGCCTGTTGTTCCTAGCATCGAATGACAAAGATCCCCTCGACTTTGAGGGTTTAGCCATTGAGGCAGAAACAGAGCCGGATAGTGATGCGGACTCGGACTTCTTGCGCCAGGAATCCAACTTCGGGAATGGACCGCAGCCCGCTATGGCGGTAGAATCGGGGCAAGGTTTAGATAACGTATCAGATATCTTGTTTGAGCCAGATCGATATCCCCGTCGACAACGAAAATGAATTGTTCGCGGTTGAGTCCCTATCTTCATCTTTATCTCAAATCAGGTTTGTTTTGCTGAGCATGGCCAGCATACAAATCATCACAACTTGGCACAGTCGACGGATATAAGCCAGGCTCCTCACGGAGGCGCATTATCATTACGCTCTTCTTCTCTATACAGACACTAGATAACAAGACAATTTTGTACCCAACACATGACCAGATGGACTTTACAATCCACAGTCCCCGGGTGTCAGTCGCGTAGCGGTAGCATCAACTTGACCAAACTCAACAGCCCGTCCATTCGTAAGAGCATTCATAGCAGTCTGACCAATGTTGAACCCGCTGCCAGCATGGTCAATAGCCAGGACCTTGATGCTCATTCCATCATAGTCCAACCTCCAGCAGCTTCCACAGTTTGGCGAGCCCCAGCCCGCAATGGCATCGGCGCCGCCAATGTTGGGGAAGTTGGGCAGATCACCCTGCTTCTGGTACTTGGGCATCATCCCCGTCTTTCCGTCAGAGCAGGAAACTTCAGTAAGGGAGCGGTCTGCTCTGTCATAGCCACTATCCCAAGAAACTATTCGCCTGTTAAAAAAAAGGACCATGAAAAATATCTTCGAGAGGATGGAGACAAAAAAGTACCTCTAACCGCGGAAGCGGTAACAGCCATGATAGCAGCGCAAATGACTCCAGAGAACTGCATTTTGGAAATGATTTAAGACAAAAATTGTAAAAAGAAGTGTATGCTGAATATGCTTATGCTAATGTGTGGCCGTCAATGCAAGATATGTTGAAACTTGATGTTGGTCTGCTCTTCCTCCCAAGGCGCCGCCATCACCTCTTTATATACCTCCATAGCCGCACCGGAAATCCAGATACTACACCACTGCAGAAACGAGCATCACGGGCTCCGGACCCCATCATTACAACATGATGCGTCAAGAGTGACATGTGCCATCTCCACATCCCCAAGAACAAACCTCATAAGCGGAGCTCGCATCGCCATGGCCCATGACGCACCCAGGCCCACGACGAATTCGGACCGTCGCCATCTCACGGCAGCAATCAGCTTGGAAGTCGCCGGATCGAAAACAAGGTGCCATTATGTCGGGTAGCATGCTATAACGCCCAGTGATATCACTGCGATGCGAGAGCCTACTTGGCGCCAGCCAAATATATCTCGCCACATGTACGAAATGGCAACGTGCCCTTCGTATTCAATGCTTCTTCCAGCCTCACGACCCGCACCCAATGCAGTGGCCAAGCGCACCATTACCACCATGACAGCAGAGGCGACAAATTCAGTGGAGCGGCAGCCGGCTGGAAACGTCGACTGGTCTGTGCATATGTCGTAAATCCCTGACCGCACAGCACTCCGAAGGTGTCCATGTGGGTGAGTGCATTGCAACAGTGGGATGCTTTTTTTCCCTTTTGCAGGGAACACAGCCCTAAAAAGGCTCCAATGCAGCTCGGGAAGCGGCAGGCTCCTTCGTATTTCTCTCTTCAATCTTTTTTTTTTTCCAAAGCTGCCCTCCCCGCGGCAGGCTCTTCAACTGCGTACAAAAATGACGTTTCTACCGAGGCACGCTGCATGCGGGTCATGAGACAATGATCGACGCTGGAAGCTCGTGTACAGGGCTCTGGTGCAGGCTTGTCAGAATAATTGGAACCGGGTATGTCTTCTTTAGGTATCCGAGGTTGCCGTATCCTTCGCCCTGCCTTGTATGTAGGTACTTCGTGTCCAAATATGGAGGCTTACCCAGGTGATCGTCATTTTGCTGCGGTGAGATCGGCTGCAGCTGTTATGAGCCAACTGCCGGGGCCATCCGAAAACGCAGGAAGGGAAGAATAAAAAAGAAAACAGAAAGCATGCCCAGTATGGTCAGGCGTCAGAGAGTTGATATCGAACCATAGCATGCCATCTGCAGGCTGACAGCTATCGTATTGTCCACGATGAAGCGGAGCCCGACGTCTTAGAGAAATGCTCGCCCCGGCGAATTGGATTAAGGCATAAGAATAGTGAGTACTCCGTAGATGCCGAGATACAAAATACTTCAACATGAACCTGCAACTATCAATGCGGCAGCAGCTGCCTCGAAATAAACCACCGAGACTATGGTTTCTGAACACGATCCATTGAATAACCTAGCTAGTTCTATTTAATCACGAGCCCATCGTGACGTACCCAGCCCCCGGGTAGATGGCCGCGAAGCGGTAGCGCCGTTATCAGCTATGCGCGGCGATTGCGCTGACATTGCCGCACCTCCCATACGCGCAAGTTCTGATGCTGTGTATTTTATGAATTTGCCCATCGGGGACTCTTGAGGCTGCATTTTATTAATCATCTCAAGTTCTGATGCTGCGTATTTTATAAATTTGCCCGTCGGGGCCTCTTGATGCTGCATTGTATTAATCATCTCAATATTAATCATCTCAAGTTCTGATGCACTGTAAGTGATCCGGTTTGATCGTGACTCCACGTCAAAGCCTTGAAAGGATTGGGTCACAGGCAGTGCCTGCCTTCGGGACTCCGCTCTGCGCTTGATTCGCACCAGAATGCGGAGAAGTTCGAGAAGGTCAGTCTTCATGTCATCGGTCTCTGAGGCGAGGAACCCTCTGTGAAGCCAATCATTAATGGCAACCTCTTGTATGTGGGCTACTGTGTCATCCGAGAGTACCAAACCGGCTTCAGAAGCTTCAGGTAGAATCTTGTCGATTAGCCCGAGGAGTTTCTCGGCCGCATCCTCGATAATGAACTCTCTCTGCGCTGTCTGAGAGCAAGATGGAGACCTCAAATCTATCAGTTCCATGCCGGGAGATGGCGAATCAACGACAGGACGTGATGTATGGGGTGAAGTGGGAGGTTCTTGTGCAGCTTTGGCAGGCGTGGGAGCTTGTTCCATGCTAGCTTCGCGAGCGGCTGCTTGCTGAAGACTCTCAAGGTAAATCTTGAACTTGTGAGCATCAGGGATATTAGGAAACTGCAAGATATAGGCGAAACCGTTCTTCTCAGCCCTAGAGCACACGCGGCAACAATCGTCCCTTGTATCCGGAGCCATGAGCTCTAAGACATTATGAATCCTGTCTTCTTTGCCTGAGCTAGACAGAACGAGGTAGCCCTCATCCGTGTCTTTTCGAACCTTCATAATGTATGATACTACAAAGAGAACTGATCGGTCCTTTGGATTCAGCAACTTGCAAATGCCACGCAAAACAATGTGCTCGGGGTCCTGCGGCTCAGAGGGTCGAATAGGAAGGCTCATAGATACAGGCGTAGGAGAACCGTGGGACTGCTCAGCAGGGACTGCTGGGCCGGGGCTTGGAGAAGCCATTGTGCTCTTTGGGTCTGAACGAAGCGTCTGTAAATCGCAGTTGTTGGTATTCAGCGGTGTGCCCGGACCGTTAGCAATGATACTTCGAACTGGTGATTTCGGCAGAAGTCTTCTGGTGGACTTGGAGGCGCTGAAATGCCGCACACTCCCGCCAGGAGGTATGAGACCACCAAGACTAGCCGCCGGTGTCTTCTGAAAATAGTTTGCTTTTACACGTTTATGTCCCTTTGATTCTTGACGAATCCTCGGTGGTGCTCTGTGGCTCGGCCATTAGTGACTGGTAGTCAGGACGAGCGTCGCATACTTACGTGAAAACCTGGTGTCGGCTAATGAAATCTTGTGCAATTTTCTTTGCCCACGGACGGCTATCCTCAACGGCGAGGCCCTTCATTTGCTCAGATTCCTCATCGTTGATTTGGACTGCTAGCCTGATTAGCCTCCGTGTATTGCAGAGGTCAAGAGGAGTGTATTTACCATTCCATTTTGTTTCCAGCCCCTTCTTCAAGTCTGGAGCGATGTGACCTGTGCCGTTACGCCGAGATGGAGCAAATGATGGCCCTTTGCCTTTGCCCTCTTTGTTGCTCAAAGGGAGCTCTTCTTGACGTTGGCGTCCCAAGTCAGCCTGTTTGAGAAATGCGAATGAGTATCCGGGAGAAGATTAGAGAAGACTGACATCTTACCATGCAGGCCATTTGAATAGAATCAGCGGTCATGACTGCTTTTGCTCTCTGAGAACTACCTGCGGTGTGTTGCGTGTTGGAGAGACAATGGTCGAATGAGAGGCGAGGAAGAAGTATGAAAAGAGAGGAAGAAGTAACGTGAAGAAATTCTAGGCGGGCGGAGTAATAAGCACGAGAAATGGCAGCTGGCAACTCGTAATAGACAGCTGCCAGCTGCCAGCTGCCTGAGCACTTGGGCTATTACTACATCAGGCCGCGCAGGTTTAGGCCAACTCTCCTGGCCACGTTACTCTGTAATCTTCGCTAGCCAGATCAAAATGCTCCTTTTTACGTCTGGCATCGCTCCAGAACCCTTTCCAGGAAAGGAAAGGAGCATATGGGATCAATGAGCTAGGTATAAAATACCGGACACCACCTTGCCGTTGTGCCTCTTGATTAGCCCTTGCATTATCTGATGGAGTTCAGTACGTTGATTTTGGTATGGGAGTTGACCCTTTCTCGAATGCTTACCTACTTGATCAACAACAAACGACCGCACCCATTCATTTAAAACTAGAAACTTACTGATCTATGGGGAGTTTCCCTGCCTCAGGTCACATCCGCCGGTCCGCCACCCTCAATTGCCAGACCTAGCGGAGTATTGCTCTTGCCATTTCTAGGGGCGCAACGGGCAAGACTCGCTTTTGAGCATATGACTTCTCAGCTCCTCGGACGTCTGATATTGACCTCATAGCAAACTCCGGACATCTGGACGTGGTGTTCTCCGCCCAACTAGCGGAAATCACCGTCTTCGTCGGCCATCCGCGGGCCGCGGATGGCTGTATACCGACTGGCCAGCCTAAATGCCTTAAACGTTATTATGTGGATTGCGCTATGGCTTGTTGCTTTGCGACCAAATCTACTGACAGATATCCCCACGGCCTGGAAAACGAGGCCGGCATCCTGTGGCTTCCAGAGTTGACGTGGGTTTACTAATCGCAGCATCCGTCCACGCAACACCCCGGCGGAGAGGGTGTCGAGCTTCAACCTAAGACGGGATCGGTGTGCAGGCACTCACACTTCAGTGCATGATCAGAAACTCCGCCTACGTCGTCAAGCCAGTTACCACTTTGGCCGCTACGAATAAGCGTACATGTGGCTGAAGAGCCTCGAGTTATGCTGACGCTCATGTAGAGCGGAGTTGGACATGCTCCGCGTCTGATGTTCACAAATCTTCCTCACGCATTGCGTGGAGTTTGGCTGATTAGTCGACAGCTGCGCGTATTCTTCATTGTAAACGGCGGCATACGATGAATGAATTCATGACATGATGGAATGCAAATGGCATAAAAGAGGGGAGGGCAGCACGGCCAGATGAGATTGACTTGTCATCGGAACATCACCAACCACTTGGCTTAACAAAGCTCCTTCGCACCTCATTCATAACAGCCAACATTGCTTTCCTTCTCATAGTAGAAGAGAACGACCAGCTACCCTTTGACGCCCCATAGTTAAGCTTCAGCATGTCTCGCAAGATCATCACTGTTTACGGTGCCACTGGCAACCAGGGTGGAAGTGTAGTCAACTCACTTCTGGAGAACAAGTCTGGAGACTTCAAGATCCGAGGCATCACTAGAAACCCAGACTCTAAGAAGGCCAAGGCTCTTGCAGCTCGCGGTGTTGAAATCGTCAAGGCTGATGGGTTAAGAAGAGACCAGATGCTTGCAGCATTCCAAGGCACCTGGGCTGTCTTTCTCAATACCAACTCTGTCGATCCTGTGAGTCCCAGGTAGCACAGAATTCACATACATGAAGCCCAACGTCTAACATGACTTTACAGGCCCTCCACCAGCCGGGCGGCATCACTGAAAGTGACCACGGCAAGGAAGTTGTGGATGCAGCTTTTGAAGCTGGAGCCGAGGTCTTGATATACAGTGGTTCTGCATCTCCCGCCAAGATCACCAATGGTTCCATCACCAGCGCCGGAATGGACGGTACGTAAGAATGCCCAGAACCCGTAGATGAGAACAAACCATCTAACATCTCGACAGAGAAATACATAGTTGCCGAATACGCCAAGGCCAAGGGCTTCAAGAGTGCCGTCAATGTTGGAACTGGTTGGTACATGGAGAACCACTTCAACCCCGAAGTTGCTGTTCTTCTTGGTGGCTTGCCCTATACAGAAGATGAGGACGGCTACCTAACCTTGGCCATGCCCAACTGGGGCGGAGATAATACGATCCCCTTTGTCTCCATCGGAGACGACTATGGCGACATTGTCCACGGAGTTCTTCTTGATCCCGAGACCTATAATGGCCAGTTTGTGCAGGGTTTCAGCGAACTCGCCACGCCTGAAGAGCTTGTTGCTGCAGTCCAAAAGGGTGCGTATTCGCAAAGTAACGCATTGTTCGTCGTGTACTGACCATTTCCAGCATGCGGCAAGAAGTCCCGCTTCAACGAAGTCAAAGACTGGACAACCATTGAGACCCATGGAGAGCCGGAGATTGAAACCGTCAAGAACCTTTTCGGATTCGTGCAATACACCGGTGGCCAGTTCTTTGGCGTCCCTAGCGACGTTGCACAGTCCAAGAAATTAAAGGCCGCAGCAACTACTGCAAAGGGACGTCCCGCTTCCGATGGTAAACTCACCACCGTTGAGCAGTTCGCCAAGAAGGCTCTGTCCGCTTAAGTCGGAGAAAGAGAGAGTCTGCACATGATGATGCATGCATTACTGCATAGAATCAATGGACATGGAGTTGAAATGGAGATGATCTGTACACATTCTGTTCGCGATACAGTCTTCTCGGAATAGGACGGGGTGGGATTGAAGTGTTTCACAAAGCATCAGAACAGACAACGATATCTTCAAAGTTGCCGGTAATAGTTGGCACTTTATCAAGTACCCTGAATAAAGATTGATTGTGTGAAACTGATTTTTGATCCGAGAAGAAAAAATCGAAATCGTCGCAAAGTTTAAGCGTTACATCCCACTTCTTGGCTTGTTGTGATGCCCCTCTGTGATAGACGGCATACCAAGATCCTCGCAGCTCCGATTGTTAGACCCGGACGTGTTTGGCCGCTATGGACCCGGGTAGGATGCATATCGATCCAAGTCACAGGCTCATCATCTCCAAAAGCTTGTGAGTTGACACCGTCAGGCTTGCCGGCCTGTCGAATCAGGAGGCTCTCCATTGTTGAGCCTGTGATGGTGCACGGAGCGACTTGGTGTACCTACCCATCGCCGCTGGAACGGCACGCAGACCTGGACGGCCCATGAAGGTGCACTGTTGATGATGGCCATGTAACTCGTTCGCCGTAGACGTTGTTTAACAGTAGCAACATGTTGGAGTAAAACTTTTGCTCACCAAACGGAAAGAAGCCAATCGCCACCAAGGTTTGGTTCAAGTAGGACGCAACTTTGTGCATAGATGACCTGGCCCTTGCTTCCGACTTCAACTAGTATTCCAACTATAATGTGACATGTCAGATGAGGGCCAAGGTCGGGTCGGGTACGAATTCCACGTATAGAATCGTCAGATAAAATTACGGATTCGGAAATAAGGACGGGTTAGATAATTAAAAACCTTGCATCAGTTGTCGATGCTGTCAGCTTGACGCAACGGACAGGCCATCAATTCGTTAGACCAGGTCAACTGACCAATCGGGTTCGTGGCGATGCTCTAATGCCCTAGTGAATATTCCTTGGCCGTTATCAGAATGGTTATTCCAAAAACTTGAGCGCACTCTCTCCATTTCTACGCCGGCATTGAGGTATGGAGCAAGGTGTGGCGTACCTACCAGGCGTATGTATACTCACCCAGACCGTTTAACCCATCAATCATCGATGATTGTCGCGGGTTGGCGTCTGGCAAATGACACCAGACTTCAATGTTCATGTCGACTTTACCGCAGAGTTCAAGGGCCCCAACAGTAGGGGACCGGCTCAACGGGGTTGATTCAGGACCCAGTTTTTTAGGTCTGGCGGGGAGAAATGTCTTGCACTTTAATTTTGGTGAGAGACAGTGGCATCCAGAAGGAGTGGTACGATCGTGTAGGGTCTGGTATGCTGTAAAGAGTTTGGCTGATGCTTGGGGGAGTGGCGGTGAGCGACAGAGATAGTATGATGTTTTTTTTGGATTCTCTATTGATGACTGGATGGACGTGTTTGACCGAAGCTAAGCTCCCTGTGTGAGGATGTAATAAACCACCTATATCGCACTCTAGATACTCCATATTGTCGATATAATTAGCTCGCACCGCCGTTACCACCCGGCTTGTTACTACAGTGTACAGGCCCAGGGCAGCTAAGCAGCTCCCTAAGCCTCCAAAACCAAATAATAATAGCACATGCAGTCAGTCCAAGCCTCCAAGGCCCCTGGTTGCCTCAATCTTTCCATCTTCTCTGTCCATCTCACTCCAAGGAGTAGTCTGGTCTGGCACCAGACACCAAGGCCTGGTTTCAGCATGCTGCCCAGTCAACCAGTTTAATGTCTTCAGTGTGGCCATGTGACCATTCCTCGACGCTACTCGAACCAGCTTGAGAGTGCAGTGAGTTCTCCGCACCCCTGCGGCGCATGTCTGTTGAGAACGCCATCTGTGCAAAAATGTCGATTGGTGTCGGTTAGTCTTTTGTATGCAAGTCTGGTACTACTACTTGGACCAATGCACGGTTTACGAAGCATCCAATCTGCACTGGACGTACCAGTATTCCCTACAGTTCGTCTCGTCCCTGGATCCCCCCGCCCCATTCGTCTCAAGTGGTTGCATGTGCTGCATGGCGCCCTCCGTCCCCTCTTCGCTGGCTGTCGCCGTCCCGCGAACCACACTCGGTCGGTTGGCACGGCTCTCATCTGCCTGGGGACACATCAATTGATACCTGTCAAGTATTATCCGCGTCTGTACTCGGTACACTCCGTTCTCCATGTTGCGTAATCCTCCCCTCTCGGCCCCCCAAGCGAGTGAAACACTGCGTATATCACCTCCTCACCATCCGCTTCCCCCTCTCCTCATCAAAACCACTTTGTTTCTTATTTATTTTATTTTTGGCACACCGTCCCGAGTAAAAGGTCCATTTTCCGGGCCACGTCCAAGACACAGCCTCCATTCGTGTTCACGCTTTATTAAACCAGTCACCACCCCTGGTCCGGTATCGCACTGACCAGACCACTTACCCACTTCTGCAATCATCGGTAGCTCAACGACAAGCTCAACCGTCAGTAGCTCAACAAGCTCCTGGTCCCTGGATACCTTGGGGGCGTCCATCTCACACATAATACTTGCAATAAAAGCGCCCTGTCCCTCTCGCCCCCTATCCCCAATTCCTCCCTGTATCCCCTCTAGAATTCCTCGCATTCTCAAATTCACACATTCACCATGTCCCGCGTCACTGCGCCCATGTCAAAAATCTCCCGAGCGCTGAGCGCCTCGTCGTCCAGCATTGCCGCGCGCTCTGCCTCGCCGCTGCTGGACAGCTCTGCACACAGCGCGGGAGCGGCGCTCATGCCGAAATACGCCGAGCTGTTGCGCAACAGGAGCAGCGAGCCCTCTGATGTACGCAACAAAAGAAACACCCCCTCAAAAAAAAGAAAAGAAAAGATTGCTAACCTGACCAGTCTTCTCGCGGCCTCGCCACCACCCATCGACCTACTCCCCAACCCTCTCTCGCCAACCGCTCCAAGCCACTCATGCAGACATTCCACTCGTCCGCCCCGGACTCCATGATGCACACCTCCACCACACACATTGACGCCGCTGTACTTCCGTCAATGAGCTCCCTCGCCAGCTCGTCAAGAACTGAGCAGGGGCCCCGTGTGCCCCTTCTCCCGGACAACTACGGCGCCGCCCATAGCCCCCTCGCCTCTGATGACGCCGTCAGACCAGAGGTGACGATTGTGGCTGCTGACCCGGACAACGTTGTCCCCGGAGCGCCCTTGTCCGGAGTCGAGGGCATCGGCTTGGACGGGATTGAGCTCAAGTTCATGCATGATGACGCTGGCCAACCCAAGGCGGACGAGAGCAGTGGCATGATTCGGGATATCTGGAAAGGCATGGTGGAGGACGTGTTTGGCGGCACGCCCAAGAAGGCTGTGTGACTGTGAGCTATGCGCTTTCCCAATAACGACTCTTGTAACGGCCTGGAGCTGAGACTTGGCCTTGGGAAGGCCGAGCACAGTTTGTATTAAGCGTTGTCATTTGAAACTACGGGCTATAGGATGTTCTGATAATTTAGGTGCGCTAGTGCAGCCGTACAACTACAATTTCAATATGATCTTTGTCTCTTTTTTGATGCCGGGATAACTGGCATGATGAATAAAGAAGCTGTTTTACCTAATGCATTCTCCAAAGTCTCAAGTACTAACTAATAGTGGTATTGAACGAGTCCCATGTACGTCCGTAGCTGCAACCAACAGAGAGCAGCAACATCCGTCGTACAATTTTACGCCCTGATAAACACAACTGGTGGATTTGTTTTCAGAATTCCCCTTGCAACTCCCCAAAACCCCTCATGGGCCGAGCCCCCGAGCCCATGATGTAATCCCCGCTATTATACCATCTACCGCTTCTTCAGTGTCGTCCTTGGCTTGCATTCGTCACCCGTTACCGGGTGCAGCATAACCTTGATCGGATAGTTCTGCGTGTTATGCTGGTAGCCCTTGCTCCAGTCGTAACTAACGGCATAGGCAAAGATGCTACCCGTCTTGTTAAACGTCGTTGCCGTGATGCTGCCTCCCACATTAGGGTATCCCTTGAGACGGTGCTTGGCGTCCTTGTCCCAGAAGTGGAACGTGCCGTCCGATCCAGCCGTGCTAAAGGTGCCATGGACGGGGTGGAACGAAATGTCATTGACAGCGTGGACGTTGACGACGTTGTTTACCGCCGGATCTCGGTGGCATTTGAAGGAGAAGTTTGAACTGTGTGACAAGTGTTAGAGGAGCCGAGCTCTGCGGCAATCTTTGCTGGCGGGCCAGCGCGCCGACGTACCTTGAGTCCTTGTCCTCGACGTATTGAATGGCACACCGACCCTCGATGCTGCCAATGGCGAAGCCGGCCGAGTCGGTGAAACAGCTGACAACTCGTGTCTGCCACTTGAGTGGGCTCTGCATCGTCTTGTAGAACTTGGAAGGGTTCCTCAGATCGATTACATTGATGTATCTGTCAGCTGTGCCGACAACGCACAGATTGTCCCTCACATCCATCGTGTATACGCGCTCCTGGCACGACACCGTGGCTGCGGCCTGACCCGGTTGCCTCAAGTCCCAGTACTTGACGGTTTTGTCCCACGACCCTGACACAATCATGGGCGCGGCACCGCTCTCGAAGAATCGACACGTGCGGGCTGGTTGTTCGTGGGTACCAATGACGATATCTTGCTGAGAACTCAAATCACACACCTTGACGTTTTTATCTGAACCGGCCGAAACGATCTTTGTGCCATCCTATCCACAGAGTCTGTTAGCATACATGGAAAAGGGAAGAAGAGGTAGCAAAAAGCCACGAGGGGCAAGCCCGGCCCATGGGATACATTGTTTTTTACCTTGGCAAAGTCACAGTCAAACACGGGTTGTGTGTGCTCGTATGCATGTCGGCCTTGGCTCTGGCCATTCTGGGCGATTTCGTAGATGCGGACTTTGTTGTCCCAACTGGCAACGGCCAAGAAATCAGGGCCATTAGGCGCTGGCGAGAATGAAAGAGCAGAGATGGAATCGGTAGGAGGGTCGCTGAGGGCCACGTCTGACTTCAGGTCGCCGACGGTACTAGTCGCCGCGGAGCTCGCAGTCGTTCCAAATAGCCCAGACATGGTGACTGTGAGCTGCGCCGCCGATGGCCTATTTCGTGGTGTTGGTCAAGATTTGAAAAGTAGAGGAACGGTCGTCGTGAGTCTGGTGGTTGCGCGCGCGTGGTGGCTCAACTTGTTGGCTATAGTTGCCTATTCCGTCTCTTCGACGTTCACTCAAAATAGATGGATTGTATGTTCGTCTGCAGCTCCCAAGCAGAAACGCACTGCAATGGTGGGAGGTTGAAATGTCAAGCTGGTAGGACAATATGTCACGATGATTCTAGGCAGGGACGGCTCCAGCCTTCTTCTTTTGAATTCAGACACTTGATTGGCCCACATTAGCAAATTCTCGACGGGCTCTGCCTCTGTATTACAGAAGAAAAGTGGACCCGCCCAGCTAGATAAAATTTCACGCCCGGAGCCACACGCAGCTTTTTCCTTTTCCTTTCTTCTCTACCCCCTCGCTCAACAAATCGCTATTCGAAGCTAACGCACAGAGACACCCGGCTTCGGCCAGCGTCTCGTCACTCTATTGCTTTGGGAGAAAGTCCCCGGACGTCTCTCTTCGGGGAGCTTGCGGAAACGCGCCGCCATAGAAGCACTGCGGCTGACCTTTGGCGCCTTGGCCTTCTTCGTGGACCATTCGCCCTACTCGTCGCTACATCCGCGTCTTGCAAGTCTTGCTTTGGAACCTAGTTGCATCTCTCGGCCCATTTGGATGAAGATATGAGTCCGTGTTGGGATGGTGTGGTTGGGACTTCCGGCGCTAGACGAGCAGGTTCGGATGACGGGTAGCCGTGGGTGACATGGAGTGTGGCATCGGGTACTGAGGATATTTTGTCGAGGTTGATAGGTATGCGATTGCTCGGTTTACCGGGTTACTCGACGGGGCTTATTCTTGAGGCGAGGGGGTCACAACCCATTGTTCATCCTTGTTGATGGCGGTGCCGACTTTTTTTTTTAACCTTCTGAACTTCGTGGGAAGTTTTCTGGTCTGGCCCTGCTGTTGATTGGGATGGTTGGCATTTCATATGATGAAGACAATTATTAGAGTCAAGCACTGAGGCGGGAATCATACTTGCCGATGCAGACTTTTCAAACAAATGTCTCTGATGAATCTTTGCTCTTTTTCTTTTCTTTTTCCATCTTGCCAAGGCACCCCGAAGGACCAGTATATACAGCCTCTTGCATGGTGCATGTTTGCACATACGGAGTTTGGGCTGATATTGCGGCATGCCATGTTGTATGGCAAAACACGGGGACGTTGGTGATATATTTGCTATTTTAAACTCGTAGACCTTCAACGAAGTTGAAAGTAACCTCTCCACAAGCGTTGCAACAAGCCATCCGGATCCCACTTCTTGGCTATTGTCTGGAGCCATGGGTAATTATTACCATATGTTCTCAGTACTTCTTGAGATCGCCCTGCATAGTTGATGTAGACATAACCCCGGAGAAGCTTATTCTCTCTCGCAACACGTTCAATCTCGCAGAGAAGCTCACTGGCCGAACTCTCAATGACGGCGTCCAGCTCGGCGTCGGCCCAGCGCGCCGACACCTGCACCATCATGAGCGGACCATCTTGAGGATACAAACCAAGAGCATTGCCCCCGTTCTGCTGCATCTTTTCCAAGATGTTGTCCGTAATGGGCTGATACACGAGATAGGGTGTAAACTGCCTGGTCTGGGCAGCCTCCTTCACCCGGACCACCCAATCTTTGTACATTTCACCAATCTCTTCGAACAGCGGCACCGATCCCACCGCGACGGTGGTATCCCACCAAGTAGCCCTCTGACCAACCGGCTCATCAATAAGCCGGCTAATCGTCGACACACTGCCCACGAGGGCATTGTCCAAAACCAGACCTGGGACAGACTCGAACCCATCAAACACAGCCGGCGTGGCATTGGCAGCAGGAGGCGTCGCGTGGAAGAAGCTCGTGAGGAACAGCCACCGCCGCTCAGCCGAGTCGTACGTCTGGACAAAGTACGCGTGCGCCCCGGGGTCGGCGGCCAGGCCCTCGGCCGCCAAGCCCGTCATCCTGGGCAGAAGTGTCCGGTTCGCTTCGCCGCCGTCAAACACCAAGGACCGCGTCCACAGGTCGCCCTGCTCAAAGGACGCGAGGTCGAACCGCGTGACGATGCCATAGTTGGAGCCGCCGCCGCCGCGGAGGGCCCGGTACAGATCCGCGTTGCTGGAGGCATTGGCGTCGACGACGCGCCCCGACGAGAGGACGAGCTGGAAGTTACGCACGTTGTCGCACGCCCAGCCGTGCAGGCCGGAGAAGTAGGACTGTCCGCCGCCGAGGGTGAGCCCGCTGACTCCGACGCTGGCGGCGCGGCCTCCGACGACGGCTAGGCCGAGGGGGTCGAGGGCCGAGGACACGTTGATCCAGCGGTTTCCGGGGCCCACGGCGACGGTTTTCCTGTCGGGGGAGACGGCGACTTGGTCGAGGTGGGCGAGGTCGATGGTCACGCCGTCCTGGATGTTGGAGCCGCCGGGGAAGGCTGTGTGGCCGGCGCCCTTGACGGAGAAGGGGGCCTTGAGAGACGTGAGCGTCTTCATGACGTGGGATACATTTTGGGTTGAGCGCGGCGTGACGAAGCACTGTGGGTGAAGCGCCGATTGGCGAGCTGACCAGTATGTGTTGGAGAGGTTGTAGCCGGGTGAATTGGGCAGGTGGACGTTTTCGGGGAGAGTCTTGGCCAACTCGCGGCACTGTTGGGGTGTTAATGGACGGGTGTATACCTTGGTTGGCGATGTTGACGTACAGCTTCTTGGACGGCGGTGCGTTCATCCTCGTTGAGGCACGCCGTTGGCCAAACGGGCAGTGCTAATGCCAGTGTCGAGGCTAGCATTCTCATCTTGCTGCTTACTTGTTTGCGCGTCTTTGAAATGCGTGTTCCTTCAGGCGAGCTGTCCTACTCTCTGGTCCTTCGGTGCGACGGGCGCTCCTTATGTAGCAGCTCCATCACCATCTTTTGCCAACATCCGGACGGACGAAATGCTCGCCATCGGGCCGTGTGACCGCTTCTCGTATGCAGTCGCTGCCCAGTTCCCGTCGGATATGCCTACATCCGGAGCAGGTAGTCGATAGGGTGGGATCGGACCGCACCGCCCCCGGGATTCACGAATCGAACATTTGAAGAGTGGACCGGGAAGCTGGCGAATCGTCAGCTTCGAGCGCGGCAGAACCCTGCGAAACAAACTTGACGAAAACGGTGAATCTCTGTCGCGGAGCTGAAGTGCCGACTGGACACCAACGCTGTGCGCAGTGACCGGTGAGCTGAAAGGGGAGATGCAAAGCTGGCGCAGTCGACAAGCGTGTCGATGAATGCCAGTTATCAAATGACTTGGTGGGCACGTGGTAGGAGGGCGGCATTATATTTGCCCACCTAGGTAGTTGGGAGACGGGAGACAAGATCAATTGATACTTTTTGGCGGCTTTTGACTGTTGTGCAGAAGCTACCTGTGCCCATGTCTGATCCAATAATCGCTTTGACCAACATTGCTCTCGTAGACAGCTAGTGTCATTGATTTTGAGAGCCGGTGCTTTTTACAAGGAGCTGCGAGATGAGAACCCCGACTTCAAGCAAATACCAAGGTTGGACAGAGTGTTGAGCTCGCAGCGCCAACGCATGTCACATTTGCCCACAACGAGCCCTTCACAATGGCAAGGCAGTGTATGTAAGAAGCTTTCCTTGTCTCAATTGAACCAATATATGTAGCTACCGCGGTGGTTTTGCTAGACCCTCTTCCCCCCATCAATCACACTTGTAAGCCGAATACGTCGAGCCGGACAAACCAGCCGCACAACTCTGTCCAGCCACGACTACTCATCAACATCTTTTTGCAACTTGATAAAGCAAGAGGCGCTCGTGTATAACGTACCATCTAGCAAAACTTCCAGTTATCCCAAGCAAAGGCGCTGTCGGATCGCCCGCCAGTGTGCTGCCACCGAAAGCTTCCATGCGGAGTGTCGTACCACACGTCGACGCCGTCGGTCGCGATCCTCATGCCGTAGCCGCCGATGCAGCTGATGCGCCACTGGCTCCCCTCGACCCAATGCCCGCGGCCTGAGTCGCAAACGCTGCGCCCGTCGTCGACGATGTACGCCGTCTGCAGCACCGGTCCGCTGGAGGGGAAGAGGACTGACCCAGCGGAATGGAGGCAGGCGAGCGACGGGGCGATCGCAGCAGCCAAGGGGGCAAGATTGCGGACCTTCATGGTTTAAATTGACAACGTTGTAGCTGTTTGAGAAACTTGGACGAGGAATGGTTGTTGATGCTTGGGGGACCAAGCTGTTGAGCCTCATGGCAGCAGTCTTATATGCTTATTCCATGGTGGGGAAAACCGTCCGTTTGCAAAAGCAAGGCCGGCTAACAAGAAGCAATGTCGTTATGTTGTTGGTCAGACCATTGTGTTCTAATGGTGAATCAAGACCGACTACATAGCTCACGGTTAGCATACATACGCACCCAAGTGGAACTATATCAAATAGGACCACCATAGTAATACATATAATAGGCAGCAGTTACAGCCTGAGGACTTGCGTGCCGTTTCGGTCCTGATGCATAAACTACTACTCTTGGCTCCGAATTGGGCATCATGCTGCGCGTCTACTGGGCAGATGTTGTACGACGAACTCTGATGAACGCGTGGCTCCCCATCGTCAGCTTGTGCATCATGCCGTGTCACTGGCATCTCTCTGGGGCACAAGACCCGATATCGGGCTGATTGAATGCAGTTTCCAGGATACAATCCTCATCGCGGACTTGTTCCGGTAGTCTCCATATATCGGCAGTTAGAACCGGTCGAGACTGTATTCGGCCCTCCCTGCAGCTCATGGGACATGTATGGGGCTTTGCTTACGAGGGAGATATTCCTTTGTGTTGGTGGTGGACGTTGTCTTGGATATCTGGCGGGCAAACGAGAAACCTCGGGATTCAAAAGCTATAACCGTGGCATGAAGGACGAGACAGACGGACATCTGGACTCTACAATGGAGGAATGATCTATTTGAGTTTATAGTATGACACAAAGTCGTGTGGTTTAACTGGTTATCTGGAAACACTTATCAATGAGTATATTTCTTATTCAAGTCATCAAGCACCCTAGGTTCTTATTATCACAGCTCGCAGAACTATCACCGAGGCTAATCAAGGAGAGTAGGGAATTCACGTAGGCAAGTTAACAGACCAAGATATTTTAGAATATACTATCACCATACTCTATTTATCCTAGACTCTTTTCGTTTTATTTTTATATCCTAACATAAACGCAGTCACATATTCCAATACCCCTGTGATTTTGCCAAACGAACAAGCCCCCTGCCCAAAACCAGCGCTGCCATCACTGGGAGGGTATAAGGATTAGGCCTCAGCCTCCCATAACCTGTAAATGCCAGAGTTGACCTGCTTGGTCGCCAGTTTCAGCCTTGTAATATACGCGTAACGAAGGCCGTCAAATGTTCTGCGCCAGTCAGCGACCCAAGTTGCTACAGATGTAAAAGCACCCGATGACTTACGCAGGCAAAAGACTTGAATGCTCCGCTAACACAAACCCTGTTGCTTCCCTCCCTACGCGTTCCCCTGCAGTTGGTATCCGTGAAGAAAGCACAGCGAGTGTCACCACCCACGTATATGCTTCCCGGTACAACCATGTTACCGTCACAGTTGGCGTGGTGATCGCCGCCGTTGGTGTACTGGGTGCAGCTCGCGCCCGAGTCGCCCCCAGCGAGGTTGTGGCACGTTTTGGAGTCGCTGCCTTCGTAGTACCTGTATGCGCCGTCGTCGTGGACTCGGCAGTCGCTGATGTAACGGTAGCTCGTTACGTCCCATGCATAGGAGAAGCCAGCGAGGGCTGACACAGCTACAAGACTGGTTGAGAAAAGCTTCATGATGATGATTATCTTCTAAGAGGACCGAATGCTTTGTGTATGCGAAGGATGGATTGAAAAATCGTCATGGAGAAAGACTTCCTCTGTCACGAGGTAGTGGACATGGTTCTTATAGTCCGTCCACATTGGCATGAACAAGTCGTCGATATTGGGGGTTATCGCTGGTGTGACATGTGCCGGAAGTACATGCCAAGCGTGATTCTCTGATGTTTGCTCGGCCAATGCCCTTCTTGTCGATGGGAGACCGCCAGCAAGGTGGCTTTGTCACCATGATACGTGGGTACTGATACCCCATGATATTCCTAATGGTATCTATCCGATTCCTCCAATCGATGCCACGGTATCATCACTCTTTGTAAGCCCCTATCCTAAATTATAGCAGGGATAGTCTGCGGTGTTTACGGAGGCTGCTGCCGCTTGTCAAGTACAGCGGGTTATACAACCCGGCCGCAGCATCAAACCTATCGAAACACCGGGGTTTACAAGCCAGGCATTAGCTTTGTAATGGTATCAATACAGCGTGTGGGACAAGGCCATAAAGAGGGACTGTTACCTCCAAGTCAACTCCACGATCCTAGTGGGGATGCAACGCAGAATGCAGAATTCTCGCCGCTTGCTGCCTAGTATCTACCCCTGGTTCATAGATGCCCATTTGAACTACCGTTTGGGAATATATCCACTCGACTTCTCGTATCTTGGACTACGCGGCTAAGTCTTACTCTACCACGACTATTGCTCCCACTGTTTGAGCCACTGCATCAACACTTCTACATGGGTGGGAGGTTTCTGGTTTCTGCACCAACTCTTTGGGCAAATGAAGTTTCTTGAGTATCGTATTTCCCTAGCTAGAACAGATAGTAGGTTAGATTCTATGTATGCTCTAGACTAGACTTCAGCATCAGAAATAACTATGGTTATTAGGCATTCAGAAAGTGATACTCTCTTCTGAGTCTTGTCTGCCAACTCAATCTACAGGATTCAAGCCACTATGCCTCGCCCCAATTTACTCATCGGCCCACCGAATCGCTTATTTTCGCCGCTTTGGGAAATAAACCAACAGCCGATGTCGCATAGAGGTGCGGGCTGGCATGAGAGTCCGGAGCCTGCCAGGCAAGGGACTAGGAGAGTGGCATTGGGTATGCGATCTGCCTATTCAGGTCGAATCCATCAAGGTTATGAATACCAACAGTTCTACTGGGATCTGATCCTATCGCATCGACTCGTTCGGATGTACTCAGACACGCGCACGGATACAAGAACGGCCGGACTACTTTCGGACGCCTGGCAATGGTGGAACAGCTCCATCCATTCTACATGAGGGATTTGTTGGTCCTTGGATCTAAAATTTCAGGTCTTCTATAAAGGCTTGCTTTATAAAACTTGACAAGAAAGTGGATGCCATGGCGTAACAGTGCAACTGCAAAAAAAGGACCCAGAGATATTCCCATCCAGGAAGTGACCGAAGTTGAAGTTGCATTTTTCTCGTTATCAATTTTTAAGCTGAAGGACACTCACTTAGTGATGAAATGTCAAATATACAATATCTGAACAAGTATATGTGCAAGGTGTCACAAACGAAATGGTTCAGACTGAAGCCTTCTGTCTCGCCGTCAGGACTACGAGTATACCGGCTGCTGTCGCAGGTAACTCTACGACGAAGGGGTATATATTTGAGGACTAAACAAAATCATTGCGAGACTTTGAAATGAATAATACCAATTTCATTACCGGTGTGTTTATGATGCTCTTCCGCGGTAGCAAAGAAAATTACAACTTTCGTCAATAGCTCTCTCTATAGTGGTTCAGGGGCGGGGCTGACGGTGGTAATTTTTGGACTGGAAAATGTATTGTTTCCTCAGTTAGCTGTCTGCCCAGTTTATAACAAGATCTAGTGTTTCTCATTAAACACTTGGGCTCTAGTTTTGTTCTAGGCGACTCGAGTAAAGAGGTACTATTTGTCTATGTAGGAGCCCAGCAAGCTTCTCGGCGGCAAGAAAAGTTTGCAGCGCCACCAGAAATACATTAGACCCAAAAGCTTAATTTGCTGTATTCTAGAAGAGATTGACGAGGCAAGAATCAAGATTCTTCAACTGAGCCGCGATAAATATCCACGTATAAAATGCCGCGAACCTTGTTTCTCTCTCGGGCGTCATGACTCCATCTTTGTAGGCTGTCCATTTTACGGCAACCCCAAACTGTACGAAATGTTTCTCATAGCAGTTGATACCTGTCTTAAAATGGTGGCCATGCATGTCGACATTGTGGAGGGCCAGACACGCCGACCAGGGACACCGTGGCTTCATTGGCAGTATCGTGACTTGCTCGTTAGTGACGATGAGATATAGATCAAGGTAGTTTTTTTTAGCCATCTGCAATGTTTGCCCGCACGGCAAGTGATCTTGCTCTGGCTTGCATGTAAATGGCTTTTCTGAATGCGACGTCTGCGCTCGTTGTGTCCAAGCTTGAGTGTGTTGCCAGCGTAGCCTGATATGTTCCGAGGACTCAACATCATTACTTTCCGTTGCTAGTCCCGCCACATAACATCCCATTAATGGACGTTAACCCGGAGTGGTATGACCATTTGTGCAGCGAGGTCTTGTACTTTCGGTGGCAGGCTCGGGACCTCGATTGCACCGCTTACCCTTAGGCGAAGAGAGTAAATTGGCAAGTACCCCGTGTTCGAGGCTGAAGGCTCCGAACACAAAAGGTCCCAATTTATAAAGGCGAACGTCGGTCTAACACATGGCCGCATGTCTGCTGCACACTTTCTCAGGACGGTGCAACCAGACAAACCCCGCAGTCAGAGAAGGCGTGTCCCAATTCGCGGGTCTGTAACTTATCGAGTAATGTTGAATTGAGAGCCGGTTTGTAAAACTGGACGTTTTTAGGCGAATATCCAGGTCTGTGGCTACGCGCAACTCCATCAGGGCACGCCAATTGTGGCTTCTAATGAACCTCCAATGTTGCAAAAGAGAAGAGGGTCGAGGGATGCGTTCATGCCAGATTCAACCAAGACAAGCCGCAGAAGCAACGCCGCGCCGAGACTCGACACAGGCTTTGTCGCAATCAGCCAGACTTGGCAATCTTTTGACTACACTTCTTCTCATAAGACTCCAACAGGTGGCGCGAGTCGTTGTCAAGAGTTTCCGCGCCTCCATTCTCCAATGCCCTCTTGACCAAGTCAGCCCCTTCTTGGTACCGACGGAAAAAGTACAGCTCCTCGACTGCGTGAATGAGCTCCTGGGTGCGCATTTTATTCGTGCCGGGCTGCAGAGGCAGCGTTACATGTTTATAAATCTACGAGCATAGTAGTCAGATTCATGGACTCAACCAAGAGCTCACAAGCCAATTCACGGGGCTTATGAGGGAGTCGTGGCGTAGCTTACCTCGCCGTTTTCAACGCGAACACGGTACTCCCGCTTCACAGCCTGAAAATCCGCCTCCGACTGGCCGGTCCTGTCGGCCTTTTTCTTGGTGACGTCGACTTCGTCATCGGAGATTTCAATGTTGAGAATGCCGTTGTCTTCGTCGTCGTCCATGGCGGTGGTGCGCGTGAATGAGGAAGATTTTTGCGGTGAGGTTTTGTTTCTTGGCCCCACTGGGTTAGACACGGGTTGTCAGTTGCTACCTTGTACTTGTGATGCACCAGCTAATGATGAATTGCTCGGCGGGCTCACTCGTTTTGCTAGGTGCGCTCACGCACCAACAGGTACCTAAATATTAGGTTATATATTATAATATATTTTATAATAGGTAAATATACTATAATATAAATTATCTCTTTAGAAGATAAGAAGAGTTTAAATACATACGATACATACTTACCTACTGAGGGGGGTGAGCGCACCTAGCAAAAAGAGTGAGCCCGCCGAGCAATTCACAGCTAATGGGCGCATTGTAATGGAGTTGGTGTCTTCCAGTCTGCTAATTAGAGCCTAGTTGGTCTCTGAATGCCAACATCGATGAAAACATGGCGACATCAATTGAATTACAGTGTAAATAAATTGCGCGGCAGTTGCCGCCATAGGTTGCTAGCTGGCACACTCAATACAGACACGCTATCTCAATGCAGTAATTGTAAGCACAGAGCTGGAATAATTTTGTAACTTTTGTAGGGTCCCCTTTTATTCTCCTGTCTCACAGCTTCGACAATTGACTGAAATATAGTGCATTCTGATCCAGGCTCCCGTGCAAGTTTTGTCGACATGGATGGATGCGGTGAGATGTAAAGTGGTGGGAAAGAGGTGTTGGTGTTGGCTCCCAATATCATCAGGAGTAAGACGGGAACGAAAATCATATTTGCACTGGGTAAAGACACCTCTTGATCCTAGCTGGGCTTTTAGAGAGAAATCTAATGATTCGAGTCGTATCATCCCAACGCTAGAAGAGTTCGGTATTGGCGCCACCTACCGAACGGGACGACTCACAGTCTTCAAACACAATTACTTGGATGTATTGTCCGGAAAGTGACAGCTCTTGCTAGTTCTGGGACTTTGGTCTAAATAAGCCTCTCTGTCTTCTTCACATCATTGGAGATGGGCCTCAATTTTGTCGCCCATTTGTCTTTCTTTTCACGTCTTTCTTGCCTCCATAGACCCGAGAGGGCACTACTGGTTTCCTTGTTTCCCTGTTCTTTTGTTTTCTTTTTCTAACAAGTCGGCAGTTTTGTTGTTTGAAGTTTCTCTGCAACCTAAGCTCTATGAAGGCTCGGGATTGCCAAAAGTACGCGCTCGACAAATGGAGGGCATATGCAACAACGAAAATAAACCAAGACACCATCCTGAGTAGCAGTGAGGACGCGAGTCCCCCGTTTATTAGACTAGGGGTCTCTCAAACCTCCCAGCAGCAACTTTTCATTTCTCGGTACCGCGAACCGCATCGGGCGTTGCGCATTGTTCGCTCCCGCAGTTTGCAGTGACATGTCAGCACCCTCTCTGCACAGGAATGCACCGTCTCGCAAGGAGATGCCAGAACCGATATACATGATGTGTCATATTGCTGTAGCTGAAGCCGCTTGATCCGATAAATGGGTCGTCTAATGTCAAGTGCTGTCCGCCTGGCACAATACCATGAAAGCATTACCAGCTTCGTTGCATCGTCTCGATACCAACTCGGCCAGTCACTTACAGCCAGTTGCAATTATCTGCGTGTTATTGTATTGGGCCGTGCCGAACTTCCGAACCTGCAGCCCGGAGCTTTATCCTGATTGGAGAACTGTCAAGGCCCTGGTATGTTCGCGCAAGCCACTACACCATAGAGGTTCTCACTGGCGATGTCCAACAGATACCACATCCGGGCTTTGTCATCTGCAAGTACACACTAACATATTGCTGTGTCTAACACACCCAATACGAGATGCTTCGGTACCTCACTTTTGTGTAGGTTTTGCCCCCAGCCCTCTTCCTGTACTGGAAAAGGATGCTTATGGCTTCTAATAGTCAAAGAAAAGTTTTTTTTTCAGCTTGCGTCTATATAACTATGTAGTAGGTCCTATTCGGTTTCTTCCATGCGTAGAGCAATCGCAGAAAGGTATTCCCCTCATTCCTTTGATCGCGGATTGAGAAATCGTCGCCCACCATGGCTGACGCTGGCTCTTCCTTCAACGCCAGCTCAGTCGACCTCGACAACACTCCTCTAGTCGACATCATCTGCTACCTGAACGGCAGTGGCAATGCCTACGACAACAGGCTAGGCTTGCACATTGCTTCCATTTTTGTCATTCTCGTCGTCTCGACGGCGGTCACCTTCTTCCCCGTCCTGGCAACCCGTATTCGGCGCCTGAAAATCCCCTTGTCCGCCTACCTCTTTGCTCGGTATTTCGGCGCCGGCGTCATCATCGCGACCGCATTTGTGCATCTCCTCGACCCGGCCTACGCGGCCATCGGCCCCAACACCTGCGTCGGCCTGACGGGGGGGTGGTCGACGTACTCCTGGCCGCCGGCCATCGCCCTGTCGTCCGCCATGATCATCTTCCTCGTGGACTTCATCGCAGAGTACTACGTCGAGAAGAGGTACGGGCTCGTCCACGCCGAGGTTGAAAACATCATCACCGACGCATCCGGGGCCAATGGCAACGGCGCTCACGGCGCTCACGGCGCTCACGGCTCCCACTTGCATCTGCACTCGGCGGATCAAGATGACCGGCCGAAGGGCGCGAGACGTGCGCCCGCTGCAGTCAGGAGCGAGAAGTATGACAGCGACCTGGAGGAGCTGACGCATCTCACGGGCGATTCCGAGGAAATCCACCGCGCGTTCCAGTCGCAAATCTCGGCCTTTCTGGTGCTCGAGTTTGGCGTCATCTTCCACAGCGTCATCATCGGCCTCAACCTAGGCGTGGCTGGGGGCAGCGACTTCAACACCCTCTTCCCCGTCCTCGTGTTCCACCAGTCGTTTGAGGGCCTGGGCATCGGCGCTCGTCTCAGCGTCATCCCGATTCCTACGAGGTGGAGGTGGTTGCCCTGGGCGCTTTGCTTGGCCTACGGGCTGACGACGCCCATTTCCATTGCCATCGGCTTGGGACTGCACAATACCTACAGCGGCAGCTCGTACACTGCCAATGTCGTCTCTGGCGTGCTGGACTCGGTCTCGGCTGGGATTCTCATCTACACGGGGCTGGTGGAGATGCTCGCGCGCGACTTTCTCTTCAATCCGCACCGTACCAATAACAAGAAGCGTCTGGCGCTTATGCTTGTGTCGCTGTATCTTGGGTGTGGTATTATGGCTTTGGTTGGGCGATGGGCGTGAGCGTCTGTGATGGTTTGGGGGTGAGACGGAAGAAGCAAAGCTATGGCTCTAGCTTACAGGTGCAGATGGCTATGTTCTTCATGTCGGTGACTTGTTTGTCATTTTTGTTAATTTGAGGCGGAGAGGATGAAATTCGGCTGCTCGCTCTCAAAAGACTGGACACCCAATTCAGTAAATATCCAAGGAATACCTTGCAGTTTCACTCCTGAAGCTAGGAAAATATACTTGATAATACCCTCTGAATGTTTCTCAAGGCGTGGCACTGGTCAAAGCCTCAATACGGCTACTGCCTACACGTTTCTGTTCCTTCCTTCGGCTTTTCATCCTCAAGGTTCGCGTTTGTTAAGCAGAAACGGTTATATAGTTTGATATGCAGAGATTTGTAGGTACGTGCCGCCGCCCATCTCCAAAAATAGAGGTGATAAGTAAACAAGAGACTGGAGGAATTAATATAAGCAGATAAAGAACGGGAAAAGAGAACGAGAGAGGAACTTGCAGGGGAAGAAGAGCCCATAGAGTGAACGTTAAGACAGGCTGAGAAACCTTCCGCGGATGACAAATAGGGAACACATAACCTCTACAAATTTGTAGAGAAAGGTGTCCCTGCCATCTTTTTTTAAAATTAGGCATATCTTGTAAGAATACAGACCGAGGACTGGGAGCACCGTGGTGTGTCATTGATTCGCCTGCGACAAACACAAAGCATCGGTTCCGGAAGATGCCAGCCGGCCAACAAGTGAAAAGCAACCCAGTTCAACAGAGGAACAGTGTACCATGATGAACAAATAGATGATATGGTGTAAATGGATTTGAAATATTCGGAATGCCCAAAATGCCCCTTACACCCGCGGCACCACGGCGAACAGACAAGGTCTGTCGTGCTGATTGGGATGCCCAGCATTACAATCGTGACTTTGCATGCTGTCAGGAAATAGGTATGCACCTAAAAAAAGAAAAACACGTGTCAAAAGAGACCTCCCAATTCAGGAGAGACAGGAGGTCTCCAAAGAGAAAAACAATAGAATTCCGCAATCTTCCTCCGATGGCCGATGTGAAAGCCATACATGATACACCTGAGGCAAAACTTGGCTCGCTGCCCCGATACGCAATCATCCAGAAAGATCTGACACCAAGGCAAGTACTTGGCCGTCTGTGAGTGAAATGCCAAGGGGTTGGGTTGGTTCGAGCTCGGGTCGTTTGTTGGGCCATGTATGCGACCTGACCATGCGGTCGCCAAGATGAGCTGCGGCACTCGACTACAATGAAAATGCAAACCAACACCGTTGGGAATTGCAAGAGCTGACCGGCGCACAGGACAAAATGCAGGCCACGAGGTAGTTTCGCTGCGACCCCGTGGGAGGGTTTTGTGACGCTGCTTATACCAACTGTGTCCGAATGCCGAATTTGCGTCATGCAACAAACAGAACACAAAAGACGGCGATGTTTTGCCACAACTTCCGAAGCAGGAGAGCCAAGCATGATGCGTCTTTGTTGCCGGTGTGAGTCGGAATGCTCAGCGCTGGCACGGCCAGAGAGCGTGGCAAGGCAGCTATAAGTAAGGCCGCTTGCCCTCTTCTTGAACAGAAGCAAGCAAGCACATTCAGCATCATTTCCGATCCCATCACTTCAAACACTCTAAACAACACTCATCAATTTCAAAGACTCAGTCTTCTTCCTTCGCCACCATGAAGTTCGGTGTAGTCATCCTCGCCCTCTCTGCCACCGCCATGGCCTACGAGAGTCTTACCCCCCGAGACGAGGGTCTTGCTCCCCGAGACGATCAGTGCAAGGTAAGAACAGCACCTCTGCCGCCTTGCCATACGAAATCTTACTAATAGAAATTGTATAGAAAAATGGTGAAAAGTGTCGTCGCGAAGAAGTACGTTATAAATCCCTTTGGTAGGGAAAACCTCCGCTGCTAACCAACGACTAGTTCTGCTGCAGCAAATTCTGCGAAGTGTGGGAGAACCAGACTGAGGTGAGTATTGAAACAGCCTTTTCTTGGAAGGCCGTCAGAACACTGACCAGACGGTATCAGGGAACCTGCAAGGATATGCCTCATAAGAACTAGGCCGCTCGCAAGATCGTGCCAGTGGCAGAGACTAGCCAGAGTCTTCATTGCAGTTATGGATCAGGATTTTGCTATTTTTGAGAAATAGACACGGCTGTGCCGTTTCGTTTTGTTTTTGTTGTGTTTTTGTTTTGACAGTTGCGTATCGAGGTGAATAAAACACGGAGGAAAACCCCACATTCGTTTGCGATGCCCGTCGTGATGCTAGCCTGGAGTACGCAGTAGCGGGCATGGCAATTCCGTCTCTATTCAAGTGTGACCGTGAAGATTGTGCATGACATGCCCCAGCTTTCATTGTGTCGCTTTCCAATCTCTTGCGAGGCTTTCGCAGTGGAGAGTTGTAATAGTATTGCTTCTTCCGTAATGTGTGGTGAGACGGACACCCTTCACAGAAAAGTCCAAAGTTGATGGGAAGCCAGAAAGAGGAACCCGAACCTGGGGAATAAAGTATGTCTTTTATATATAGTAGTGGCTCAAGGCAATCTTCAATCCTGGTGCATAGTCGCGGACAAGCATTTTGGGTGAAACCAGAGCTACATGCCACTACGTCCGAGAACAATTTCGTCTCCGTTTGCCAGGGTTTTGTAATATCTTTTGATGCGATCCGAAATCTCCCGTGAGCCAGGAAGTTCCTCGTCATCGATACACGGCGTCAAGAGTTTGACGGAATGCCTTGCGTAGGCACCATCTCGCCTCTTTCTGTCGCGTAAATATAGTCGAATGTACGCCTCCAGCAAAGCATGCAGTCTCAAGACGACGACGGGATACTCGACTGTCGTGAAGAAACCAGACCCACGACCTGGCCGCCGTGGCGGGAGGTCTGTCGAGCTGGATGCGAGCGTCAGATGCTGGGGCAGTTCCAGCTGCGGCTGCCCTGAGGACGGTAAGGAACTATTCATTTGTGGCAGAAACCAGAGAATCTGGCAATGGGGATACAAAGTAACTGTCCGGGCAGAGTCGCCGAGATGCATGTGAAAAACTGGCTCTATTGCCTTCCGGCGCTGGGGGCTCCAAGGACATGCATTTTTGTCCGGGCAATGCGAAAGGTTTCTAGCGTTTTCAAGTGCTGGTATTGCTTCAGCTAAGCGGGACTCGGGAACAATAAAGTCTATTGACTTGGCTCAAATTTAGCCAATGTCTAACGTGGTCCCATGGAGAGAAATACATACGCCAATGGTCGATGGAATGCCATGGACATTGAGTAGGAATTGACCCCAGAGGATGCAGGGAGCCCCGGCTGCGTCGAGAGTCTCAGCCAGCGATGCCACCAGAGATTCAGAAATGTCTGCCATGATGGATATGTTGAAAGAAGAGAGCAAAATAGAAATAGAAACGCAGACGTTGGGGCGTCACAGGTTAGTGCGGCTGAGGCCGAGATGGTGACAGCGACGGCCACGGCAAGCGTCCATCCCTATCCCTTTGAATGTGCGCAGGTCCAACTAATGTACTCAACCCACTCTTTTTATGATACTTAAAGGTCTGGTACTTTTTAACTCTGGTAAACAGCTAGTATATTTTTATATTTATATATATCTTAAAATATTAGGTACTTATCTTATTATATAATTTCCCAGTAAGTCTATGTATTTTTTATTAGCATTTATTATTAGCTACTTAGGATCCTGGTCTGCTACACCAATTGGACCTGCGCACATTCAAAGGGATGCACATTGGCGCTTGCTTGGACAAGAACATTACTGTATCCCGACCTGCCACAGCTGAGCCCGCCGGCGCGGCCCGACAGCACTGTTTGTTTGGTCAGGGGCACCAGAGTCGAGACATCACCTACTCGTGCGGTTGATATTGATTCATGTCTGGTCTGGTTCGAACTTGGGCCACCGTCGGGCCTTGGGCCGCACTGCCGTTGGTCGGCGTGCGCTATGCTGGCTTGGAACGAACTAGCCGCACATCTCAAGCTCTGACAGTCAGACCACACAAATGAGAAACCGACAACAGCTTCAGAGCCCCTGATTCTTGGAACTGCTTTCGCCTCTGCTTCTGCTCCCTTCAACCCATCCGTCACCTCGTCACCTTGCGCGCCAAAAGTGTCGCACAAGCGAGCAGTAAAGAATGGAGGCCTCCTCCACAGCAGATTCCGGTATGCCAACCGATGCCCCGCCCAAGGAACAGCACGATACAGCTCCAGATGCACCAGTGACACCGACTGCCGCCCCATCACCTCCGACTTCAAAGGGCGACATTGCGACCGAGGAGAAAGAATCGAAGATGGCCGATGACGGGGCTGCAACCGCTGCTGTAGGGGCTGCAATTCCAACCGATCAAGTTGCCGCTCCTGCCTCTAAGCCCCAGCCGGCGGTTGACATCGACAAGACCAAACCAGAGGATTTTGACGGCGAGGTTACCACCAACAACGTGCTGCCCTCAGCCGAAACGATCAAGAGCATAGAGGACTACATTGTCCTTGACCGAGACGGCAAGTCCAAGACATTCAAGAGCTTGTATAGTGGGAACAATGTAGCGAGACGGGTGCTAGTTGTCTTCATCCGACACTTCTTCTGTGGCGTAGGTAGCCTTTTCGAATGTCCGTTTGTCTCTATAACACCAATAGCTACTGACTGCAAGGCATAGAACTGCCAGGAATACCTCCGCACACTCTCGGAATCAATTACCCCCGAGGCCCTCCTCCAACTCCCCGTCAGCACCTTCATCGTCGTCGTGGGATGCGGCGACCCGGCCCTTATCAACATGTACATCGAGGCGACCAACTGCCCATTCCCGCTGTACACCGACCCCACACGGGCACTCTTTGACGCGCTCGGCATGACCAAGACGCTTGCGCTGGGCTCCAAGCCCGCGTACATGAGGAAGAGCATGTGGAAGAGCGCTCTGGACAGCATCGGCCAGGGACTCAGGGTCCTCCCCAAGGGACTGTCTCTCAAGTCCGGGGACCAGCGCCAGGTGGGTGGCGAGTTCCTCTTTGAGCCACTTGATATTGTCACGCCGATCACGACGCCCAAAGACGAGCGGCCCACGGCCATGGGGTCGATCGAGGGCGCGACCAGCGGCAGCAGAGATCTCGGAGATGACGGGCCCGTGGAGGAAAAGAGGGTCACCTGGTGTCATCGGATGAGGACGACGCGCGACCACGCCGAGATTCCAGAGCTCATGGAGGTGCTGGGCCTGGATGCGCAGGAGCTCCCGGTCAAGGACCAGGACGCGTGGGTGAAGGCGTTGCAGTCGAGGAAGGGGATGGGGTTGACCATGGCCAGCCAGATGAGGAAGCTGAGCGAGTCGAAGGAGGCTGACGAGGTGTGACGAGTATAACGAGCAAATGTGTTTGAGCATCGACAGCCAGCGTATTGTGATTTTGCAGCAAATCTTTGGGTCTCTTTTGTGCCGCGTCTTATTCTCAGATTAGCCATCATGATGAGCAAAAATGTCTAGGTAATACACAAGATGTCTTTCTTCAACGTCGTCAGTCATGAACCCATGATCCGTCCTCCTCGCTCCGCACAACCTCGTCTACCCCCAGCCGCTGTGCCATAATTTCTGCTCCGTTCACGAGATCATTCTCGACAGCTCTCTTGTCCCCCTCTTCTATCGTTTTGACTATCCCCGCTCGGACGTGTCGCTCCCTTAATCTCTTCCTCGCCACTTCGAACTCCACTTCTACAAACCACAGCTCATCAAATAAGGCAGCGGCGTCCCGCCAGACGTCCTTATCCAACGCGAGATAGTTGCCTTCCAAGATGACCATCTTATGCGTTGGCAATACGGTTATATCGTCCTCCTTGGGATCTTTAATGGCATGATCAAACGATGGTGCAAGAATGGGTTGCTCCGATATCGGTTCCCGAAGCTTTTGGATCAAGGTGAGGAATTTGGCTGCGTCAAAGGTGAATGCTGCGCCGCGGCGGGCGTGAGCATTGGCGGGATTCGGCATGGCGGAGAGCGCGTCCCGGGTGAAATGGAAGCCGTCCATGGGAACGTATGTTGCTGGCGGAGGGGTGCTGGGCGAGGTCTTGGCGGCATATTCGTTGAGTCCTTTAGAGACGACTTGTGAGAGTGTTGTTTTACCTGAGATGGTTAACGTTTGCAAACATGCAAATGGATTTTTTTGGATGTCTTGCCTGATCCGGGGATACCTCCGATGCCAATTACTGTTGAACGCAGCGTATCGTGTCAGTCATTGGTGATGGGCTTCGTGTAGGGTGAGGGAGTGAGTCTTAAGCTTGGAAGTGAACTTACAAAGCCTCTGTCCAGGAACCAGTTGCTGATACCTGTCCCATGCTTTGTCGACTAATTTTTGGACCTGAGTGTCCATTTTGAGACGGTATGACTGAAATAAATACCGGGATTTTGAGGAAGAGGAAGTAATCCGAGGTTGTCGGAGCTGGCGCTCAACCTCCCGACACCCATGAACCCCACGTCCCTGGCCCCACATATGGAGCTGTGATGTCAGTTTTAGGGACGAAGGCCATGTACAAAAAGTCGCTCGCTGTTCAATATATAGCTATGAACCCCTAAGTAAGCTACCTAGCTGGTGTACTCGCGCTTGTTAATTCAGAGAATTCCATACTGCCGCGATGCCAACTGCATGAATGTCATTCTTCAAATTGCGCCTAAACGTTCGGGCGTTTGCTAGGCACGTGCTCATACCTACATTCCTAGGTACCTAGGTACCTGGCGAGTTGGCATCTGCCCTCACTGGTATACATCTTCTCATAGTCAATTCAAGGACCTAGAAATTTCAACAAGGAATGAAGAAGCGGTCGCTGATACTATCTGTTACGCAATGTGAACGCGGAGCGTTTGCTGACAAAAATAAATTGTACAGGCCCGTCCTGAGGTGGGGCAAATCTGGCCAGAATCTTGTTCGACTATTTTTGTCGCTTGCTGCCAGTTTAAAGTGGCGGGGTACTTTGGGCACAGGGTCATTCATCAACTTTTTTTGGAGTGCAATGATGATCGATTCTCCCCACTTCACCGATCAAAAAACGTCGTCAATATGGCAGCCCAAGTTCCCACCGACGCTCTCAAAGAGCTGAAAGGTACATTTCAGATTGTTTGAGCATTTGCACTGCATCCTTCATGATTAACCTTGAGCTCCATCTGTAGTGAACGAAGCCGCAAAGGCAAACGGCAAGGGCGGAAAGCCTGCGCCTGCTGGCGACGACGACGACCACGCAGAGGATTCTGACGACGACGCCGAGGAGAATGCTGCCGGCAACGGGGCCGATGGAGCCACTGGGGCTGCTAAAAAGAAGAAGAAGAGAAAGCCCAAGAAGAAGAAGAAGAACCCTACAGCCCAGACGGAGCCACCTAGCGTCATGGTGAGCCAGCTATTCCCCAACAAGAGCTATCCCAAGGGCGAGGAAGTCGAGTATAAAGACGAGAACCGTTACCGAACTACCAATGAGGAAAAACGCCACCTGGACAACTTGAACACGGAGTTTCTGAACGATTACCGCGAGGCTGCTGAGATCCACAGACAGGTTCGCCAATATGCTCAAAAGTCCATCAAGCCCGGCCAGACCTTGACCGAAATTGCCGAAACCATCGAGAATAGTGTCAGATCTCTTACTGGTCACTCTGGATTAACTGAGGGCGATGCCATGGTTGCTGGTATGGGTTTCCCGTGCGGCCTCAGCTTGAACCACTGCGCTGCACACTACACGCCCAATGCTGGCAACAAGATGGTTCTACAGCAGGATGATGTTATGAAGGTCGACTTTGGTGTCCACGTCAATGGCCGAATTGTCGACTCTGCTTTTACTGTGGCCTTTGAATCCAAATACGACAACCTGCTCAAGGCTGTCAAGGAAGCCACAAACGCTGGTATCCGCGAGGCGGGTATTGATGCCCGTGTCGGTGAAATCGGAAGTGTCATTCAGGAGACCATGGAGAGCTTCGAGGTGGAGATTGATGGCACTACATACCCCGTAAAGAGTATCCGCAACCTGACGGGCCATAACATTTTGCCTTACAGCATTCACGGTACCAAGGCCGTGCCTATAGTCAAGAGCAACGACCAGACCAAGATGGAAGAAGGTGATGTTTTTGCTATCGAGACTTTTGGGAGTACCGGTAACGGCTACGTCAGAGACGACATGGAGGTTTCGCACTACGCCAAGAACGCAGACGTCCAGCACGTTGACCTTCGCCTGAGCTCAGCCAAAACGCTGCTCAACGTGATTAACAAGAACTTTGGCACCCTACCTTTCTGCCGTCGTTACCTGGACCGCCTGGGCCAGGACAAGTACTTGCTCGGGGTGAGTGCAACCTATTTCTTTTTGACGTGACGGGACTTATGCAGCCGCTAACTGTGGTGCAGCTGAACAGCTTGGTTAATAGCGGCATTGTCGAGGCTTACCCGCCGTTGTGTGACAAGAAGGGCTCATATACTGCTCAATTCGAGCACGTAAGTTGCAACTCTCTACAAGACAATTCTTGCATCGTGTATGCTAACAATGGTCAAAGACTATCTTGATTCGGCCAACCGTGAAAGAGGTCATCAGCCGGGGAGACGACTACTAAGCTGTATAATCTTCAGACATAAGATAGCATCTGAAATAAGACTGTCCTGTTTGTTAAACCATGATGGAGTTGATCGTGCGCACGCAAACCCGTATTGATGCCAAGTGAGAGCATTACGGATGATGTTGGTTGTAGCCGCGGCTACAGTCGGTGTTTGCGTTGAAACCGAAGGTGGAGGAAGTTCATAGGCTGCAACCTCGCTTGGCGATAACCGCACCTTCGAGGTCATCCAGTGACCACAAATCACAGCGGGCCTCGGGGCCACTGGCTGCGAGACAATTACTGACATCAGGGCAGCACTCCAAGAACCTATGTGCACTTGCCAACCTCCTTCCGAGAAATAAGCTCTCTGATACTCCCGATATAGCACAATTGACAGAATGGCAGTTACCGGGATGCCGTGACCCAAGCCATCGAGCTCGCATTTCAGATCTCGCACCTTCCTCCGCCCTTGCCACCCCGAGCTTCTCCAGAAACCAAGCATCTCCGCACGCAAACTTGTTCCCGAGTGCCGGGGTGCTTATCTTCTGCTGCCGCTCACGGGCAGACCGTGTCGGCCACTGAGCCTCCAGACGCCCGAGCCAATCAGGGCCGCGGAGTAAAATTTCTGCTCCCGGTGCTTTATCGCGTTACAAAGACGAAATCACCTATATCGGGTTTAGTGTCACCCCAAACAGGAATAGTAAGCGACTGCGGCACTGTAAAAAAACTTGTCTGCACGCGTGCACACTCCGAAGTAGGCCGGGCGGAGGTTCAAGCCTCTCACATGTGTGGCACCTCAGGCAAATTTATCTACAGCCTCTTCGCCCCCCTGCAAATCCGGACTTTTCTTCTCCTGAAGGAAAAAAACCTCGTCTTATCAACGTTCAGCAATCAGTCATCACACGGTTTGTTCGCCCCTTTGGTTTGGCACATCTACGACCGTGAGCGTTGCTTTTTTCTCTTTTTGTTCGGCGAGTCGTCCTTTCTTTTCTTTCGGCATAGATTTAATTGTCTCGAGACGACTACGCGTATCAGATTGAGTCACAAGCTTGGCGCCATCAACAATCGGATCGGACTCGCGCACAATTAGTTCACAACCAGCCTACAGAAGACTTCTTAGACTTGCGATAAAGACTCTTTTCTCCCTAACGGGACACTAGCACTCGAACGCTACCACATACACCATTCCACAATGAAGGTCTTCTCCAACGCCGTCACCTACAACTACTCCTGGGACGAAGTATCAACCGCCAACTGGCGGAAGTACGGCCCATGGAACAACAAGTCGGAGCACGTCATCGCCGTGGACACGCTCTCCCGCACCGTCGATCCCGAGACGGGCATCCTCCGCACCGAACGCCTCATCACCTGCAAGCAGTCGGCGCCTGACTGGCTCAAGACCCTGATGGGCAACTCGATGGACGTGAGCTACGTCTTCGAGGCGTCCTACGTCGACCCGGCCCGCAAGACCCTCACCATGGTCAGCCAGAACCTGACGTGGAGCAACCTCGTCAACGTCCAGGAGGAAGTCACCTACACCCCCCTCGGCAACCACCAGACGCAATTCCAGCAGTCGGCGCGCGTCACCGCCCTCTGCGGCGGCTGGCAGCGAATCAAGAACAGCATCGAAGACACCCTCGTGACGCGCTTCAAAGAAAACGCCGTCAAGGGCCGCGAGGGATTCGAGCGCGTCCTGGAAATGAGCCGCATCGTCTTCGCCGAGGAGAAGGCCCGCCAGCGAGCCCTCCTGTAACCCGCAATCAAATTCCCCCTCGACCGCTTCACGACCCGCTCATCTTCCGTGTACAATGATCTCTCCGCACTAGCGTACGAAAATCTTTTTTAGAATCGGGGGCCCTTTTCATTTGTTGACGGACGAAAAAAAATCTTTGGAAATGGCGTTTTATAATAGCTCTGCCGAGAACACGACCAAAACAGGAGAGAGCTATACTTTTTGCAGCATTTTTCAGCACCGGCGTTAGGGAGGCTTATACAATGGGTTTTGTGGTTTTGTTTCACTTTGACGTCTTGATGTGGTTTATAATACCCGAGCATAGAGGTTCGCGAGAAGCGCGGGTAATGATAGAAGAATAGATTCCCTTCCTTCGGGAGCCTTCTACAACTAACTGGGTTTGCACTCTGAAACAGCCTTGTGAACCAATCATCTTTTGAAAACGAAACCCACCGACTTGATGCGTGATCCAAGGAGATGCGCAACCACCTCATGCAAATATATTTGCTAATCCCAATTACAAACACTGCGATTCGCATGACTGTCCGTTATCATTAATTTGCATTTTGGGACCGAATTTTCTCGATAGCCCCTTCATGCAACAACCCGTATCACCCCCACTATAAGCGGAGGTCTCGGTCTGCCAAGGCCCAAGGGACCGTGGGAAAGCGTGCGTAGATAAGCAGTGGGCCGGATTGCAGGGCATACAATACATTAGACAACGCTCCGGGATGGGTCATGACGACCGTTGTAAAATCTCTGACTGTGGTTTGGATTGGACTTGGCGGAAGGGACATCGTTCGCTGTACTGTTTTTGTAGCTAAGGATCCGAGGGTGGAATCTTGTGTATATCGAAATGATGGATGTGACTTGAGACATGTCAGCGGCACCCGTCGATGCATCCTCTTTTAGACACGGCATGGTAGACTTCACTGGAAAAATGGCAACGATGTAAGAGTCGTTAAAACGAAAAACTTCTGGTATCTACCTCTGTGTGATCATGCCAAGTCATAACTAACCCATGTGCGTGCATCCAATACATAGACCCTCGCAATTTCCATCTAAAACAGCCATGATACATAGCGGTTATAAAATTTGGACCATCCGGTGCTGGCGGCAATCTTCTCCTTTTGAAGATCCAAGAAGTCGCTCTCCTCCTGGTCAACAATGTCCTTTCCAGCGTAAAAGTCGGCCTCGTGCGCCCCTACTCCCCGGCTCTTGGTTACCATCATGTGTCCAAATAGAAGAATCAGGTAAAGAGGGACACCTAGATAACCCGTGATAAAGTTTTGATAATCGAAGGTTATGCCGTCATGGTGAATAAAGACATCGAAATTCTTGGTGAGGAGGATAAGGATGCAGAAGAAAAGAGCAATGTAGGTCCCAATGAGACCTTGAGGGGCGACATAAGGCATAACGCTGTCAGAAATGTTTTGTGCGCGACGAGCCTTTAGAAAGTAGATATAAGTGACCAAGAGAGAGATCCAAGACAGGAGGCCAAAGATGGTAGTCAGATTCACAAAGTATCCAAAGACTTTTTTAGAGTCATCGGAAACAACCATGAAGGCCAAGCAAGCAAACGCGGTACCGACAGCGAGGGCATACACGGGAACACCCCGGCTGTCAGTGCGACGGAAGATGGCGGGAGCAGAGCGATCACTGGCAAGGCCGTACAGGGTTCGGCTTGCAATGTAAAGATCCGAGTTGGCGGCAGAGAAGACGAAGACGCAAATGCAAGCATTGATAATATGAGGCAAGCCGGAGACACCGGCGATAGTGGCGGCGACGACGAAAGGACTGGCGCTGGCTCCGGTCGTCTGCTTGTTGGCAAATGCGAGCTTCTCGTGGTTGTAAGGAACAATCATGCCCACGAGTAGAACGCTGAGGCAGTAAAAGAACAAGATACGGTAGAAGGTAAGCTTAATAGCCTTGGGAATGGATCGACGCGGGTTCTGGGCTTCGGCGGCAGTTACACCGACGAGCTCAGTTCCAAGATAGGCAAAGGTAGCGTTGACCATGACGGACCAAAATCCCAAGAATTTTCCCAGGGCACCATAAGGACCAGATTTGTATAGCTGCGCAAAAGCGCCAGGGTCGTTCCAATACCTGAAGCCGGTGGCATCATGGTTCGGCCCGCCGCCGCAGGCAATGATGAGAGCAAAAAGAATAATGCCAATCACCACGATAACCTTGAACGAGGACAGCCAGAATTCAAACTCGCCGAAGAATTTGATTCCTCCAAAGTAGTTGATACAGACAATGGCAACGAGGAAAATGGCGACAAAGACACCTGGATTAACCCTCTCGCGAGGTACCCAGAAAGAAATGACGAGTGAAGCGGCCGTAAGCTGATTCGGAGTCACAATAATGTACTTCATCCAGTAGCTATTGAGGGTTCGCGTCAGTGTATGTGGGCCAATCGACTTTAAGATGCTAATAAGGGAGCGAAGAGTAACGGGCCAAAGCGAAGGAGAGCCAACTTACCACCATCCAAGCGCGAAACCAAGAGAAGGGTGACAGTACCGGGTGGCATAGCCGGTGAAACCAGAACTCAAGGGCAACCAGGCAGCCATTTCACCAAGACCGGCCATTACCATGAAGACGAGCAAGCCGACAAAGGTATACGAAATGAAGAGAGACCCAGGCCCGGCCTGGGCAAGAGCCTTACCAGTTCCGACAATGAGACCAGTTCCCAGAGCACCACCAATGGCAATCATGGTGATGTGACGAGCCTTGAGTCCCTTGTGAAGCATGGTCTCGGGCGACGTCTCCAAACCACGAATCTCGACATTGTCATACTGGTTGTGCCGAATGCTTGCCTTCTCAGGATCGCTCCCATTGCCATCACCCTTGCCCGGACGGGCATAAATACCCTCGGAATTCATGACGACGGTTGGGCCGCGTATCGATGCGTGGCAAAGGGTGGAATGGAGAAGGGTTCCAAGGACTGGCAACTGCGACGTTGAAGAGAGAATCAAATATGTGAACAGGTGCAGAAAGAAAGAAGTCGCGTGACGAGGGGAAACTTGAGCAGTCCTTGGTAGCTCCTGCCGAAGAAAGTTCTGTGCTCAGCAGACGCAGTGCAAGGATCTCGGTGAGGCTAACGAACGAGGAAGGTATCGTTTCTTATTGCTGATAACCTCGACGGACCTAGACAGTGCGGCTGAAGGGGCTAATCAGCAAGGCTCACAACGACTGATGCAATCCTGTCCTTGTGCAGGCACAAAGTCCATGGAGCACCTCGCTAGAAGACTTTGGGGTGGCGCTCCTTGATGATTGGGGAGGCCATCCGTCTTCTTGTATATTTATGTATACTCGGTCGCCCATTCGAGCCCTCCTCTTCCTATCACGATACACACAATTGGCCATGTTGGCCAAGATGAACCCCGGACTCTAACCCACAAGTCGTGGAGACAAGTCCTTGAATTGCCAACATGTTCACCCCAGGTCAGCACAGAGCTGGTTGGCAGAACGAGGTCTGGAAAGGTCCGGTCGAAGGCTGACCAGGGTCGGACGAAACCAAGCAACCCTGGGTGGCGTAGTCGTGGTGTGAGTGGAGAGGTCATTAGGCCCTCCATCTCGGGGAGGCTTGTTTTGTCGACAGATCCCCCAACAGCCAAGGCCACGCCGCACGCAACCTTGAACGTTCTTTACCCACGGCGGAATTTTCGACGAGGCCTGGGCAAACGAGGCTTGTTGCCAAAGTCGGCTTTTCTTTTTCGTAATAGGGGGCCTAGTGACATGAAGATGTAGGTGAACCAAGCATCCATCAGCCTCGGATTGGGGGCAAGCTTCTCCGCAATTGTCATCAACGGGCCATCATCCTTGCTGCTTGCTGACGAGCCGAAATGGATGGCCAAAACGTGGGCCGATTGCAGACATATGGGTCAGTGCAACACTTTTGCTTGCGGAGGTGGGCTGAATCTTGGACTTTATTCTTGCCGTCGCAGCCCAGCTATTATGGGAGAGACATTGACAACATGCCGCCAAGACAATGTATGTAGGCATGTATCCAACGCATGAACAAACTCGAATGGATACTAACTTCAAGTAGTTGCGCGACATGCAATAAACCGTTGGTGAGATCCTTTGTCTTCTGCTGTCTGGCCACAGCCCTGTTGGCGGCGATCCCACATCAGCCACTGCCAACCACCGCCGATTTATTTCTCTTCTCAAACGGACTGCTCAATCTGGGCATACTGCGCGAGTTTTCGCGAACGCTACGATTCTGTCCGATGATTTGTGCTGAACACGAGTCGTTCCTCTACGCCATCCCAGTCTGATCCCCAAACCCCACAACGCGATGAAGCAGTTCTAGAAGACCAAGTGGAGGGCCAAGAAAAAGCTCGAGATAAGGCGCAATTCAAGTTTTTACCACCAAGGGTCTTTGACCCCACAGCGCGGAGTGCTGTTGATAGTGCAGAGGTTTTGTTGCAGTAGCATTGGCTGATGCATATCGTGGTCCTCCACAGTGCCAGTGGTTGAGAGGATGCTACTACTCAAAAACCATACTCACCGCGCGCCTCGGTGAAGCCATCTTGGTCCCAGGATCCAGGTTCCCCAGTCCCATAACTTCTTATCGCGGGGGGCCAGGGGGCCAAGCGCAGGAAAACAGCATCTGGAGCCGGTGGAGAAGAGCACAACAGCCAGACACTCCTGCTAACCTCCCAAATGAGAGGCTTGGCAAAAGCTGGTATGGAAATGCGCGTTGGACAAGCTGGATGGCGAAGGTATGTACAGTATGCCATGCACGGAAACGGCTGCTAACCACAGCAGGAATGTCAGCCAACCTGGTAAAGGCTGACTGTGATCGCGACAGTGAAGATTTGCGGCCACAAGCCACTTCTGCTGCTACACCCATGTTGGTCAAGGTTGAGGATAAGCTTGTCCAGCCAGACGCACTGGTGCGGCGTGTGCTAGTATCAAATGGCGCAGCTGGGTTGTTTCCTGGTGGATTGGTGGCGGATAAATGCGACTCGCGCGGCGTCTCCGGCAGTCACCGCGAATAGTCGTCGAATCGTCGCCAGCATTGACCTAAAAGGCCTTCTCACCGTCTGAGACGGTCTGACTGTGAGACATCGATATTGCGTGGCGCGTGGGAAATGCTCAGAGATGCACTGCTCCGGCCTGCAAAGGCTCCATCGCAACCATCAAGCTGATGCATTTTTGAGCCACGATGCACAATCGTTCCTGATTCAGCCTCAGGAGAAAGATGGCAAGATCTTGAAGGCGCCCTTCAGCGCAACCACCCGCCTTGGCGAGGCTCTCTGCCAATATTTCCCAGAGCCAAGCTCAGCCATAGGAGAAGTGGCGTAATCAAGCGCACCTCTGATATAGCCAAGAGTCACTTGGGGAAAATTGTTCTATTCTGTCAACGGTTCTTCTAGAAACGACCAGGAAGCCACCCGAAAGGCCAAATACACCCGACGGGACATGCCCCCTCTGTGTCGCACCCTGCACGCCAACCAACATACATATGTACATCCAGGAAACTCAACATCCGTATGCGGCGTTTTGACCTCGTGATTCTCTGTGTCAAGTGAAATTGCCGCCAGCGAAACAAAAAGGACCCCTGGATGCCGAGACCCAAAGTCAGTGCTGCCAAGTATCTGGATATGTATTAGTGGGAGGGCCTATGTAAATGGCTCATGTGAACTCTCAACTGCCAGCAAGGTTATCCATGTGCCAAGTCGTTGCACCTCTGAGCAATTTCAACAGGGGCTTGGGGAATATGCAGAAGCTCCCTAATTGGGGCATTGTGAGGAATCTAGCGCCGACCATGAGGGGGTCATCATAACATGTACTCTTTGACGCTCCCCACGTCGTTTTGATACACATTTCGCTGTTAATATCGTGGGCTGACTGGCGGTGTAGCAACTTGTCGTGAAACTCGAAATTAGGGCAGGGGGGAGGTTTGATGTATATGAAGCAAAGATTTGCTACTTCCCTATCCGCGTCTTAGAGACAGTCGTGTATTCAAATTCTCAAACGCGCTCGCCCAGCTTTGTCGTTTCGTCTAGGTGCTTACGGAGTACTGTCGGAAGCATTCGGGAACAGGGCCAGATATGTACGGTGCAAGTCATCGTATCGGATGGCTTGTTCCGCTCTGTTTTTTGCTCCACAGTGTATTTGCAGGGAGTACTATCCCATTGAGTGTGCGAAGGTGCAGGTTATGTAGCGCGCCCACTTTCCTGCGATACATTCCGATACTTTTATTATTAGATTTAATCATAGTATAATAATATATCTTTATGTATATTTAAAGATACCTAGTACTTATATTCCTATATTCTTTATTAAGAAAAATAAGTATCTTTTAATATTTAGCTTCTTATTGGCCCCCATCCCGGTCCGCCACAAAAGCTGCACCTTCACGCACTCAATGGCATGAGGCATACCCTCGGCGCAGTTGACGAAATTCATGAAGCCTTGGTGGCTCTCCTATCATGAGCAGGGGAGAATGTAATATCCGAACAACAGCTTCGTGGAATGCTACAGACGTAGCACTAATCAGGAGAGTTCCCAACATGGGTAAACAGTAAAAGTAATCCTTGGAATTGTTTGCTCAAATATTATTTGAAAACTGGCGAATTTGGAAAGACGGATAGCTTGATCGCGGAGCATTGCGCAGTAATACTAACGGACACAGGCGTACGGGAACAGAGGTAGAAGCAAGTGATGGCATCTACTCGCATTACGCAGACATCTTGCCGATGACCAGCCTTTCGTTGCGCGGGGGGAACCTGACTGCGCCGTGGCGTATTTCGTGTTCAATGCTTACGGAGTCATCTCGCAACTTCATGGTCGACTACAAGCCATAAGCATTTCACACAATGGCCCTCTCGACATCGTCTTGTGCTCATGTATCACCAGAAAAACCACATAGTTACCGTACACCAACTTCGCCGCCAAGCATACCGACAGAGGGGACGAACTCTCAATGGCACATCAAGCTACGCAACATCCATCAAGCTCACAATGGATCATCCGGAAACTAGCAGACATGTACATCCTTTCCCCTTTCCCCAAGGTATATAAATCACCAGACTCTAATCTCTTCCCAGAGAGCTATATCACACGGCAACCCATCTCCTAGGCCAATACGTCGGCACAGTCCTCGGCGTGACATACATCATCCCCTCCCCCCAGCCCCAAGCAAGATTCGAGGCAGCCATCGCACAAACAATCCTACAACACCCCATTCTGCAAGTCGCCATCACCGGAGAAGACTCGCCAGACCCTTCATTCGTGCAGTTGTCATCAGTCAATCTCCGCCATCACATTACGTGGAGGCGCCCTCTGGCCTCGAGCAAGGAACAACTCCTGCAAGAGCAACTAGACACAAAGTTCACGCAGCTAGATACCACCCCAGGATGGCGAATCGTCATCCTAGCCCAGCAGGAAGACACTCTCGACGTCCTGTTCGCCTGGAACCACGCCATATGCGACGGAATCAGCGGCAAAGCCTTCCACGAATCGCTCCTGGCTCACCTCAACTCCGCGACCCCCAGCCTCGCAGACTTCCACGACGGCACGCTGAATCTCCCACCCATCCGCGCCTTTCCACCGCCCGCCACGAGCGCCAAATTCCCCCTCGGCCCGCGCTTCCTCATCACCGCCCTCTGGGACGAGTACAAGCCCCCGGCGTTTGCGCATCCCGCTCGCTGGGCACCGGTCCGCCCCTCCCCTTACAAGACGGCCCTCCGAAGCGTCACGCTCGCCGCCGGCCCCCTCCAAGGCGTCTTGTCGGCGTGCAGGAACCACGGGACCACGCTGACGGGGCTATTGCACGCCCTTGCGCTGGTGTCCTTGGCGACGTGTGTCCCGCCGCGGGAGGCAGCTGGGTTCCGGTCCGAGACGGCCCTGGACATGCGGCGCTTCGTTCGGGGCGCGGGCGCTGCTCTCGCCATGGGGAACCTGTGTTCGTCTACGCACCACTGCTTTGGTGGGAGGGCGACATCGCGCCTGCGGGAACGTATTAAGCGCGCGGGGGGTAGTTCTGGCCGGAGGAAGGCGATGCTGGCGGAGGCGGTGTGGACTGTGGCGCGGCAAGTCCGCCGAGAGATACAGACGGCGCTGGACAAGGGCACGAGGGATAATATTCTGGGGTTGATGAGGTTTGTCAAAGATTGGAGGCGGCAGATGGCGACGTACGTCGGCAAGCCCCGTATGATCGGGTGGGCTGTGACCAATCTGGGTGTTTTGGACGGGGAACCGGTTCGGGACGAAGAGAGAACATGTGCCGGAGAACGCTGGCGGGTTGGGGAAGCTAGATTCAGCTTGAGTGCGCAGGCGTCCGGGGCGGCGATCAGCATCTCTGTTATTTCGGTCAAGGGGGCGTCGTTGTGCATGGATGTTAGTTGGCAGGATGGACTGGTTGATGCACTCATCGTGGAGAAACTAGTCACTGATCTTGGGGAGTGGTTGGAATATCTGGCTACGGTGTGAATATGTCTTATTGGACATTGGGTATTGAATAATAAAATACTACACGTCGCTTGAATGGAAAACATGCACGCTGACCCAATTCGTGCTCCAAGACTTTTTGTCCATATACTCCGTTTTTTTTTTCTTTTTTTTAAAAAGATGGCCCTTGCACCATGATGGAATGCTCAGTTTGATACTCGGAGGTAATATGTGCCATTTTCTTCCCGAACGTATCTTATCGTCGCCGACTTGGGAAATAACTTGGCGATTTCCCTCTCGTTGGCCATGACGGCTCGGTAGCTCAAATCATACATGGTAGACCGCAAGAGCGCAGCCTCGCCGAAGTGGCTATGATCTCGGACCATGACCCGGTTTGACAGGGCTATAGAGATGAGAGCGAACAGCAGCTGCAGGCCCATGATTAAACCCAGAATAAGGTGCACATAGGCCCAATTGTTGATATCGAGCGTGATGCCCTGGACAGGCAGGCGCCCCGTCGCCTTGATGTTAGTGTTGGCTTGGGTGGTGGTCCATATGACACCGGACGCGAAAATGCTCGTGATGACCCCCATGAGGACCGTGTCGCCGCCGGCGGGAGACCCGTATAGCGATTCGGCAGGGTAGCTTTGAAACTGGATGTGGTTGGAGAGATTTGTGCCCATGGATGCTCCGTAACCTTGCAGAGCAATTGCTGCGGGGGCCATTAGCTTGATGTTATCCCCGAGTTGATGCACCCCGAGGACAGCATTGACAACTGGGCCTACAGAAATATTGCATTTGTAGAACCAAGGGTTGGTGTTGGATGCTTCAAAGGCAGAGACAACACTCCATCCGACATGCTGGTCATTTGCTGGATCGACAACAAAGGTCGTTTGGTCAGGGCCATTCTTTGTAGGCAATGTAAACGATGTCGTGTTTACGTCGGCAATGGTTATATTGTCAAAGTCGCCATTTCCTCCTCGCGTAACTCTGAAAGCTTGGCATTTCGAGGTAGTTGATATCGAGCGATTGGTCGCTGCCATGAAGTAGTATGATAAATTTTCTGGTGTTGATTCATAAAACGTAGAGTAGCATGCCGTCGTGTTGTCGCATGCGATGGCGATAGTATCCGGGTTATACAGCGTGCCGGGCGTTGGTGGACTGAACTGAACAGGATAGTTGACGCCGCTCGCCAGGGCAGACATTCCGTAACTATTGACCCAGGGCTATATTAGTGGCCGTTGCATTATTACAAAAGGTTGCGCGGTTGGTGAATCCTACGCACTTGTTTGCTGTGAATCGGAGCGCATTCAGAGCCTGCAATTGTGACGGTGTCTGCTGCTGCTGGGACAAGACCCTATTTGTCTGAATGCTGGTCAAGTCGGGGATAGACACGATGCCGTTGACCATGGGCACAATCTTATCGGCGCCATTCACATTGTATGTCAAACCCAGACATGCGAGTCCAATTTGCGCGGCCTCGCAACCCAAGTTAGCATGAGTTTCATTGATCAATGCATGCCAAGTTCCTTCTAGGTGGCTTACCACATTGATGAGTACCCAAACGACGACATAAAAGCGAAGAGTGTATCGTTCAGAGAGGTGCAATAACCGAACCATACGGCTGATATTCTCGCCCTGTAGAATGAGGTCAACCTAGGTAACGTTAGATATACTTTTCTCCCGACAGGCAGTCATAGTAAGGTTTGTTAGGGTCCCGACCTCTCGTGGTCTCCATTCGTTTAAGCTCAACACCCACCATCGCAAGGTGGCCACCATGTGTTTCAGCGAACTGGCCAAGTTCAAACTCAGAAGGATAGACAAGCCAACAATAAGCGCGTTGAAGTCCTTTTTCCTGTTTTTAGGCATGGTCATATTGGTCGAATACCGCCATAGCACAGCATATATGGCCGCGCAGAGAACCAGTGTCATGAGCCATCGAGACAAGCAAGCGCCTAGCAATCCCCGTAGCTGCCGGCCTTTATGGAGTCGCTCATACGTGAGGCTGTTGACTCGAGATGACAAACGATAAGACTTGGTAGTCGTATCTGAGGACTTCTCCTTGAGTGAACCCATGTTGACGTTGCATTACAGAGCCCACGGCAATAATGAAGAGACCATGGCAATGGCAATGGAAGCGGTGGTGCCTGCACTACAACGCCATGCGCCTGGCTACCTGGTAGGTACGGAGTATGTAGAGAGAGTATGTCTCTGTTGGGCGCGCCGTAGGGGGCCATTGAGGTTTATGAGTGGACATTGGGTCCATCATCAGCCCTATGGCCTGCCGGCCCACCTACCCAGATGGCATCCCAGTGCCAACAGGTTCCCTTTTTCGTTCCGCCAAAGCATGTGTCAAATTGATCTCCGTACCGTGTCCGTGCTTGATGGTTCCGTGGGGTCCGTTGGTGCCACCTTAAGTGATCGACATCGGATTGCTTCAAGCTCCACCGGGCTTGAGAAACTTTTCGTTGGCGGCCGCGGTGTGAATCACTCGTACCTACAGCCATGATCGTGTGGTGGCACCTGGCGCTGCGAGTTGCAGCTATTCATCCATGATTCAGCTGACCGCAGCCGACTGTGACGGGAAGGGAAGCTGGTGCCTGTCTATTCGTCTTGATATCTCTCACTAAAGTCCAATGTTTCAAGGTATTGATGCTGCCAGAGCCGGGTTTCTGACTGCTTCAGCAGCATTTGATGTGTGTGTCCAACAGACGGGTGCAAGCCAGTTATGGCGCAAAGCATAAATTCACCCGTTGCCGCCCACAACGGCCGCCCGGCTCATGATCGAAGAAGTCCCGCAATCTCCCTAGGGAAAACCGTTGGTTGCAACTTCTATTGGCGTATCGCGACGCAAACAGACCCTGCGGTGCGACTCTGTCTAGCGGACAGCACAGCCTCAAGCTGTGTGTTGATGGTTGTAGTTAGTGCCTGATGGCATCCTCGATCTGGCCCCTAGGCGGTCTGACTGCGCATTGGGATATAGTAGCGTAAAGGCACTCGCAGGGCTCGACAACGAGTACCTCGCCTTGTCCACCTTGGCCATCTCGGAGCAATAGCTGCCGCGTTTCTCGAGTTTTAGTAAGAGCAGCGGCCGATGCTGTTCAAAGTGTAAGCAGCATTGTTCGCCTAGCGGTGTATATTCCAACAGTTTGTTGCCAAGCGCTAGGGCCTGCTTTATGGGTTCATGAGAGAGCGATGAGTTTTCCTGGCGCTTCCTGTAGCTATCCCCATGATGCCGCGAAGCCTCCAAATATGCAGCTCCCTCCGCAAAGGTCCTGGAAGAACCCCCGAACGGCCGCATAATCAAAGTATTGGTACTTATTTTCTAGCGCGCTCATTGTTGAAAATAGCTGCATCGATCAGAAGGAACTGCCTATTGGGCCCAAGACTTGACAGGTACCTAACGTTACCAGGAGAGAGGGATGGTGTTTGGTGGATTTGGCGGCGACATACGCACACAAATGACCCAACATGTCGGCTGAGGCCAAAAAGGGCAATCAGGTCCGTGGCACAGAATATTGAGCACGCCCAGGAGTAATGTTGACAGGTCATCTCAATGTTGGGTGAGTATGTCATTGGTCAATGCCAGAGTCTCGCCGGGGTCAAGCGGCTGCGAGAGAAAATCATCCAAATTTCGAGTATTCATGTCGGGTATTACCCGAAGCTAACGCCGTACGCCTTCCACTTTGCGGGTAGCTACTTCCTCCACGTTTGACAATGTGGTGCGCAGTCAAATTCACATGGAAGACGCGATCAAATACCTTCAACTCAGATCGTCACGGGACCAAGATGTGAAATGCCTTACTATGAATCGCCGCACTATCATCACATAGTACACTTGGATCGTCTCGCAGGCTACCTCGCCCGGGTGGTCATCTCCTTTCAACCTCATGGAGTGACCTTGCGTCTTCATGGTATCTTACTCAAGTTGTCGACGTGAGGCGTGTCAAAATAGAATATTCGCCAACGCATTCAGGGCCAGCCGCCATAAAAGGGGCCTCTTTTCTGTGGCTCTGCATCCCGTCGACTCGAAGAAGATACCACATTCTGTCTTGCCCTACGAGAAACCATCCAATACCTTGACTATCACTTCGTTTTAATCCAATTTTAAGGACATATTTCAAATCCTCGCCGTTGGCATTTCCTTTAATCTAGGCCATTGCATTCTTCTGCGAACCACGAATATTTAATCCCAGTTCGCCTTGTGTGGCTAAACTTTGCCCTGCTGAGATTCAACCAACGGACATCCAAAGTCAAAGTCGAAGTTCCAAGGACACGCTGACAACGGCGCCAATTTGATACCCGAGCGGATTATCAGGGTACTTATTACTTGCAGATACTTAAAACTATTTGGATAGCAACTCACTTTTGGGCTGTCAAGTTCAATGTTCCCTTTGCCATTCCTTTGCCTTTTTCTACATCTAGATGTGGTACTGCTCCTGAATAGGTATAAGCGGACCGTTGTGGCAGGCTTGCTGTATGATTCTGAGAATACGGAATAGCTGCTCATTCAGTGCGCTTGGGAATTCAACACCATGGCCTTCCGATGTCAAGATGCTTGGCAGCGGAGTAGGCAAGGCCTGACCTACTGCCTCTAGCGGGATTTTTACGCAAATTCTGCGGTTCAGATCATAATGATATAGGTCATATTATGCAGATATTCACGCTACAAGGGTCAAAGGCTCCAGCGGCTCAGCGCTTCCTCAACTGGTCGTTGACGCAAAAACAGGTTGCCTACCCCCCTGGCCTTACAGGTTTCCTTGAGTCCAGCAATATTTAACAACATAAAACCTTTGCTGCAAGCGACGTGTCGTTAGGGGCTGAAAACGACGGATTCACATCTCTGGTCACCCCAGACTTGTCGGAGCCGTCTATTGGTTATGTTCTCCAGCAGATCGGCCAGGCAGTCTGATACATAATTGCATGCTCTTCTTCTAGGAATACATTGAAAGCCACGAATTCAAGTACCGCATTTCTATATTCGCCCGTGGCCGTTTACAATTTCTGGTTCATAGTCTTCAAAGGTCTTGTCTGGTACCTGAAGCTACCCTGCGCTTGAAGTGGTCCAAAAAGACATGGTTAGGCATCGAATTCGCCACTCAATCCAACATATAAGGCCAGCTGAAGCCCGAATGTGAGGATAAGAAATCAATAGTGTGGTAAAATCGAGACAGGCTTCGAATTCTATCAAATGGGCGTAGTAATCTTAACGCCTTTTCACCGTGTCCAAACTCAATTATCCGAGACGTCACGGGGACCAATTCGCAAATCCAATAACAAGAAAAATACCACAATACTCTTAACGGCAAGGTTATGCCTCGCTACCAGTCAAGGTCGCCAACGATGGTGGCGCAACAACGCTTAAAAAGAGGCGTTCGAGAACCCTATCCGGTGAGGCACCTTGCGCCAGTCCAACAGTCTAGACCGAGCCGCACAGGCCAGACCATATCGTACCCTCAAACCATCAAGCCTTTGTACGCTGGGTCCCCGCAAACAAAGAGAGTCAAGGTTATTTACCGGTGCCCTCCCATCGTTGGCGTCATCGTTGAACCATCACCTCAAATCACTAGAACAAGAACAAGACAAAGAGAAAACAGATACATTCAGGATGGCCGCTCGAGAGCTCATAGTCACCTTCCTCAACCACACGAACGAAGAGCTCTCTCTTGTACCAGGATCCGTACGTCTCGACCATGGTGAATGGATGACAGGCACGCCAGAGTCGGAGCCGCCCCGCGAGATCAGGGCTGGAGAGAGCGGCATGTGGCGTTGCAAGTCGCGCCATGTGGGCTCGGGGATGGTTGGAGCTGTTGACTACTGCATCTGTGGGTATGGCGAGAAAGATAAGATTTCAGTGTCTTGGGATCTTCGATTTGTTACTCCAAACAAGTTTGAGCACAAGGTTGAGTCGGATGAATTTGCCATTCGGGTGCTGGGTGGGAACGGGTGGCCAGCCGTTGCTGTATTTGTGCTTGGTGAGTGAGACACGAGTTGCGCCAAACGAAGCATACGAAAGTCTAACGGAAACCAGAGCCGGCGCAAAAGTAAAGCTTTTCAATACTCTTGGTAGCGGTCGAAGATGGCGGCTGGAAGATTCGGATGTGGCATTCACGGGCTAATGGCTATTTGGGTTACAAGCCCATGGTTGTAACTCTGTCTGTAGTAAACTGGGTTAGGTTGTCACTCGGGAGAAGAATATATGGCGCCGAGGCCGCTGAATCATTTCGTGCAAGGGTGAGGGTGTAGCTACCAGACACTACTACTATTCTTCTGGCACATCAACATCACCGCGTTGGGTGTGAATAAGTCCTCATGTTAGCTTCGACTTCCATCACTTTGCTGACGGTTTGGCTGTCATCACTTCAACGTATGCCGATACAAAAGTATAGGTGACGGCCTCATGTCAACTAACAACTTATAGCAGCCGTATGCGCCGGTTTCGAGCACCGAGCTGTCCCAAACGCCCCGGATGGCTACGCCCCAGCCTCGGTGTCTTGCCCATCACCGCGACCGACGATCCGGGCTGCTACCGGCCTTTCGGCCAATGAAACAACATGGCTCAACCTCCGTGACAACAACACCATTCCGGCATTGAAAAGTCTTCTCACTCGCTTCAATATCAGCGGTCTAGATACCAATGAGTACATCGACAATATTGTCAAGGACATTGACGGTGGGAACCGGAGTGCCGTACTGCCCCGAATAGGTGTGGCCGTGTCCGGAGGCGGGTACCGGGCTCTGATGAATGGCGCAGGAGCACTTTCAGCGTTTGACAATCGAACGTCCAATTCGACGGGGAAGGGCCAGTTGGGCGGCCTGCTGCAGGCGACGACATATCTAAGCGGGCTTTCTGGGGGGAGCTGGCTCGTTGGGAGTCTGTTTGTGCAGAACTTTACCACTGTGGACTCGATCGTCTTGTCGACGAGTGGATTTCTGAGCACGCTTTGGCAGTTTGACAATTCGATTCTGGAAGGTATGATTCTTGGACACCGCGTTGTGTTTTGTGAAGCGTACGTGCTAATATGCCGGCAATCCAGGCCCGGCGGGTTTGCGTGTTGGACAATACTACAACGAGCTGTATCAGACGGTACAGGATAAAGTCGATGCCGGCTTCAACACGACCATTACCGACTATTGGGGACGAGCGTTGTCCTACCAACTCGTAAACTCAACAGACGGAGGGCCAGGTATGGAGATTCCTTGTTTTCCAAGTCTTGGTGTAGGAGCAAGAGCTGATGCGAGTCTTCACCCCTAGCGTACACGTTCTCATCCATTGCCAACGACACCGAGTTTGCGGCTGCCAACTCACCCATGCCCATCATCATTGCACTCGAGCGAGCCCCAGGGCAGCTTCAAGTGCCCCCCAACGCGACGGTTTTCGAATTCAACCCCTGGGAGATGGGATCCTACGACCCCGAGGCGGCGGCGTTTGCGCCGTTGAAATACGTCGGGTCAGACTTCAACGGCGGCACGGTCGGCCGGACGGCCAAGTGCTTTGCGGGCGTAGACAACGCGGGCTTCGTCATGGGCACGTCGTCTTCGCTGTTCAACCAGGCGTTTCTACAGATTGGCAGAGCGTCGGGCGTCCCAGACGTGCTGGTGCGCGCGCTGAACCGGACGCTAGGCAACATTGGCGAGGAGAATCGAGACATTGCGAGCTGGCCGAACCCGTTTTACAAGTTCGACGGCGGCAGCAACATCAACGCCAACGCCAGCCTCCTCACGCTCGTCGACGGCGGCGAAGCCCTGGAGAACATCCCCCTCCACCCGCTGACGCTGAAGGCGCGCCAGGTGGATGTCATCTTTGCCGTGGACGGCTCGGCCGACACGCAGACGTCGTGGCCAAACGGGACGAGTCTCGTGGCGACGTACGAGCGCTCGACGAGCGGCGAGGAGACGAACAACACGGCGTTCCCCGTGGTGCCCGACGTCAACACGTTTGTGAACCTGGGCCTGAACAGCCGGCCGACCTTTTTCGGGTGCGGCAACGCGTCGGCCGGCCCGCTGATTGTGTACGTGCCCAACACGCCGTACACGTTCTTCTCCAACGTGTCGACGTTTGACCTGTCCTACAACGACTCGGACCGGAACCAGATCATCGAGAACGGATACAACGTGGCGACGGCGGGCAACGGCAGCGTGGACGGCAGCTGGGCGACGTGTGTGGGCTGCGCGGTGCTGGCACGCAGCCTGGAACGCACGGGGACCGCGATGCCGGCGGCGTGTGCGGACTGCTTCTCGAAGCACTGCTGGAATGGAACGACCAACTCGACGACGCCGTCGACGTTTGAGCCGCAGAAGGTGATTGCGAGCTCTGGCGGGTCGACGCGGGGGCCGTGGGTGCCGGGCCTCGTGGTGTGGTCGTGCGGGCTGGCGGCGGCGCTTGCCGTGTGAGCTTGAGGGTTCAATGTCCAATGTCCAATGTTGGATGCCGGCACATGGTTTCTGGTGAGGCCAGTTTTGGGTGTTTGAACGGACCGGCATGGCATCATGGCATCTTGGCATCATGGCTCCTGGTTTCAATGTTGGGGTGGGGCCTGGCCCTTTGTGTTGGGACCCACGGCACCGGAAGAGCCAATCAAGTCGTCTGGCTGTGTTTAAGTTTCAATGTTCCCTTTTGACCCAAAGCTCTTTACGGAGTATGCTAAGCTGTCAGCGGGCCATTATGACCAGGATCATGGACGTGGCCGTAGGCGCGGCATCCTTGGATATATATAGCCTGCCCCCTAAATTACATGTTCTTCATGCGCGACCTGTACGGAGTACTCCGTGCTATTTGTGATTTGTATATTTTGGGGTATAAAAGAGACTTGAACCTATTTAAAAATTCCAGTCGACCATAACAAACCCTACGTACTTGAAGGGTTTACTCCTTAATTTTAAGAGCTTTTTCAATTCGTTATTAGCCCCCCTACCTGGCGTCGCTGTGGCTTTTGGTGCTGCTGCTGGTCATTTGTGATCAAACTCGGCGTGTGCGGACGTCACGAAGCCTCATGACTCTGGTCATATATTCGACGCCGTCACGGCCAGGGTCGACCAGGCCTTGACTCGGCGCGTGTACGGTCCAACCAGTGGGCGCTGCGGGTTTGGTCGTGAGGGTAGGGTCGGGTCTGAATTGTAATTGATTCCATACGGCGTACGGAGTACTAGCACGGAGCAGTTCATTCCCGGTGGCATACGAAGTACATGGCAACAGTCTACCAGCTTTTGGCCACGGATGAGAGCTACCGACACGGGCATGGCCAGCGCACGATTCAATGCCGGACCCTGTCAGCCACAGTCACAGTCACAGTCACAGACAGTCTTAGTTATACTATACGGGCCGTCTTCCTGTCCCACCATGCCGCTCCTGCTCGAGTGGAGTGTGTCCGCCAAACAAGAGGCCATTTCGAGTCAAGATGCGCCATGCATGCATGACCCAGCACCAGCCAGGGTCGTGTAGGGCCCGTCCTCCCACCGGAAGCAGGGCAGCAAGTCAATAACAGAGGACGGAGTATAGACTACGGAGTACAGGTCGCGCGTGAGATTGGGGTCTGACGGATCGAATAGACGAAGCAAGACGTCGCACAAAGACATGTCGCTACCACAGGCCCTCGGGCGAATCTGACTCTCTTCTCTCTCTCTCTCTCTCCTCCTTCGTCCTCGCCGGGAACCTCGCCTTGACCATCATGACCAGTGCGCCTCCCGCATAGGCATGTGCAATCTACGCCGACTTGCAATTACACCGCTCGACTCCAAATGGGCCCCCCCGAGACGGAAGCGCCATCATACGCTCGGTGTTTTGGCCCAATGTCTCGATACCAGAAGATGAAGCTGGGCCGCGTGATGGCCGTCGCCGTCGCCATATATCTCCTGGGCCTGGTGTACTTTATGCGAGATCACCTGCCCGCGCTGCCGTCGCCGCCGCCATCACCACCCAAGTCCTCCAATGTGCCGTCTTCTCACAAGGTGGCCAAGGTTTCCATGCTGTACGGGCCCAAGAATAGCCTGTATGAGAGGGCCATACAAAGCCACGAGCGGCACGCGGCGCGCTGGGGGTATCCGATGCTCGTTCTGCGGCAGGACATTGCCGCCGGCTTCTGGAATAAGCCCACCTACCTGCTCACCGCCGTCGTCAACGAACTGTCCAAACCCGCCGACGAGAGGATAGAATGGATGATGTAAGTTGTTTTGCCCCATTGCCCTCGGCTCCCCCTTTGAAAAAAAAAAAAAGGCAGGAGGACGCTTGGGGGGGCCAGTTCCGTCGAGCAAGTCCAACATTATTTGAAGGCTTCACTCACACCGGCGTGCTGATGAATCCACGAAAACAGGTGGGTGGACGCCGACTCCATCATCATCAACCCAGCCATCCCGGCGGACATGTTCCTCCCGCCGGCGGACATGCCCGACATCCACGTCGTAGCGTCCCGCGACCACAACGGCCTCAACACGGGCATCATCTTCCTGCGCGTGCACCCCTGGACCGTCACCATGCTCGCCGAGACCATCGGCTACCCGCTGCACCACCCGGGCGTCGACCTCGGCCGCAACGCCGACCAGGACGTCATGGCCGGCATCTTCAACAAGTCGGACGGCGGGCCGGACGGGGCCGGCTACGCCCGCGCCGTCGTCTACATGCCGCGGCCGCTGACCAACGCGTACGAGTTCTCCACCGGCTTCGAGGGCGACAAGGGCAGCCTGCTGGTGCACTTCCCGGGGCTGGACGACCTGCGCTGGCCGCGCATGGAGCGCTGGCTCGACACGGTCGAGAAGACGCCGCTGGAGTGGGAGGTGCCCCTGGAGCGGACGGGGTACGTGAACCAGACGGACGTGTTCTGGGGCCAGGTCCGCGCCGCGCGGAGGGCCATTGCCAGCACGGAGAAGGGCCTGGCGTCGTTGGAGGGCGAGGCGGGGCTTGTCGACGATTTGAAGCGCGCGCTGGGCTTGTTGAGGGCGGTGCTGCGGGATGAGGCGGATGACTTGGAGTTGATGCGGCGGCGGTTGGATGAGATGCATGGCTTGCACAGGGCTGTTGGGTGGGAAACGGACTAGAGGAGTTTTTTTGGGTTTCTTTGCTTTTTCATGTATTTTTGGGTTTGTTTTGTTTTGTTTATATACCATTTTTCACTTTTAATCATCTCCGATGAGCTACGGGGTGGAAACGCGACGGCATGACTTGTTTTATATTGTATAGATTCAACGACTAGAGGTGCAATGGCTTAATAACATGGTTTACTATAGATAGGCTGTTGCTGACTGAAGACCCTGGAGGGGAATACGTTGGAGAGACGCCGCCAGGAGATGCAATTTCCATTGTGACGATCCTGTCCGCCTCCCTCCAGGACAAACAGTATATCTCGGCGTGACTGGAAAAGTTCCAAGACAAAACAAGGCCTTTGTCGGGAAGCGGCGCCGTCAGCTCTGGTCTTTGGGTTTTGATATCGGTCAGTTTCAGAGGTCTGCCACATACAAGGCAGCCAGCAGCCAGCAGCACATGTCACTCGATGTGCACACAAGCATCGTCGATTCGTCAGTCAAAATCTCCCTTCGCGCCGGGGACGCTGCCGCGAGCCTGCCCAACGAGTCGACGACTATTGTTCGCTCAGAAGGAACTCTTGCGAGCGGGCGCCAGGTCCCTTGGGGTGGCGAGTTTTGTCGCCTTTTGTCCTCGGCGGGCACACACACCGGTCTCCGTGTCATTTATGGACATTTCGTTTCATGGCACAGGGACAAAGAAAGGACGTGTTGGGGGGCCGCTGCGGCGGGACATGCCCGGGCCTGAGTGGTGTTTTGTGCCATATAGGCAACGAGTTGTTGTGAGATTTTGGAGACTGAGCTTTTCCGTTTCACGTCTTGATGCCCTGCGGACAGAGATGGTACGGGGCGTTACATCTAAGTCTTATTCCTCCAAGGGCAGGAACCAAGCTGAATTGTCAACACCCTCGACGACATAGGCCTCGCATCCTCCGACCAAACATGTCACACATGTACCGCCACCGGAAACAACGATTGTTGACATCTGGTCGGGTCTTCTTTGGGTCGGAAGCCCGGTAGCCGTTGGGTCGGCGCTTTGGAATCGTGGATATACTGCACTCCAGTGGACCGAGAGTCGACTGCCATTCTCCTGCGGTTGTACAGGCTCGTCTCCAAGCAGTCACCAATTCCAGGTCCATGCCCGTCTACCCCCATGGATACAATATCAGGTGATGCTTTCATGCGGTCAGTGGCGTTGTTGCCCTGGCTATGAAGCGGTTGGCGCCTTCTGGTGGCGTTGTAAGAGGACGGCTAGCCGGACGTGGTGGCAGCAGACAACAAAGATGCTCGCGATGATGGACCGAGACGCCAAGAGGCCGAGGTACATGTTGAGACGAGGTAGCTCTGCCGAGTTGGATCGCCGGCGGAGTCGCAGGAAGTTGTACAGACGCACACCGAGGCGAGAAAGCAAGCGCAATACTGGCAGAGGCGAATATATAGCTGACGAGAGCTGGGAGGAAGCCGGCGACACGGGGACAAATGAGACAACGGCGCGTTGGGCGCAAAGAATAACAGACGCATTCGGGTAAACATGGCCCAAGCTCTCGGTGGCGGTTCCTCTATTTAATATTGAGGCATATACGGAGTACGGAGTACCCGCAAGGCGGTTATTCCCCATGTCTCGCGTTGGAGTGTCCCGCGAGCCAAGATGTCAGAATCCAGATCGTCACAGCTTCGTACACGGGCGCAACTCGCCGGTGCTGTCCTGCGACACCTCAACACGCAAATAGCTCACGGCATCCTTGGCCCGTCACGTCTCTCGTGCCATCAACTCCGAGGTTCCTCTCGTCGGGACGTGCGTCCCCCCATGCCATGGCACGGAGCAGCCGCCACCGCGAACCGGCATCACGAACCGCAGGCCAACGCAAAGCCATCACATCACAGGCTTCCCCAGACTTCCCATGTGCCGCATTGCGACTAGCTCTGGGAACAGACGCCGATGCACAACATACATACATGTAAACAACCCCAAACCCCCCGAGGGCACCAACATGCGTCCCCCCCGAAGCTCTTTGTTCCTACATCAACACCCACAGCCAATTACACCAGCCTACCTGCTCGACCGTCTGCCTGATACTAATGCCGACGCACCTCTCGCCCTCTCCCTCTCACGCGCGCCAACCCCGCGTGATGCGCAAACGCCGTCCTGCACCGAAACCCGCGATGCTGCGTCAAACGCTCGCCTCCCTGCTAGCCGCGACAATCCTGCCCCTGGCAACGTGCCAGTTCACCAGCCCGGCGGCGGGAGCAGTCCTATCAGCCGGCGACAAGGTCAACGTCTCGTACACGACAGACCTGAAGAACTACACCATCGCGCTGTGGCAGCGCGCCGAGGGGGGAGGCCGCCCGACACTCGGGTCCGTTGTCTACGGTGAGTTGGAAAGCGCAGTCGTCGCGACTCGGCTCGTCCCTTTTCGAGCCAGGCGCCATCAGAAAAGACTCCCAAAGCCTCAGCTCACTGACTGCTCGACCAAGCTGCCGCCCACGGCCCCTCCAACTTCACCTGGACGGTGCAGACGTACGCCCTGGACCTCGCGGCCTCGCCGACCTTTTTCTTCTGGCTCTTCGAGGGCGGCCCGTCGCGCCAGGGCAGCGATCCGCACCAGCTGTCCTCGGGCTACTTCAACGTCACTGACAAGAGCGCGTCGTCGCCCGTGTCCGTCTCGGCGGCGGAGTCGGCGTTGACGACTGCGGCGGCCGCTGCACCGGCAGAGTCTGCACCCCGGGATCCATTGTCCGTGGGTGCGCGGGCTGGACTCGGCGCCGCCGTGAGCGTCTTCTGCCTGGCCGTCGCGGCGCTGGTGTTCCTGTTCTTCTGGCGGCGGGCGAAGAGGCGGGCCCGGAAGGACGGCGGCGGCGGAAGCGGCGGCGCGGCCACCGACTACACGGAGAGTGTGGCCGAGCTGCAGTCGGAGTGTGTCTCGGCGGGGGGGCTGGGGAAGCTGCCTTGTCGGGTTTACCGGCCTGTTCCGGGGGATGCGAGTGGTCGCCCTCCTGCGCTGGCGGAATTGCCGGCGTGAGATGGTAAGGCTGTGCGTGTTGTGGCGGCGTTTTTTTTATAAAAAAAAAAAAACTAAAAAACTTGATACATAAGTGGACTATTGTGTGCTTTTTGCATTTTCTTGTCGAGTCTGGTTCATGGATAAGGGGGGCTTGGGGCTGGGCATTTCATGGCGTATGGGGGTATTTGTGCATTTTAGAAATACCACAACAGCTGTATAAACATGGAACCATTTGCAATGTAGGTTGCGCGGGTGGCTTAATTTCCGGCAACACTGGCAAAACTGAGATTCGGGTTTTCTCGCTGGGCCTTAGAGAGGAAGGAATGGGCTGCTGAGTACTGCTCGCGGCTACCACGTGCCTTTCTCCCCGGAGTCCAGGGTTTTTACGAGACCGGGCATTATTTCGTGACGTAATAAAACCATGTGGATATGCGAAGAACCTTGAGTGAGACATCGGTCTGGACATGATGCCTGGGCCGAGGCTGGATAACACATGGCGAGATGAAGATGTGCGTCGCAGCCGCTCGAAACTGAATGTATCCTCTTGCCATGTCCTGGCCCTTGAGTCCTTATGCCTTCTTCTTCAACGATTGTGAGTGGTGCGTGGTTTTGCGCTTCGTCATGATGCAAATCCCGACTGTAAACTTTGGAATTAGATAAGGAACACTTGGGCAGAACCTGGACAAACCGACCAGCGGCCTGGGAATTAGACAATGCATGACAGATGTCGCACACGTAGTCTGCGGGCCGCAACACCATTAAGTACACGTCTCGTGAGTCGTGACACATGGCAACCATCAAGTCGTGTACATGTCCTCGGGTGCGTGCTTACAAGACAACGGTCAGGTACTCATTGCCAACTAAGTGAACGAGCCACTTGATATGAGTTTCACTTGACCAGAAATGCCCGAATTCGCGCCTTTCTGCCCTAGTCCGACGATACAACTCGCGAGAACAGAATCAGCCTTGCTAAAAGCATACATTGTAGAATACGAGCGCTAATCTGACTGGCTCTATGCAACCAAAAGACTCTATGTCGAAAAATCCCAACGCCCACGCCAGTTGTTCAAAATAAATGCCCCAAGCACAGCGGCTTTCCCCCCAAACAAAATGAGACACACCCACTTCCCTGGTCGACGAAAAAAGGCCCACGCTCCTATGCAGCATTCCTCATGGCACCAGCCTCCAGCTCTCTGCCCAGGGGAATCTCAACGTCCTTGGCGGGCTCCTTGGCGCCCAGCGCCCTCCGCGCCCTCACCTTCCCGGTGACAACGTCCTCCCTCGTGACGCCCAGCTTGTCCTCGTCCAAGCCCATGGACCTCATGAAGCGCACGGTATCCCGCCACTCCTGCTCCTTGCGTGACTCGGACCACGCGAGCTCCTCGGCCAAGACGTCAATGACGCGCGGCAAAGCGTGCAGCGCGACGTCCACGTCCAAAAAGGCCAGCCTCATCCGGCGGGCGATCACGTCGGCCGCGGTGCACGCGGCCTCGGAGCGCACGGCGTGCCGCAGCTCCGACTCGATAAAGGGGAACGACGGGGCGACGCGCGAGACCGAGGGGGAGGCGGCGAGGACGGCCCACGCCCGGTCGCCGTAGTTGGTGGCCAGGTGGTGCGCGACGTCGGCGTCGATGGGGTACACCTCCATCAGCTGCGACGGCAGCGAGGTCGAGAAGCCGTGCGCGCCGAGGACGGGCGTGGACAGCGTCCGGCACCGGCCGTCGGTGGTGAGGCTCGGGAGTTGGTGGCCGCTGATGTCGGGCAGCGCGACGGGCCGGGGCGTCAGGCCAAAGGCCCCGATGGCCTCGTCGACGGCGTCCTCGGCCATTTGGCGGTACGTCGTCCACTTGCCGCCGGCGCAGGTGAGCAGGCCCGAGGGGGAGACGGTGACGAGGTGCGAGCGCACCAGGGACTCGGTGTTGCCTGCCTTGGGGTCACGAACCAGCGGGCGAATGCCTGCCGCTTCGTCAGCACACGGCTCGGCAAGCCAGGAAGGTTGAAAAAAGGGGAGGGGGGGGACATAAGTACTCACCAGACCAGGTGGCCAAAACATCGTCGCGGGTCAAGACGCTCTCGGGCTCCAGAAGCTTGCTGACCTCCTTCAAGATAAAGTCGACGTCGTCCTGTCTTGCCACGGGCTCCCTCTCCACCGCGGACGCATTGTCCGTCGTTCCCGCAACCGTCATTCCCTGCCAGGGCAAAACAAACACGACGCGTCCGTCAGAGGTGGCAGCGTCCAGGATGCCCATTCCCTTGGGGCACAGCTTTCCCGAAAGCATGACGTGGGCGCCAGAGGCCGGGGCGATGATCTCCTTGCGCTGGGGGTCGTCCATGCGCTCAATGGCATCGGCAAAGGGACCGGTGGCGTTGATGACGCCCTTTGCGCGCACGGAAAAGGGCCGCGACGACGATTCCTCGCCGGCCATGAGATCGCGGACCGTGGCGCCGCAAATCTTGCCGTCGGCGTCCTTGTCAAGGGCAGTTACTTCGACGTGGTTCAGCACGGTGGCGCCGTACAGGGAGGCGGTCAGGGCGAGAGAGACGTTCATGCGGGAGTCGTTGTGCTGGCCGTCGTAGTAGACCAGGGCGCCGACGAGCTTGTCCCTCTTGAGCAGCGGGAACGCGTCAATGGCCTTGGTCCGGCTGAGGAGGTAGGACGACTCCAGGCCCTGGGAGCCGGCGAGCAGGTCGTACATTTTGCAGCCGGCCCAGAGGTAGGGCGCCTGGAACCAGCTCTGCAGGGGCAGCAGGATGGGCAGGGAGCTGGACAGGTGCGGCGCGATGTTCAGGAAGCCCCTGCGCTCGCGGAGAGCCTCGATGACGAGCTCCAGCTGTGGGTAGTCGAGGTTCCAGACGGCCTTTTCGAGGTACCTCACGCCGCCGTGGACGAGCTTGGTGCTCTTGGAGCTCGTGCCGGCGGAGAAGTCGTCGCGCTCGACCAGGGCGACCTTGAGGCCGCGGGTCACGGCATCCAGCGCAATGCCTGTGCCCGTGGCACCGCCTCCGATGATGAGGATGTCATACTCGGCGTCTTTGGCGTTGTGTTTTCGTAGCTCGGCGAGCTGCTCGGCTCGGGATCTGATGGGTGGAAAGGCGGGAGGGACGATTTTGCCGTTGGCGTCGCGGCGCGGCGGAACGAGAGCCCTGTCGTGCGAGAGGTTCTTGTTGGCGCGAGAGTAGATGACTGTTCCGCCAAGTGTGACGGCCGTGACGGCGGTAGCTGCGGCGACGGGACGCCAGAGCTTGGTGAGTCGAGGCGGCATGCCTGATGTGTGCGGCCGGGGATGTCGATGTCGATGTTGATGTCGACGGGCTGAGGCGTGTTTTTTCTTGGTGTTTGTTCGCGTGGGTGTGAAAGCGGCGGCTCCAAGCGACGCAAGGATATATATAGAAATGATGCCAGTAGGAAAGAAGGAGAAAAGAGACGAAAATAATGAAAGCAATGGAGTTAAAAAAAGAAAGGAAAAGATGGCGCCGGAGATAACAAACCACGGACACCAGAGCTGTCGATATATTTGTCGTCAGTCACCGAACCGAGCCCATAAAAACGGGGGCCAGCGGGTTCGGTGTCCAAATGCCGGGCTTCTTGTTCGTCGCCAGGTTTCACTTGTGGGAACAAACTCGCACCGCCGCGGGGAATGAGAACAGTTGACGCCTTTCGCAAGACAGTCGACGTCGTTTCCTACCAAAGGAGCGTCCCACGTGCGGCTTTATGACGGCCCGCACTCTGGCTAGCATTGACGGCCGAAATGTGCTGACATGATTGGCGGAAACACCCACGTCGTGTTTTAGCCGAGTCAAGAAGCTGTCGACTTGTGCTACGGCAATACTACTACGATACAAGGCCAACGGAGGTGTCGTGGTGGTGATGGGCAACCTGATGCCGAATGAATGGCTGCATGTGCCCAGTATCTACTACACACTCTTTGCCGTGGTGGGCCCCTTTTCCAATACAGCCTCGAGTTGGACGATTATATCATCACGTCGACTAACTGTACATGTGGTCAGTTACGCTGTGCATCACGCAGAGCCGCAGGCCCGATGACGAGCATCAAGCTCATGCACGTCGGTATTTGGCCACCGAGCCCATCCGACTTGCGGGTCGATAGCCGAAACCAGGCACTGGGATCAAATCCATGCTTTGCGTCGCTCGGTATTCCCTCGCCGAGATCTGGCGTTCAAAGCGCTCTTGTACCAACCCACTCGCAGGGTGGGTCGCCCGCTTCGCTCGGGCTCGCTATACCGACCCAAACCCGAAAGTCTATTTTTTCAACCTTTGCTTTGATTCATGTGGCTCATCCACTCAATAGTCGCTGACGGGTAAAAAAAACCTTTTGAGGCTCCATTTTTCCAACTCGCCCAAATGTCCGCCGCTTTCATCATGGTTCCTGGCAGGACCCAGCTCAGCACGCCACTTCCGCCCACTCGTCCAAAAGTCCGTTTCTCACATTTTTCTCCGACCCAGGCCCATGGCAGCTGGGAAATTGCCAAAACTCCGGCCGAACCCAGTTCAACGGTCTCCAGTCTGCTCTCCACTCCTCTCTAACACTATGCCGACGAACGGGCAAAACGCCACCGAACTACTCAGTACGGAGTACTCCGCACCGCCACCAGGAACCCCTGGCCTAGCAATCCTTCTGGAACCTTTCTACCTCCTGTGGCGCCGCTTACATACACACCTCGCCCATTTCGAACCAGACGTCGTGTCAGTCCATCGCCCATACGGTCTACGCACACCGACGGTGAACCGAGTTCACGCATCTACTCCATGTTGTCGAAACGGCATGCAGACGCACACGGGGTCCCATGTCCATGGCAAGCATCCACGGGCTGGAGAAACGACGTACAAAACCGTTTTATGCTCGCCCACGTGCGCAGCCCAAAAATCCATGTCGTCCCCGCAATCAGCTAGCAACTCTAGAAACCCCCAGTATGCCTTGGTGCTTTCTCCAGGACAGACGCTGGGGGCGCGGTGGTAGCATTCGCAATAAGCCGAGGTATCCTGCTCATGCAAGCCCTCGCTACTCAGCTAGTTGAACCCTCCTAAAAAAAATCGCCACTTGGGAAAAAAGAGGAAATGCCGCCAGGATTACGGAGTACTGCTGACATGATTTGAAAATTACACCCCGGCAGACCAACAACATGCTGTTCCTCGTGTCCATCAATTCGCTCCGGCGACTCGCGTAGCACAAAGGTCACATGGCAGACTGGCCAGCCCATCATTTTACAGAGGTACACGGAAGCATACTCTGCCCTCCGCCCCTGACTCCTAACCATCCAACACCAGCTGATTCAGTTCTCGACTCTCGCCAGACCCGGATATCGAAGCGGATTGCCCCCCGTGCAATCCACCCCTCGTACCATGTTTCCCCATCTTCCTAATGCACGATATCGCCCTCGCCAATATTCCGCAGCACACGCCCGGGACCCATGGCCTTCTATTCGTGCGTTGCTGGCTCATCACATGCTCCGGTTTGCTCTTGCCGTCAGGCCCAAGATGGGCTTGCCAGTGTTCGTACATACGAGCTATATCGACAACACCACGAGCTGTGTCTATTTTCACTGGTTTGCAGGTAACCGCTAGGACACTACCGAGATCACGCAGACGAGGTCCCAGGGTTATAAACGGATACAGACGTAACCGACACGTCAAAGTAAACAGAATCGCAAGATTGAAGGCTGCAATGAATTTGATTTGCTCAGAATCCCACTATACCTGGCCCGCCGTAACACCCTCCATCCCATCCCGTACATACTTGTACTTGTACTTGTGAACCCGTACGATATCATTTGAGAAAAGAAGAAAAAGATTAAATAAAACGCCCAAATGCAAACAAGATGAGCGCTGAAAAATAAGAATATCAGGCTTTTTCTGTTGTCATTTTTTTCCGCTTGGGTCCTCCTGTTTTGCCCCCGTATCTGTTCTTTGAAATAAAATGCTTCTGTAGTCTACGTGACTTAATTTTTTTTCCCGCGGCAGGCCCGTCCGGGATGCCGTGTGAAGGATGAAAAAGGGCGGAAAATTCGCCTATACTTTGGACTCTGGAGACTTGTTGTACGTGTTTGACCACACGCTGCGGCGGGGTTTGAGGAGCCGGTTGAATCCAAGGTAGGGCGAGTTGATGGGCGAATCGCCCGTGTAGATGAAGAGGTCGTAGAGACCGCCGCCGGCGAGGCAGCCCAGGAAAGGGGCAACCATGGGAATCTAAAGCATGTTAGTTTCGGCTCGACATGGAAATTCCTCTTTCGTTTCACACCGTTGTAGCTGCTGCCAAGTGTGTGTGTAATAATAAAGGGGATAAGACAAAAAAAAACATACCCAAAAGTAGTAGCCGCCAAAGGAAAACACCTCGGGGCCATAGCCAATCATGTAGGTGACCAGACGGGGACCAAAGTCGCGAGCCAGGTTAATAGCATAGCCAGTCTCCCAGCCGAAGCAAGCGCCAATGCCAAAGATGAGGAAGAAGAGGCCCAGGGGCATCAGGGGCCCGGCCCCAATGTTGTTGCTGTCGGCCATGGCAAAGATGACAAACTGTAGAATCGTGCTGGCGACAAACTCGGAGAAGAACATGCCGGTCCGGGTCATGAAGGCGGCAGGGTAGGTGCAAAAGACGCCGGCGGTGGCATTGGGGCCGCTGACGGTGCGGATGCCCGCGCCGCCCTCAAAGGCGTCAATGGCAGAGCGGTAGTTGCCGTAGACGATGGCGGCGCCGACCATGGCGCCGAGGAGCTGGGCCAGCGCGTAGACTGGGAATTTCCGCCACGGGTGGCCGCGATACACGCAGTTGGCCAGCGTCACGGCCGGGTTGATGTGGCCGCCCGACTTGCCGCCAACGTATACACCAAGCATGACGCCGATGCTATTTGCCCATTGTTAGTGAATCAGTCAAGACCGGCTCGCCATGGGAAGAAGGAAAAGGGTTTTCCTCAACTCACCCCCAGCCCCATGAAATACTCTGGTAGTTGCCCTTGGTGCCGTTGCTGAGAACGACTTGGGCAACGACGCCGTCGCCAAACAAGAGGAGAATCATGGTTCCAAAGAATTCGGAAAACGCATCCTGCCAAATGGACCGAATCTTGGGCCATCGAGGCTGCTTCTCGGCGGGGATCATGTCAGATCCGGACATGGGCTCATCGTGAATGACTGACGCTCCCATGTCGACCTTGATGACGGGTACAGATTTGCCAACGGATGATTCTGACACCGAGTCCTGGGTCGGTGGAAGAATGGACATGAGTACTGCTGCCCCGGGAGGACAGAGACAGACAAGAGGCCGGCGATGATGGATGAGGCAAAAGATGGCTGAGTTGAAGATGCCGCGGCAAAGTTTAAAACTTGTGCGACACGGGGCGGGCCAAGTGGTATGACGGGTATAAAGTGGGAACGCGAAATAGAAAAGCGTCTAGTCTGACAACAGACGGATGCGTCGGGGCGACAGGTTGGAGACTTTGACGTTTTTTCCAAAGTTGCATCGGATGGGGGGACGGTGAGACTATTATGTATCCCCACGGGGAGTTGAAGAACGTGGAGGCGAAAAGAGACCGTTGGGAGAATTAGACAGCTTGGGGTCAAGAAAGAACGGGGCTTGGGTACAGTATGATGAGACATAGACAAGCTCGAAAGTCTAGTTGCTTGTAGTTTGGATAAACAACAAAGGAGGGGGGTTCAACCCGAGAGGGGCTTGGGCGTATGCCTCTTGGGGATGTGGTGATGAGGGCGACGACCAGGCCACGATTAGACTTGACATGTCGAGCTGGTGCGCCCCGGACGCTCGCGACGAAGCGGGGAGCCGCATGCCGGCCCTGGACGACAAGGTATGGTGTGTATGGTGTAGGGAGAGGGCAAGCAAGGGCATGACTGAAGAAGCACGGCGTCGAAGGACCAGTTGACCTCATGAGGTGTTGTGGATCGTCGTTCGGTGGTGCCGCGGGCAAGCGACAACAAAAACCTGCGGGCACAACCACCAGTTCCGGACGACGGGGCCATCCATGTGTGGATATCCACCTAGTAGTCTGCTAGGCCGCCGAGATCAAGCGTTCTTCGCGTCAATTCCTGTTTGGCTGCCCTGGACGCCATGGCCAAGCCATCTCGGCGCCAGAGCGCGGCAGCCACAGCTTGTTCGAATTTCTACAGCAAGATGCAAGCATGTACATACATACATGCATACATGCAGAAGATACATACGTCGACGACTCTGCCCAACATGGCCCGATAGCCTGTTGCCAACCCCTTCCAGGATCCATCACCACCCCCCGTCAGCCGCCCCGTATCGCCCGCCGCGCGCCAAACTTTGCGGATCATTGTTCAAAACGCATTCAGACGCCAGTGTTTTGCATTCTTCAACCTCGCCTGTGGCGCCCCGACGTGCTTGGCCAAATCTCCAAGGCCTCGGGTGCCAGACGTTATGCTCGGCATCACGAGATGCGCGTCTCTCTCCACGCGCGCCAACAGAACACCAAGACAGACATGGGCGCACGCCTTGAAGGGGCTCGAAGGGGGGGGTTGGTCTCTTTCCCAGTGCAGTCTGTTGTGCGATGCATCTTCGGCCACATTGGCCGACTCGGGACGCAGTGCAACCCCGACTGATGGCGCAAAAAACGCAAAGGTCCCCGTTTAACACTAGCATCAATTCCTCGGCCCATATTGATCCTACATGTTGTGTTTGCGGCGCGGGTGTTTTCGGCATCCTGCAGTGCCACTGTCGGTTTGCCGCCGCCTTGGACCGTGTTTATGTACCATGGCCGCGTCCCAGAGCACGTTAAACGTGTCAAGGCACCGTTTTGACCGCCTCGGATTCTTGTTCAGACGACAAGGAAAAAATAACCATAATGCGTGGATAATAAGACATGCATCCAAGATCGATCCCAATGCAGAAAGGATCCAAGCAAACCCGAAATCTCGGACGGGACCACCGAGAAGATACAATGTCTGACGATCCAAGGTCCGTATTCTAGAACGCCACACTTGCTTTCTCTGGCCCCTGGTGTCTTTCGTTCCCCATCCGTTCGCCCAATATGACCGAGCATGTGGCTTGTTTCTCGATTTACTCCGTAGCGTGTGAGAAAATGCTGGCATTGGCTCGCTCAGCCCTGCTCTTTCGGGGTCGAATAAAGGTGAGAAACGCGGCGCTTTCTAGACGACGCCCCAGGAACATCCAAACAGCCTAAACATGTAAATTTAGCAGAGGTAGCGGTCGGTATTTTCGACCGTATGATCGACGCTACCATACATTAGGTACCTAGGTACATAAGCCTTGCGTCTGGCGCCTGCGCTCTCAGTTCCACGGGCCAATTCCTCATGTACATACCGATCCGGCCACAACGGACTGGCTGGCCTGATGGTGTGCGATCCGCCCGCGGTTCTGCAGCAATCCAGTTGGGGGGGCTGCAAGCCCAATAAGCTTCAAAGTTCTGGGACTGTGTTCTTGGATGTGGAGGCCGGGTCCTCAACGCTGGCCAGGGGTGCCTGCGCTGCGGCAATGGCGTTGTACAGAGCAAGCCGCCGCTACGTGTCAAGAATTGCTTTTCGCACCGTTAGCCCATCATCACAATCGAAGACAAGTGTGAAACTCTCTCTCACCTGTGATTGCTCAGTACCTAACATTTCACCGACAGCGACCGAGGCTTGCTTATTTATGGCCTGCGTGGCCAGCCTGTGCCGTCTTGTCACGCAGCAAGACCACATATGAGCATCCAACATGTCTCAACCTCTCATGAAAACATGGCCAATGTGCTGTTGTCTGGCCGTGGCTTTGAATAGCTCAGGTACAGCCCTGAAGCCATCCGTCTACTCCGTTCCTTCATGGTCCATAATTGATCCAGCTTTCGGACGTTGGCGGGTCCATCCGGTGCACTCGGGTCTGAAAGACCGAATCTCCAAAATCGCAATCGTTTTAAAGACGCCTCAAAAGTGCCCACGACGAATCCCAGATTCTCCACACAGACGACCGCCCAGCAGTGCCCACGGCCATCGGGATGCTGCATCGTCGCATGGCAAGTAACGAAACGTGCCCGGTGGGCCAGACGAGGTTTCTGGCCAATTCCACTGTGGACCTGCTATTGACTGACCGAGGAGCCAGATCGCTTCACACCGAGACGCTGGCCGTGTTCCTGAGAACCATGCTCCAGATCACCCATCGTGACATGTTCCCACAAATTCCGGATTTCTTCTCCCCTCGTGACACGGAGCGTCGGTTTGGCACTACTCGTGTCCCTGCCTCTCCCCCACACCGCCCCAGCCGGTGATGATGCTGGTCGTAAAGTGACTGGGGTAGTCGCTGGCTGTTCTTCGGCGGCGTGCCAAACCATGCTAGTTTCTCAAACATGGGGAAGGCTTGGTGGCTTGTGGCGGGGATGGGGATGAGGATGAGGATGGGCATGCCATTTGTGCATTCAGCCACCGGAGGGCGAGAAGCCATCTCCCAACTAGAGAAGTGATGTCAGCTCTCAAGTTCACCGGCTGTGAGGCATCTCCGCATTGTACACAGCACAACGGGGCTTGGGGGTTTCTCCTCCAATCGAGGTCCGACTCCGAGCCGACCCAACAGCTCACGAGCTTTTGCCCAAACACTCTGGACAAGTGCCATGTGAAAGAACCCTGTAGTTGAGCCTTCTTCGCGAGAGTATTTACTCCTCCATCTTGCGCATCCTTAAAACCTCTGTTTCTTTTTTTCTTTTCCTCGTCTCATCTCGTAACCCCAGCTTATTTGTTCGATACCCCTCCACATCCCATTTTCCCCACGTCTCATTCCGAGCTGTCAAGCTCCCCGCATTGTCGCTTCAACCGTAGCATTAAGCTTGCGGGTTTCATTTTGTGCTTGGTTTTCCCGGCTTCCCAAGTGCTACCAGGGGGTTTTTTTTTTTTCCTTTTTTCCCCTTGGCCTTTGAATGCTCTCGTCCATTATTCGTCAAGCATTTTGCAAATCCAAAGACACATCCACAACCATGTCTCCCAGCGCTTCTACAACCTTCATTGGTGCCATTGACCAAGGCACCACCAGCACTCGGTTCCTCATCTTCAACAAGAATGGCGAGGTTGTAGCGCTGCATCAGCTCGAGTTCAAGCAGATCTATCCTAACCCTGGGTTAGTGTGCCCGAGACACTCTTTTCCACATTTGCCGTTTCAATTGACTAACCTCATGCTTACCGCAGCTGGCACGAGCACGATCCCGAGGAGATCATCTCTTCCGTCGAACAGTGCATTGACGGGGCTGTTAAGAAGTTTGAAACTCAGGGACACTCTCGTGAGCAGATTGTGGCCATTGGCATCACCAACCAGCGTGAGACCACCATAGTCTGGGACAAGACCACCGGAAAGGCTCTGTACAACGGTATTGTCTGGACCGATACACGCAACGTTGACATTGTACGCCGCCTCAAGACCCGCATTGGCGCAGGAGAGCTCACTGGCCGCTGCGGGCTCCCTTTATCTACCTACTCATCAGTCGGCAGACTTCTGTGGCTTCTTGAGAACGTCCCCGAAGTCAAAGACGCGTACGAAAAGGGCAACTTGGCCTTCGGCACCGTCGATTCTTGGCTGGCGTACAAATTGAACGGCGGCATCACTCGTAATGTCCATGTATCCGACCCATCCAATGCGTCGCGAACCATGTTCATGAACATCCATACTCTGGAATATGATGCTGAGCTTATTGACTGGTTCCGAATTGACCGTAACAAGGTTGCTCTGCCCAAGATCGTCCGATCTGCCGACGCGGAAGCTTATGGCTCGCTTGCCACCACTAGCCTCAAGGGTGTCAAGATCATGGGATGTCTAGGTGATCAGTCTGCCGCTTTAGTTGGCCAAAAGGGCTTCAAGCCCGGTCTGGCCAAGAACACATACGGCACCGGCTGCTTTTTGCTGTATAATGTTGGCGAAAAGCCCGTCATCTCTACCCATGGACTTCTTTCCACTGTCGCATTCGACTTTGGCGAGGGTAAGACCATGTATGCTCTGGAGGGCAGCATTGCAGTGGCTGGATCTAGTGTCAAGTTCCTTGTTGACAACTTTGGTTTCATTGAGTCGTCCTCCAAGTTGAGCGCTTTAGCCGAGACTGTTGAGGATAATGGCGGCTGCACTTTTGTCACTGCCTTCAGCGGCCTCTTCGCTCCTTATTGGATTGACGATGCCAGAGGTACCATTTTCGGCATTACCGCTTACACACAGCGTGGTCACATTGCCCGAGCCACGCTTGAGGCGACCTGTTTCCAGACCAAGGCTATCCTCGATGCTATGGCCAAGGACAGTGGCAAGAAGCTTTCTGAACTTGCCGTAGACGGCGGCATGTGCAATGCTGATCTTATCATGCAGGTGAGTTTACCCCCACAAATAAACATTCTGTTTGTCCAACTTGCAGAGACATGCTGGCTAACATGATTTTTTTTTCTCATCAAGACCCAATCTGATATTATTGGTATTCCCGTCAACCGACCTGCCATGCGCGAGACTACTGCCCTTGGTGCTGCCATCGCCGCTGGCTTTGCCGGTGGTGTCTGGGAGTCCTTTGACGACCTCAAGGACGTCAACACCGAAGGACGGACTGTTTTCAAACCCCAGATTACTGCTGCGGATGCCAACAAAAGATTTGAGCGCTGGGAGAAGGCCGTTCAGATGAGCAAGGGCTGGTCCACCACTTAGACTGCTTCCGCCCGGACAACGTATTTCATGATTTGATGTATATAGCACGTTCTTACTTTCACAGCGACAGCCACGATATCGTAGGTGTAGTCATAACAGCTGGCAGGATAGGCCAACCACCTACACCTGACACGGCCCTTGTATGATACAGAATATATGACGAGATGACGCAGTGTTTTTATCAAGTTTCGAAGTCCTTGATACGGATAAGAATGTGTCTATGCTTGCGTAATGGGCTCGTCGATTTTTTTCCCCAGCGTCGTGCTGTTTCACTTCCACTGATAGAGCTTTGCAGTCGTAGTCGTAGGCAGTGCCCTCTATGCCCTGGCGGTACCTTGGCATAAGTTTGCGATTTGTTGACATACCCTGTCGGGTTTACTTGTACCTACTTGCACTTTCAAAAGTTGCCCGTCACCTCTATTCTCCTTCTCAAATCGGGCTCCGGTGCTGTGTGTGTCTTTCGGACTCGGTCGCACAAGGATCGTCCCCACCACCAGAAAGAGTACCATAGAGCTAATTCATGCCGGTTTGTCAAGTACCAACCACCTCAAATCGCCAAGTAATGGTGCCGCAACCGACCACACTCGACCAAGACGAGTAAATACTAGTACCCATGGGAAATTGACAGGACGAAGCAGGACCTGATACCCACACGAAGCTAATACCGGTGCGCAGCCAATGCGAAGCCCGTAAAACGTCTTGGAAGACGAGGCGCATTCGGATGACTTCAGCCATATGGCAACTCCGGGTGGGAACAAGGACCGTCGTCTAGAGCTTCCGTGGAAACATTCTAGTGAGCTTCCCTGGCCAAGCCCTTCGAAACTAGCGTCCAACGAGTGGTTTTCCCTCTGCCAGAGGCTGTTTTGGTGTGACCGAGGCGAAGGGGGTTGGCTGTCCAAAGTGCAAAGCAAAGCAGGCCATCTTCACGGTGGAGTCGCCATGGCACCACCACCAACGTTCATGTCAAAACCCCAGCAGTCGACGCCACTTTTTGTCTGAGCAGAGCCCGTCCCTTGGGAAGCAAGTGCCTTTCCAGTTGCAAAAGGCCTCACCTTTGCCACCACGCCTTTGTGTCCTCTGCCGGTTGATGAATCCTGCTTCCCCGCACGCCGAAGTGTCATCTGTCGTAGAACTGAATTGCTTCTTCGTTCACGTTGTGGCGGCCCCCGAACGTTTTATCCTATTTGACTTCTCAAGGGACGCATCCAAAGTGGGACACTGGTTTCAACTTCTTGGTTGGCCTCGGCCGAGGACCCCGAGCAAAACTAGACGTCAGCGACACAAGGATCAGCCTTCCGTTAGCCTTCGTCGGGGGACCGGGTCGGGTCTCGCGATCAATTGTTTTTGATAGCCCGTTAGCATTCGAGCTGAGGTTACAAAGTGCTAGTACAAGCGCAATACGGCCCGACAGCACCACCATACTCACCAGTCTGCCAGCATCGCTCTTTGATCCGCCTTTCGCTGAGGACCCTTATCTTACTTTCTGAGTCCCCATTCTTATTCTTGTCGCCCTCGGAGGTTCAATACCAAGCGCTGCCCCATGAGAAGATAGGCTGCTCTGCGCTTCGCGGACAAGGGAAGGCCCGTATCTTTTGTTGTCCTTGTTCTCACAGCCCAGAATCAATTGTGGAGTGTTCTGGGTCATGGGTTGAAATGACAGACACCAACGCAGCCCCGGTGTCTACGGCCGAGGATGAGTCCAACTCGGTCTTCAGTCACGAAGACGGCGGGTCAAGTGGTGAGGATACAAATCACCCAAACGGACCCGCCTCGTCTGGGAAGAAGAGGAAGAGAGAGAAGTATCAGAAGACTTCGTACGTAGTATATCGCCCTCAGCTCTCCTTTTCCCTTGTTTTTTGTCTCCATCTTGTCTTCGGCTACAGGATTAACCATAGAGCGACATCAGGTGTGAGTTATGCAAGGCACGGAAAGTGAAATGCGACAGGGCAGAGCCTGCATGTTCCTGGTGTGCACGGCACAATCGGACATGTGTTTATCTGGAGAGACAGAAGCCGGGGAGCCGCATCGGCTTCACTCTTGAACTGGAGACCAAAGTGAACAGAGTGGACGCTCTTCTTCAGACTTTATGGCGACGAGTTGAAGACCACATCGCGAATGATCACGGAGGACAATCGCAAATCTTATCACCCACCGTCAGCAACCATGCTTCCGTTCAAATTGACGGGTTCGCTCAGGATGCCGCCGGCCCCAGGCCTCCTGGAATCTCCAGAGGGACACCAATCCAGCAACCCAGACCCCTCGCTTTTTCGAGCCCTTCGTGGCAAGGCGGCGACGGCTCAGAGAACGCCCAACAAGGTGCTCCGTCGGTAACGTCTGCTCCTGGTCAATCTCTGCTATCCGGAGGTGCCGAATCATTCACGCCTCCATCTCGACTGAACAGTGTACGCTCCGGATCAACATCACTCTCTGGAGGCACAGATTTTCCCCCTCAGGATATAATCTATACGCTCGTTGACCTCTACTTCAAAAATTGCAATACCTGGTGTCCAATTCTTGACCGCAAGACGACTTTTGGTACCTTTTTTGGGTCAACTTCTTTGAGCGAAGTCGACAGAATACTGCTTCATGCAATTGTGGCAACGACTCTGCGGTTTCTGAAGGATGCCCGACTTTCCTCAGCAATGCGATCCCACTATCACGCCGTGTCAAAACATAAAGTGATGATATATGCTATGGAAAATGTCAGCATAGAAGCTCAGCGAGCTTTGGTCATCCTGGCTTTGGACGAACTGGGAACATCAAACGGCCCACGGGGGTGGAATCTATTGTCTATTCTGGTGCAGAATGTCCGACAACTGGATCTCTGTGAAGAAAACAGCATTTATCTTTCTGTAGATGCAGGAGATATACCGAGTACCGGGTCAATCCGGAGGGTTGTCGTACCACAGCCAGACTCCTGGATAGAGGATGAAAGTCGCAGGCGACTCTGCTGGGTGGTATATCTGCTCGATCGATATGCGACGATTGCCACAACGACGTTTGATTTCATGCTAGAAGACTTCAAGATGAAACGTGTTCTTCCTTGCTCATATGATTTGTTTTCCAGAAACGTGCCTGTGGAGACAGGCTCGTTACGTACGAACTCCGACCAACAGGGATGGACGGGATACATGGTCAATAAGCCAGAGAATCTGGGTAGCTTTTCTTATCACTGCGAGGTCATCAGGATTATTAGCAGGGTCCACGACTTCTTGAAAAAGCCAGTCGACGTTACCTCGTCAGCTGAAATGACCGCGTGGCGCAACGCTTATCGATCTCTGGATTCAGCCCTGGACAGCTGGCTCCAGAGTTTACCCAGCGAATATAGCAAAATCTCAGCTTTATGTCACTCGGATCCGGCCAGTCGGGTAGCCAATTGGTTTATGTTGCATAGTGCGTATGTCACCGCCGTGGTACGCCTGCACTCGTCGGCTGCGTATCCAACCGTTCGATCTCATATATTTGTGCCGTCGCATTATGCTATGCAGAGATGTCTATCAGCGGTTCAGAGCTTGAGGGATATCACACAAGACGTTTTCGAGGCCAACGGTCTGGATCTTGTTGGTCCCCCTTTTGCCTTTTCTCTCTGGATTGCGGCTCGGCTACTCATTGTTCATGCCGCCACGGTTGGTTGTCCCGTGGATCCCAAGATTGACTTCTTCATCGACATTCTCGCATATGTTGGCCAGTATTGGGAGGTTGCAAATAACTACGCCAGAATCCTCGCAAGGGTTGTGCAAAGAGAGCGACAAGGAGAGGCAAGCTTTAGCGCTATGAGAAAGTAAGTGTTTGTTCCATGACCTTTCAGATGGTCGCCGGTCTACTTACGTCCATTACTAATGTAAAATTGCACTAGGAGCGCCCATGACTTGGTAAACCTGACATCAAGCACACGCCCAACGGGGCTGGATAAGACATCATCCCATTCCGTTGCGCTGAGTGAGCTCGATAATATCGATGTCTTCGATTTCTTCAACTATCCGAAAATCCCTAGCCTGGACTTTACAAGCCAGAACGGCCAGGCAGAAATCTATCATGTACATGGACTGGTGAAAATGGGAAGCGATCAAACAAGAGATGGAGCGGCGCCCGATCCTGACTCAGACTGGTTGGGGTATTGAATGCCGTGGGGTTAGCATTTGCCAGAGTTGATGAAGGATAAAATGCTGCCCATGGAATACGCACATACATTAAAGTTTGGACAGATGTGCGAAGACCACTGTCCAATTTGATGATACAGCTACAGCAACACTTTTTGTACTCTTATATCCCTTTGTTCGGGCAGCCGCATACCCTATATGATAGCGCCGCCAAAGCAGCAGCGTTGTTTTGATGTTACATCGAAATATATCAGCACCAATGATGCTTAAGTTTTTGTTGGAGGTTTCGGTATGCAGGTAACAAGATATTTTCGCGGCTGTTGCCCTTCAAAATGCGTACTGTGTTATCTGGTACGCATAGGAAGAAGCCATCAGCGCATGAAATGGCACGGCCATTCGTGTGGCCGCCCAACTAGTACTAGTACAAGCAAGTTGGGTGTTTGGTGCGCAAAAAGTGTTGCCCCGTCTTCCGCCTCCACAGATTGCCTTCTCTGGGGTGTCATTCTCATAGCCAATCAGTGTCGCTCTAATTCTCAGCAGTACGGACATCACGTCCCCACCACAGACCGAGGTAACAGATAGCTGCCGGCTGAAGAGCTTAAGCGTGCCGCCTCGAGCACCGGACCCTTTCAATTCTTCTCCAACTTCGGATACTCCTCCTATTGTTAGCTGATCACTCATCAAAATCGTACTATCTTGTGCCGAAGTGGAGAGTGCCTTAAAACCTCCAAAGACTGAGGCCACCCCTTCGTGACAACTGCAACGACACAAAACCAAAGGGATCAACTTCCAATATTCACTATGACGCCGCCGGCCAAGACATTCACCCGCGCTGAGGTGCGGGAGCACACTACGGAGGATTCACTTTGGTGTATCATCGATAGTATTGTTTATGATCTGTCCGAGTTCGTTATTGCCCACCCTGGAGGCGAGAGTGTCCTGCACCAGGTGGCTGGGCAAGATGCCACGACCGCCTTTTACAACCTGCACCGGCAAGAAGTCCTTACCAAGTACGCTGATCTTGCTATTGGAACGATCGAGGGTGAGAAGCCGCAGGTTATTGTTCCGAAACCCGGCGATCTCAGCCCGGTTCCCTACGCTGAACCCCTGTGGTTGGTCCAGCATTTCAAGAACCCATACTACAACGACTCTCATCGTCGTCTGCAGAAGGCTTTGCGTGAATTCACAGACAAGTATCTGACCCCAGAGGCCCAGGAGTGTGAGACCACAGGACGAAGCATCAGCCAGGAGATGATTGACCTCATGAGCAAGAAGGGAATTCTTCACATGAGACTTGGCCCCGGAAAGCATCTCCATGGCGTCGAACTGATGGACGGGGCTGTCAAGGGAGAGGAATTTGATTACTTTCATGACCTGATTGTTGCCCAGGAGTTCGCCAGAACCATGACCCGTGGCTTTCAGGACGGCAACATGGCAGGTATGACCATTGGCCTGACTGCCGTGCTTAATTTCGGCAATAATGAGGCCTGGAAGAAGAATATTGCCGACCAAGTCTTTAGTGGCAAGAAAAAGCTCTGCCTGGCTATTACGGAAGCCTTTGCTGGTTCCGATGTGGCCAATATCAGAACAACTGCTCAGAAGACCCCTGATGGCAAGCACTACGTAAGTTCTATGCATTCTGTGTAGTAAAATATCGCATGTTCCGAGGCGCCTAACATAATATCCAGATTGTCAATGGTACCAAGAAATGGATCACCAACGGTACCTTCTGTGACTACTTCATCACCGGGGTTCGCACAGACAAAGGCCTCAGCGTTGTTCTAATTGAGAGAGGCGAAGGTGTCGAGACCAAGCCCATCAAGACGTCGTACTCTCCCACCGCCGGGACTAGTTACGTAACTTTTGACAACGTCAAAGTCCCCGTCGAGAACCTCCTGGGCCAAGAGAACAAGGGTATCCATGTCATTCTCAGCAACTTCAACCACGAAAGGTGGACCATGGTTTGTAAGTCGAATCCTTTTATTTAATCTGCTGATAGAATCACTGGTACTTACTGCTCTGCGAAGGCGGCTCCATCCGAAACTCCCGCATGATTGTCGAAGAATGCCTCAAGTGGGCTAACCAGCGTCTTGTCTTTGGCAAGCGTCTCATTGACCAACCCGTCATCCGTAACAAGTAAGACCCCGTCCCCGAGAGCAATCCCGCCCATCCGTAACCTCCGCATCTAACCAACCTCGACCCCAACCAGGCTCGCCAAGATGATCGCTCTCGTCGAAGCTAACCAGTCATGGCTCGAGACAATCACATACCAAATGTGCTACATGCCTTACAAGCAGCAGGCCCAGCATCTTGCCGGACCAATCGGTCTCCTCAAAATGAGTACCACCCGCGCCGCACACGAAATCGCCGACGAAGCCGTCCAGATCTGGGGAGGCCGTGGACTGACACAGACTGGCATGGGTAAACATATCGAAATGTTCCATAGAACCTATAAATTCGACTCGATTCTCGGAGGAGCCGAAGAAATATTAGCGGATTTGGGTGTCAGACAGGCCATGAAGAACTTCCCCAAGGCTATGTTGTAAATTAAATGGGTTCTGGATAGTTTGGCGATGTCCCATTAGTTGTAGTATCAATACGTAAAATGTCTACTTACTCAAAGAGGAAATGGGTTTGGGGAAATCATGGCCCGTGCGTAAAGTTCTGCGATCGGCCCGCTAATTACCAAACTGCGGATAGTCTACTTGCCTTGCAGCCAATGAAATGTCCTACTACCCGTGCCGCATCCCATTTTTGTGCCAGCTCAGGCTTTCAGCACCTAAAGGTGGGGCGCGGCACGAGTAGTGGACCTGCTGGAACGCGAATGCAAAGCCGCTTGTCCCTACTTCGTATTTCCTCAATTGCATGGTCCGAGAAGAAGTGATGCTTGTAGAATCCAGCTATTGTAAGTTGAGCTATGAGTGACCTAATAAGAAAGTTTACAGGGGTTATAGACTAAGCCTTTTATACTAATAGCAATAATCTTTAATTTTATTGAACAATAATAACTCATCTTCCGGATAGGTTCTAAAATGATAGATACTCTCTACACCTTTCCCATTAATAACCTTCCCTGCTTTATCACACCCGGCAAAATATTTGAGGGTTATTTTTTATCTCGTCAAGTACAATTTTAGTCGCTATTTCACTAGTACCAAATGATTGTGCTGTAAATATTTGTACTCGACGGGTTAGCGGGGTCCGCGCAGATTATTTCGCGGCGCGCAAAGACACAACTTCACTTGTAGAGGTCTGGCTATGCTGCAACGTATGAAGTGCGTGAACTAGTTTGTGATACATACCATGTATGGCTCATTAGCATGGAGCATGCTATACATGTCACGCTTATGCGAGTGGCTTTTGTGCGAATTTATGTAGCTGCTTCGTGCACACATGCGGCCTCCGCCCAGCATATTAGGTTTGATCAACGCAGGCCATCTTATTCTCACTATCAACTCGTCAACCTTCCGATCTGTCTTCTCTCCCACTCTATCCTCTGTCAAAGAGATGAATATCAGCCCACTTCAAGACCACTCAAAGCTGAGCTACTTCACAAATCCTTCTCCGAGTCTGATGCTCATCGTTCCGTCAATAGCATAATCTGCCTGGGCATGTTGCGAGGTAAGACCAGCTCTTGCATGGCAGATAAGCCGGAAGAAGAGAGAAATTCCAACCTTCAGATCCCCACTGTCGATATTTCCCGTCAAGTCATCGTCCGAAATACCAAGTCCATCTTGCATATATGGTCCGTTCTCATCTTTCCTCAAGGGCAACACTCAAGGTCGAACAAGACCCGGCCCGACTAGAATCGTCTCGTGGATATTATATGATGCGAGGAGGAAAACACTTTTCATGTTTGCGTGAATTGCCATATTTCCGTGATAAAAAAATGAAACCGAGAAGACAAAAGAAATTTTTTTTTTGGGCGGCCACAAAACCTTTGCAGAGTCAAATCAAAAACAGAGCACGAAATTCGTCGTGGGTATCATGGAGCTGCCACGCCAACTTCCTCTCTGATCCACAAAGAATTGAGAGGACCTCTGAGCCACGATGTTTCGACGTTTCGATCATCTTAGTTGGGACAGGCAGACTGGACGTGTCCGGCCTGCTGGCACTTGTAGCAGATCTTCTCGCCGCCGGACGATTCCTTCGGGCAGTCACGAGAGTAGTGGCCAGACTCGCCGCAGTTGTAGCATTTCATGCCGTTGACACACTCTCCTACCAAGGGCATTAGTAACCTGATTAAAGGATCCTTTTTGAAAAGATTTTGCTTACGGGACATGTGGCCATATCCACCGCAAGAGTAGCAGGTCTTTCCAGCACCACCGCCGCCATACCCGCCGCCGAAAGAACCACCATAAGAACCGCCAGCCTTGGAGCAATTGCGGGCAATGTGGCCGATCTCGCCGCACTGAGTTCATCAGTCAAAATTTATTCGCCATACGTACTTGTGGTAAGCGAAAAGTTTTGTCAGGCTTACCTTGTAGCACTCAGTGGACTGGGCACCGCCAGCGCCGCCAGCACCGCCAAGAGGACATTCGCGAGAAATGTGACCAGGTTGGCCACACTTGTAGCAGGACTTGTTCTCCTTCATGGGCTCAGAGCAGTCTCGGCCTATCACAGTCAGTACTTGAGGGTGGTGGGAAGACGTCAAGCGGTTCATCACTTACTCATGTGACCCTCGCCTAAATTAAAGTTAGTACTATCTCTCTCTCAGTCATAACATCATCATGGGACACATACCTCCGCAGTTGTAGCTATCATACATATTAGCGAGCGCGTTCAACAAGATTTTCTCAAGCTTACTTACCACTTAGCAGGGCCTTTGGAAGGGCAGTCGCGGGCCTGGTGATATCATGTCAATTCCCATCATCTAGCACGCCTGAGGTTGGTGAGAGATCATACCTGATGACCAGGGTTGCCACCTGTGTACCTCAAAGTGTTAGCCGCGTTCGCCTGAGAAAAATTTGCCGTCATTGCTGCGGCATCTCTTGAAGTGGCAGTAGGCACCATGGCATGGCGGTGTCGTCCACATCAGACAAAAATGAGCAGTCTGACGATGCTTCACAAGATTTGAGACTCACAAGAGTAGCAGGCTCCACGAGTAGCGCCGGTATTGGAAGAGTAATCCATCTTTTCTGGAGGGAGATGGACCTTTTGGGACTTTCTGATTTATCAACTGGCACTACAGCGTCAGCGATCGACATCTCGTGCGCGGATGTTGCAAAAAAAGTCCAAATTCAAAATGACCAAACTGTGGTGCCGAGGCGGCATGGCAGAGATACTCTCGTGGCGAGACCGTTGCATCCTGCCACTAGTGACATAACGACTGGCTCAACGGCGAAGGAAATTTACATGAACGCAGACGTACCGATTGAAGGGTAAAACGGTGTGCAATTGGCGAAGACTCGTCAATTGATCGGCGATATATCGATATGCAGAGTGCAATTCTGAAGTGGTAAGGACGAAAATAGGAAAAGTTTTTGGCGTTAACGGTGGTGGTTCAGCGGGGCTCGATTTTTTACCGTGCCAGAGAAAAGAGCAAACGGAGTACAGAAGTACTCTGGGCAGCTTGGAGCTGGGCGTTGGGGTGCAGGGAGTTGCTACTCCGTACAGCTGGCAACTGGAGGCGGAGGCGCCGAGAAGCGAGCTCAGAGTGGACTGAGACGCCGGTGCTGTGTGATGATTGAGTGGCGTCTCGAGCCAAAGCGGGGCGAAGCTTTGGTTTGGACTGTCGGCTTGGGGACGAGATGTGCCACCTTAGTTGCTGACAGTTCTGAGACGGTCCGCGGGATCACGAGACGGGAAAGACGCAGCGTGCCAAATTCGAAGGGGAGCGAGCGCGTTGCGATCGCTTCATTGCGTCGCGATCTTGAGGAAGGACTATCCCTCTGGGTGTTCGAAGGTGCCGATTTCGTCCCGAGCCCATTTTGTCTGAGATACCTAGTAAATACCTATTGGTACCTTTTTTATGCGTTAAAATTACTACATAAATATATATCTTTTAATATACGCGGAGATAAGTAAAGGTACTTATATCTCTATATAATCTCCTGGTATATTAATGTACCTATCATATTAAGATTTTTAATTGGTGGACATCCTTGCTCGGTACAAAATCGGCACCTTTGAACACCCAAAAGGATGTCAGCTGGCCGCAACAATAAACACTGGGTGGCACCTGTCAAGCCCCGAATTCCAGATGTCATGAGGCTGCATGTAGTGGTAGTACCTGAGGGTCCTTGCCAGCCCTTGCCACATCTGTAGTGGTCCCTGGGCGTCTCCACTCGATCAGTGGACTGGTCTATCCGCAACACCCTTGCGGTAGCCCAACACGTCGCGTCAACCTTGGTTATTCCAGCCATCAACTGCCTTCAACTGCCTTCAACTTGCCAGCACAGCCAACTAGCCGCATCGACGACGCGAGCCGAGCGCATTTGGCACATCGTACTCGCCCTTCGTTCTGCTCGGCCCACTGGACGATTTTAGCCAAACTTGGATACGTTCATGGCGCGTCATGTTTCAATTTGTTGACGTGAATTAGGCTTTCGTTGTCTCGTCACGTGAGTCAGTATTGAGTAGCGCGTGTAGGAGTACCTGGCGTAACCACCACCCGCGTTCGGCATTCTACACCAGAAACAGTTCTGCGGCCAAACATTTTATTCGCCGTAGGCTAGCGATGCCATCAAGCCTTCTTTATGGCAGCTGCCTGGTTTGAAAAAGGTCGTCCAGCGCTTTTTGAAGCTTTATCAAATGTGTGCGACCAAATTGGGAGGGACTTGGCTGCCGGTAAGCCACGCGAACGCGGACATCTGTCCATTGAGCCTACTAGATTCTAATCCTATATAGAGGTGCAAACACAAAATGTAGCGCAAAGTCAAACTGGGGGATCCAGAGCTGCGGGGGAGGGTCGTACCGAAATGTCAGACATCGTTTCGAGATTGGAGGCTGAAAATGAAGAGCTTCGAAGGCAACTTGCCACGTTACGGCCGTCAGGGACAACCTCACATTCAACCACCACCTGTTCGACTTCAAAATTACCCGACCAGGCGCCGGAATCTACTCATCTTTCTACCAATGACCCAATTGGCCTCAAAGGCACGTCACGTACGACCAGTGGTACCCCACCATGTCGAGACTGCTCCAGAGTCTTAAGAAGATACCATGCACTGTCTGCCAACTTCAAAACAGCCAAAGATGCTTTGCAGCGGAGAAAAGACGAAAGAAATAGTTGGATTCATCACTCAAAATATCTCAAGGAAAAAATACAAACCGCCGAAAACGAATATGGTATTCAGATTCTGGATCAGAAAGCCCAGCAAATGGAAGTGCCCACATCAACCGCGTTAGAAGCCGACGAGCCACTTATCAACCCTTCGCTCAGCTTTATGTCTGAAAAAGGGCCTGAAGAAGATGAGCCTCAGCTTCCAGAGCTGGCTTCAACGTCGAAATCGTCTGGCGGAGCCCTTGAAGGACATCATGCAAATTCCGAAACGACCCAAGGGGAAGCCTCGGACGAAATGTCACAACCTCTACCAATGATTCCACCACCTTCCAATAGTGAGATGGTGGTAATAAAGGAAGAGCAGTCTTCTGACATTCCAGAAATTGTTTCCGAGCGAGAAGTTAGGAAGCGCAAACGCAACGAAGAACACGCTGTAACAACTGTCGTGCCCAAAATTAAACCTGAAATGGCTGGTAGTTCAAGCCCAGTAATGTTAATCTCGCCCGTGCAATTCCACACGCAAGAAAGCATTGACTTGGGGGACATTGTCAAGAAAATCCAAACGCCGAGGAAGCGCCAACTACTAGAGCAAGCCGGACCACAGTCCGAAATCATCACCCGCTCTAAACTTACTACCTTTACACCACTCCATGCCGGAGCCCAACAGGAGCCGCAATCCGCCATTGCTCCTCGCCAAACATCAGCTCTGATGCCCCTAAGTGTCAATGCGCGAACGATTCGACCGTCATCGGTCAAGATTCAGCAAAAAAGCCGTTGGTCCCAACTAAATGAGAGCATAGAGAGCCTAGCTGAAGATGGTGCTGCGTATAATGCCCAAGCGCTTACTAATCAAGTTAAATCTCCGAGCGTATCTTCTACTAAGAGTCGACTGAACGCATTACTCAATGACCCCCTTGCAGAGTCGGAAGATGAGAATATCATTTCCAGGCTACCGAAAAGAGCCGAGCCAAGGACTGCAGCTCGCCACGCGGATCTTGGCATCCCAGGACGACGACAGCTTCCATTTGACAAGGACGGACACGTATCCGGCAGAACAACACCTTGTAAACAATCTTTGAGCTTGAAAAGTGTTTCTGAGGCAAAGACGCGAGGTGGCAGCTTTGCGTCCCCACGGCAGACTATGAACCGCCAGGACTCGAGGCCGTTAAGACACAGGCCGCTTTCGAAGCTCGGCTTGGAAGATTTCAAGGTCAACCTACGTGCCAATGAAGGCCACGACTTCGCCTTTAGCGAGGTAGTAAGAGATAAGGGCGACAGGTCATGCTTGCCAGGCTGTACGGACATGCATTGCTGTGGAAAAGAGTTCAGGGCCCTTGCCATTTCACAACGGCCCAACCCGCCTCTAACAGCCGCTCAACGACAAGAGGAACAGAAGCTTCTGGAAGACTACCTAGGTGATTTTTCATACCGCCTCGCATCGATGGATAAGGACGAACGAATGGAAGTCTGGATCGAGGCCAAGACGCACGAATTGGCAAATAAATATGGCAAACATAGACATAGATTCTCTCGCATGCAGTCGCCCCCAGGTTTCTGGGATGCAGACTTTCCAGATACGCAGCAACTGGAAGCGGATAGAGAGGAAGCTGTGAGAAGAACGAGGCGAGCAGTTGCAGAGCGATACCGGGAAGCCAGGCGGCCCGGCGGCAGATGGATGTTCAAGGATGAATGATGGATGACGGATGAATGGAGCATTCTCGATTTACTTTTTGGAATAAAAAATAGAGGCACATAGCATACGGCATGCACAGGACGTGACCTGTGAGCAGGCGTACTCTGTATATAGGTATTGCGTGTAAATGGGAAATAATTGATACAACGATATGTCATCCATGATGGCTTTGAAGATGTGTTTGTGGACAGATGCAGCGCCGATATCTCTGGTGTGACAGTGAGTGAATGATGTCTGGCAAAATGTTTGCGCAGGTGGAGATGCACGTGCCGACATGGACATTGGGGGCGGCAGCATTCACAGTGAGCGCAAGTGCGCCGAGGGACGGAGCACAAGAAAACCCCAGCCTCCTTTGGCCCAAGGGTTGGCCAACGTAAAGGAAAACCAGACACGATACTACATGTAGCTGGGCGCCTCCGAGCGCGGCCTGTTCTTTATGTCACCTAGCTGATGAGCTTTGGTCTTTTGCATTTATAATCTAGCCCCTGTAAGTTTAGCCACCAGTGACCTCCCGCCTGACTGGCTCCTTCCGCATGCCTTGGCATAAACAACTTCTCGTCGGGGAAAGCCCCCCACTCATCAACTCCGAACCGAGACTACCCTCACGAAACCCTGCGAATTTGATCCCGAACCGACCAAAGCCCCGCGCTGCGTAGTCTAGTCTGTCGCAATACCGCGCTTGGATTAACTCAGTCGTCCTTGTTTTCTTCCTTCTACATGGACCGTCCCCTTCCCCTTGTTCACCATGAATTCCGCCGCTAGACTCCTCTCCTCACACCTTCCCCTTCGCCGTGCGCCCATTGCCTCAGTTCGCGCTTCCTCGTCTCGATTTGCACCTTCTTTCGGCGCCGTCCGCACCTTCTCAGTCTCAGCACGCAACATGGCTGCCGCACGCAAGATTAAGGTTAAGAATCCGGTCGTGGAACTCGACGGCGATGAGATGACCCGCATTATCTGGCAGACTATCAAGGACAAGTTCATCTATCCTTACCTTGATATCGATCTGAAGTACTACGATCTGGGTCTCGAATACCGCGATAAGACCAACGACCAGGTCACTGTTGATGCTGCCGAGGCTATTAAGAAGTACTCCGTCGGTGTCAAGTGCGCTACCATTACACCTGATGAGGCTCGTGTTGAAGAATTCAAGCTGAAGCAAAGTAAGTAATCTCCCTGTTGGTACTAAATACCGCAGCACCCGTTTGACGGCAATCAACTGACCCGACACTCTTTTGCAAATAGTGTGGCTGTCACCAAACGGCACAATTCGAAATGCTCTGGGCGGCACTGTCTTCCGTGAGCCCATCGTCATCCCTCGTATCCCGCGTCTGGTCCCCGGTTGGGAAAAGCCCATTATCATTGGTCGCCATGCCTTTGGTGACCAATACCGCGCCAAGGACATCGTTGCCCCCGGACCAGGCAAGCTGTCCATGGTTTACACCCCTGAAGGTGGCGAGCCTCAAGAGGTCGAGGTCTACCAGTTCAAGAACGGTGGTGGCGTTGCCCAAGCGCAGTACAACACTGACGAGTCCATTACTGGCTTTGCTCATGCCTCCTTCAAGCTTGCTCTTGACAAGGGCCTGCCCCTCTACATGAGTACCAAGAATACCATCCTTAAGAAGTACGATGGTCGCTTCAAGGACATCTTCCAGGAGCTCTACGATACCCAATACAAGAAGGATTTTGAGGCCAAGAAGATCTGGTACGAGCACCGTCTCATTGATGACATGGTTGCCCAGATGATTAAGAGCAAGGGCGGCTACATCATGGCTCTCAAGAGTAGGTTTTTGCTAGCAAATCAGTGCCCCCCCCAAAAAAAAGCTAACCATTTATAATCCAGATTACGACGGTGATGTCCAGTCTGACATTGTCGCTCAGGGCTTCGGTTCCCTTGGCCTCATGACCTCGGTCCTCATCACCCCCGACGGCAAGACGTTCGAGTCCGAGGCCGCCCACGGCACCGTTACCCGCCACTACCGTGAGCACCAGAAGGGCAAGGAGACCTCTACCAACCCCATTGCCTCCATCTTCGCCTGGACCCGCGGTCTCATTCAGCGTGGCAAGCTCGACAACACGCCCGAGCTTGTGGCCTTTGCCGAGAGCCTTGAGCAGGCTTGCATCGACACCGTCGATAAGGATGGCGTCATGACCAAGGATTTGGCCCTGGCCTGCGGCAAGAACGAGCGCTCCGACTACGTCACGACCAACGAGTACCTGAATGCCGTTGAGCGCCGCATGAAGACCATCCTCAAGGAGAAGTTGTAAATAGGGGGGCTCAAGATGCAAATACAACAAAGTGGGAGAAGGGAAATGGAAGCATTAAACGGCGGAATAGCGGCGGAATAAATACCCTGCGCCTTTTAGCCCGCCCCCTCATGTGAGGCGCGTTTACAAGTATTTCATATTTGCATTACAGGACGAAACATTTCCAACGCAGTCCAGGGCTGTGGCAACATATATAGCATACAGATAGAACTGGCACATGTCACCGGAGTAACGTCGGTTGTCTGATCTAGCAGCATGTAGATACAATGTATAGCAATCATGATCAAATTATACCATGAAGCTTTCCTGCCCCAAGCTTGAGCGTCTCGGCATATGGGTTACTGCAAATTGAGGTCATTCATCCCATACCCAGGCAATTGTGCACACGCAAGAGTACAACGCGAATCCTTTAATATGTCTAGTATACAGGTACGAAATAAGCATAACACCAATCTTCCCCTGCCCCATCCCAAGAAAGCCATAATTCTCAAAAAAAAAGGAGTTCCCCTCCCATCGAGCCCTCACATAATACCCTTACAATAAACCAAACGCCATATATTCTGTCACACGCAACGCCCTAAATCCCAGATCTACAAGCCAAACTAATCATCCCTCGAGGCAGCTTCCTTCTTGGACTTTCGAGCAGCTGGCGTACCATCCATGTCGCTCTTTCTCTTCTTCTTGACTGGACGGCCACCAGACCCTCCGGGTCTATAACCAGGATCGTCGTCCCTCTTGCGCTTGCCTCTGCCCACGGGTGTGCCAAAATCGGCATCCTCGTCCATGCTAGCGTCCCATTCGCCGCGATCGCGCTCTCGCTCCCGATCGGCCATTCTTGAGGCCAGGCTGCCTCGTTTACCACGGCCGCGACCGCCACCACGCTCGCCTCGGGATCCACGCGTCTTGCGACCACCTGTATGGTGGCCTGCTTGACCCTCGTCATCGCCATCGTGAGCCTCTCCGTCTTGGAGGAAGATCTTGGGCGCGTGTTTGCGCAACCAGTTGGTTACGCTTGTGGGGTTTTTCAGGTGAGCGTGTTGAATTGGGTTGGTGCTCGGATGGGCCCGAGGAGCGAGCGTGGGTATGTGTGTCTCCGGGTCTATTGAGCTGTCGATATCGTGGATGTAGTTATCAATGTCGTCGGCGGACAAGAAGCTAGGCGGGAAGGGTTCGCCCTCGGGAGCAGCCAAGTCACTGACGTAGGAGCGCTTCGAGTCCTTGGCCGAGGTGTACGTTGAGTGAGGGATCTCCTCGAGGAGTTGCTGGAGTTTCTTGATGCTGAGCTCCTTTTGGGGTGCATGCTTGCTGTCAATTGGGAGGACGATCTTGGCACCTGGGGATGGCTTTAGGGACACATCTATTCGTTTGTCGAGGGGGATTTGCGGCGAGTTGTTGACATCGAGGAGGAGATCTAGCAGGCGGCTGCACGGCGAGTTAGCATGGTCCATCATACGGCGTTGGATGCACGGGAAGGAAGTTGAGGAGACAGGAAGAAAAAACAAGACAGAGTGAGGGAGGCATTCGTACTCATTCTCAACAGCTAATCTTTTGACCGTAGCAGAAGCTTTATCCTCCCGCTTGTGTAGATCCTCGCCTTCTTGCATCTTTTGATCGAAAACAATGCGCATCTTGCGATACTTCTTCTTCCATGACTTGTATCCGCTCTTGCGGTGGTCTGCCGACTCCTCCGCCTTGACGGGAGATCCGTCCATGGTCTCTGCAAATCGATCAAATGACGAATTGAAGCGAACCTAGTTGTCTAGCGTCCCCAAAAAAACATCAATTCAATCGTGCCAGGACTATTGCAAGGCTCGTTCGTTCTCACGGCTGCGTGACGCGCGAATAGGTGCGGTGCCGAGGCGGAACAAAGAAGTGTGTCGTGAAACGAATGAATGAGGCTGACGATACTTGCGACCGATTAAAATTTGATTGCAAGGGCCACGAGCGTCCGTTTTCGTGTGGGTTGGAGATGGGTTTGGTGATGGGATACGATGGACGGGAAGGGAATGGAGGAGGAAAGGCAGAGGGTTGACAGAGGTGGTCGAGGCATGGCGTGAGAAAAAGAGCGTGTGGTGCTGCAGCTGCTCCTGGCGGTGCGTGTCGACTTTGGGCGCCTCCAATGCGCCCGCATCGCGGCCCCTTGGTTGGTCCATGCCCGGCGTGAGCCACGGCTGCGGCAACAGTCAACCTCTCAAGCGGATTGCAGCACCTGACTGGCCATCCACTGTGCGGTGAAGCATCAATTAATTGCTATTATGTTGCCATAGAGATGGCATTCTGCCATGGATTGATTTATATGCGTGAGTTTTGTGCGCATCGAACAGGCAAAGTGGCACACATGTCCAGTTCTTATTTTTCTTTCTCTAAAATGGCGTTCGTACACATTTACATCAGAACTACCTTTAATAGTTGGTCGATGCTCTTGGGCTCTCGCTTCGCTTCTATTCATCGTATTTGAATCATAGTTATGACGCAACTTCATGGCCCAGCCTCTCCAACTCATCCTTGATAAATGCAGCGGCATTCAGCAATTCCGTGCTGCCATACACAACCCGCTTCTTGCCCCGGTCCTTGGTTCGCGTTACCCATTCCTGCAAATTGCCGTACTCGTCAATGCTGCCACCTCCTACGGTGAATACCACTGCCTCTGTGAAACCTTGCCTTCGCTGACCAAATGTTGCCGATTGCCCTTGACCTCCTGCACCAGGCATGCCACCCGGCGCGTTGGCTGCAGCACCTGAACGCACTGCGCTCGGCGGTGGCATAGTCCCACGAGCATTGGCTGAGCGGGGATCAAAGTACAAGTAGTTTTCCGTCTTTGCCATAGCAGATGATGCTGCGCTGGATGGATCCATGATAGATTCGACAATCTTGGTCACTGTGAGATCTCGGTCGGCTGGCAGGAAGTTCTTGACGCCTGATATTAGCGACTCAAAATTGGAGGACAACCCGGAAGGAACTCCAGTTTCCTTGAGTCTGTCCGCAAGGCGGGTAGAAATAGAAGAGAAACGGCCAAACAGATCAGACGACGGTGCTTGTTGGTTGGAGTTGTCTATCGTCGTTAGTTGGGTCATCTTAGTGGTTGCACGAACCCTACGTGGCGTGTTAGTCGTCAATGTGTAACAGTCCTAGCGGCCGTACTTACTGTCGAACATAGGGGAGACAGGATATGTCTGCCCCAGCCGTTTCAAGAGCCTTACAAAGGCTTTGAAAGTCTGCCCGACTAACCTCTTGTTCCATGCTTAAGAACCAAATGATGAACAGTCGGAGCTTATCGGCAGGCTCTTTGCCTTTGTTATCGTCGTTGATGATTTCCAGTATTTGAGCTTTGGTTTGTTTCATTATCGTTTCTTCAAGCTGGAAATAATTGTCCAACTGTCGTTCTTTGATGCCAGATAACAACGCGGCTAAAATGTTCATGTGCATGTCAAGAATGCCTTTTCGCTCTCTCATCTCAGGAAGCAGCGTTATTGCAGCCTTGAGGTGTTGAGCGCTTGCACTAGTATCGTTTTGAAGATCCTCCAAATCTGAAACCCCAGTCTTTCTGGTGATAGCTGCGGTGTCTTCTTTATATTTGGTCAATTCGGCGTCAATGTCTTCTGCAACCTGAGGGAATGGGACTCCGGCGTTCTTGGCCCAGAAAAAGTCATTGGCGCCCAAATCGTAGCCCTTCTTTGTGGTTCCTTTGGAGGGATTGCTCTCGTCTACAGGTGCTTCGATGGTTATTCTGTTTAACTTCATATTGAGCACGTCGTGGACGAGAGATTGATAAGTCCATGAATGTGACAGCATAGGGGTCAAGTCAACGTTTCGATCAAGCAAAATCAAGACCGGTCGCGAGCTTGGCGTACCGGCGACGGCTGGTCTAGTGCTGGAGAATAGGTTATCTTTTGAATTAAGAATATGATCTCGAAGCTTGCGATCGAGGCGAGCAGCTACCATTTCAGCAGCTGCACCCTTGGGACATCGGATGATGGGAATAGCACCTAGTTATGGCTGTTAGCAGGATACCCTCACCAATGCCGCCATAGAATACCATACCCATAGTCACAACAACGCTGAAAAGTCCGCCCACGACCTTGTCCACCACGGCCTCGAGCTCCTCATCGCTTGTCTTTGCGCTGTTCAAGGCCCAGTACGTGTGTGCGTTTTGCATACCAAGACTGAAGAGGTCTGGCTCCGCGACTATGAAGTTAAGATACTGATCAAACAACTGGGCAATCTTTTCGGATGTGCCAGCCGTTGCTGTTTGCGTTGCGAAATCCTCCAGCAACACTCGAGGCAGTGAGGATAGGAAATTGATGTAGGCGGGGGAGTAGAGTCCCTTTTGGAGATCACTTGTAATGCCTTGAATATTCTGAGAGTTCGGTTCGACGAGATAGATAACGGGGACATCGGGAATGGGGTGTCGTGAAGCTCCAATGTGCCTAGAAGTTATTTGTCAGTTGTGCCCGCCCATCTCAAAACATGTCACACGTACATGTGCATGGTAATGCCCATAGACCGCAAATCGCTCACACGCATGACACTACTAATGACATCTCGGCCGAGATCATCAAAGACAAGCACCTTCCATATAGGATTACCATCAGCGTCGAGTATGGGAGCAACAGGCGCATGAAGGGCGCTGGCATGTTCAGTTGCCTCGTTTGATTCGACCGTTTCGTTAAGGTTGAGGATTTTCTTGAGTGACGCTGCGAATAGAACTTTTTTAGTAGTGACAAAGGCGAGTAAGCTAGTATATCGCATACCTATTTGACGATCTCGTAATGAACTGCTTTTGGAAGCCATTCTCGCGTATTGGCTGTCAAGCACTGAGGAGAGTCAAGGAGGTGGGGTGTTGCGGACGGCGGTTACGGCTGCTCCAAAGCCGGAGGAGATGTGTTGGCTGGAGAAAGACCAATGGTTCGTTTCAATTGTATTGAAGAGACAGTGTTTCAAGCCGACGACATTACGAACTTGGCGGTGTTGGTGTTGTGAACAGCTTAGCCAAGATATCGTCGTTGGAGCCGACGCAACTTAGACATGGGGAGCTATTGCGTCTGACGGGCAACAGTGGCCACAGTGTACGAGTTAGTTGACGTCTGTCGCGCAGCAGTCAGGTCGCGGAGAACGGAGCGACTTTAAATCCGGCGCGAGGCTTGGAGCTTCAGGCACGAATGGTGGGGCCTTTGTTACGATCGTGGCACGGTACGGAGTACTCCGTACAGTAGCATGTACATGTACATGTACATGTCCTCCCTCCGAACGAGTACCGCGTAATACTACTAACCGTACGGAGTACGTGCAAGCCCTTCGGGCCTTTCTGCCTGACATTTCCGGCCACAGAAGGCGAACCAGCTCCCCCGAAATTGGCTGCTGTTGACTTTTCCACCGTCGACTACAGACCTTCATCACTCTCTCGCGCATCGCCATCTGCTGCAATCTGTGCTTCGTCAATAACCGCCGGGAAGCTGCGGCATCACCTGGATCTGGTGCTAGTTTTTTTTCATCATTCCGTCGCTAAGTCCCGACTTGCCGCCGTAATTTGTCGTCGCCCCTTTCCCCGTCAGCGGGCTGTCGCATGATCTCCCATAGAGCGCGTTCAATAATCTTGTAAACAGCGCAAGGGAGAGGCAGGTCATGACGACTCAGCCCTTGAACAGACTTAAAGGTTGAACCATTGCGAGAGTCTCTCTGGCCGCTGGGTATGCTTCACCTCTGAACCCCCCTCCTACATCCCATACAATATCCCATCCCCCTTTCCCAAACCACAATCACCTATGGTGGGCTTGGGCATTTGCGGAGTACCAGTCTCCCTTTGCCGAGCCACGCCTGAGTCTGTCGCCAGTATGAATGGAAAGCAGTGTCAACTGTATCTTGTGATTTGGCGTTTGCCTAAATGAACTGCGATCGCTATTTTTAATTGGTCATCATTAAAGCCGCGAGTTGAACTACCGACGTCAGTCTAGTTTGCCTAGCCATTTTTAAAGAGATGGATTGATGGGTGTCGGGTCCTCGAAAAGATGAGCACCCCTTTCTTGCGTGGCCGATTGGGAAGCAGAAGTTGCCATGATTTAAGGCACGTATCACGTGTCTTGGGCCTCGACCTGGTCATCGGGTTGCGTCTTGAGATAAAAGTGATAAAAGAGTCAATCTCGCCGTGGAAATAAAGTTCCTGGCAATTTCGAGGGGTATTTGAACCCCGCGGATATAATTGTTTACGGTCTACATCGCCAGGCATCCGGTTGGAAAACAGACCGGAAATAACACAGCCGTGGGAGCAGCGGAAGCCACAGTCTACAATCTCAATCAAGATTTGCTGCCCTAGCAGAAACAGAAATCACTACATCAATCCGCCGACATGGGGCGGCATTTCTACCTGGCATTTGCAAAACCTCTTGCTTTACCGACACCGCTATGCGCGTCTTGGAGTCCAGCTTGACGCCGATCATCAACACAGCGAGGCCTTGATGGCGATGGCGACGGGACATGCTGGTTGGGCGTGTGCCAGTCGGCTGCTCAAATACCGGGGCTCTCCTCGCGCAATGAAGCTCCCTGCCAACTTTCGAACTCAAAAGACTCTTGATCCCGCGTACTCATCGCTGCATTTCACATTGCCGCAATAAAAGGAAAGAAATTGAGATGGTACTAATGCGTGTTTCCTCTAGAGATTGCACCCGGGCCCATCTGTCAGTCAGTGTTCTTCCACCATCTCGACTTTGCCAACCAT